CTTGCCCCTACAAATCCTCAAAGAACCTCTGCTAGCCTGCCCCTCCAATTCCTCAAAGAATCTCTGCTAGCTTGCCCCTACAAATCCTCAAAGAACCTCTGCTAGCCTGCCCCTCCAATTCCTCAAAGAATCTCTGCTAGCCTGCCCCTCCAATTCCTCAAAGAATCTCTGCTAGCTTGCCCCTCCAATTCCTCAAAGAATCTCTGCTAGCCTACCCCTCCAATTCCTCAAAGAGTCTCTGCTATCACTATTTTGGAAAATGGCACTCGTTTTTATGAAAATTTTATGTCTTAAAAACGTTTAACAAGCTTCTTAAATAGTGTATATTTTCGTTTAGAGTTTTTCACGTTTTCAAGTTTTTTTTTAACGTCTAATAGCCCAATTCCAATTCCCCAAAGAATCTCTGCTAGTCTGCCCCTGCCTCCAGAAGTCCGGAATGCCTACGTAAATCCCCGAGCAGCATAATTCAGCGTTTGTTTATTTTATGGTCAAGCCAGGGAGTGGGGGTTTGGAAGTGAAGGGAGGACTTCTTTGGCTTGTGCCCCCCAGGCAGTAGAGGGCCCGAGAGGCATTGGGGAGCAAAAGCCGTGGTGCCAGAGGGCCCAGTTGGCCCTCCGAAAAGAGTGCAGAGCAGCATACACACATCTCTCTCTCTCTCTCTCTCCCTCTCTCTCTCCAATACCCCAAACGGCACCCACCACACCCTATTGATTTTCATCATGCATATCCTGAAACTCCGGGACAACCCTCCGTTCGAATGGGCCACCGGATTATTTCTATGTTGTTGGTTTAATAGATTTTTCGGTTTGTAGTTTGGAGCTACGCGGAATATTGCTATTGAAGGGGCTATCGCTGCTAGCTTAAAGTTTTCTGATCGCGTTATTTTTAACTGTTCGATCGCGTTTTCCGACCTTGGGCTAAACCCTACGCCTAAGGCTAAGCAAAGCACATTACTAAACGGAGCCTAAGCATAGGCCTAAGCCGAAGCCCAATCCTAAGCCTAAACTCAAGCTCAAGCCTAAACTTAACCCTAAGCGACGCCTAAGCCTAAGCCTAAGCGAACTCTAAGCTTAAGCTTAAGCGAACCCTAATCCTAAGCCTAAGCGTAAGCCTACGCGTTGTTTTGATTCGTTGGTCTGAAATTTTTATCATTTAAGGCACGTATTGCCAAGTTCATTCTCATTTTAATTTTTACTAATTTCAGAGACAAACTTTATACCGTTTTTTTAAGATTCCTCTCCTCAGATAGTTAGACATTTTTTTTTAATGGATTGTCCGATTTTTCATGAAATGTATTAATTATAATTTCGGTTTCTTTTCGGTTGATTTCAACCTCTAAAATTCTTAAAATTAACTTGGGAAACTTGACATTATCTAAAGAAAAATTTAGCCCCAAATTTACTTTTTTTCTTGCGAAATTTTGGTCTGAATTTTTGCTTGCGTAGATTGTAAGCCGCGGCCGCGACACGCAACGCCCGTGACAACATTTTGATGGTGTAATGCATAGTCTGGATGGCTATGTTCAGTCCGCTTCGCATTACGTTGCGAGTTTTATCTGCTTCTCTCTCTCTAACTCTCTCACTCTCTCTTTTCTGTCTCGCTCTCTCGCTCTCACTGTCTCTCTTTCCGATCGCATTCTCTCTCGCTCTATCTCTTTCTCGCTCTCGCTCGCTCTGTCGCTCTATCTCTCTCTCTCGCCCTATCGCGCTCTCTCTCTCTCTCTGCCACTCCCCCTTTAAAACCACCACTTCCCATTCCATTCCACTCCTATTTGCAGTACATGTGTTTGGCGGCTGAGGTGAACACATTGTCGGGAGAGGGCTGCGAGGGTGGCGGCGGGAGGGTTTGGGCCCTTTCTGGGCCCTTTCTGGGCCCCAAGGGGGTATCCCATAGCCCTATTGCATGGGCCAACGAGAAGCCCTGCTAGCGGAGGAGCTGTCTGCGCAGTTTTCCCCGGCCGCCCTATAACGTTGCGCCATTTCCGGTGCCCGGTGTTGTCCTTCAAAAATTGGCCGCGTTTTTTTGGTGTTCAGGGGGCAAAATTAGTGAATTTGGGCTTGACAGGTTTAATACCGTATTTTTGGGGCTTGCTAGGGGTATTTTTGTATTTTTTTAAGATTTCACAAAAAATTTTTTTTACTAACGATTTTGGCCGGCCGGTGCCTGAGCCAAGCTTAAGCTTAAGCCAAGTCTGCTCCTAACCAAAGCCTTACCTAAGTCTAAGCCTAAGCATAACTTAAGCCTAAGCCTATGTTGCAGCAGAATCCGAAGCCTAAGCCTGTCCCTGATCATAAGCCTAAGCTTAAGCCTAAGCTCAAGTCTAAGCCTCAGCGCAATCCTAAGTACAGGACCATGCCAAATCGCCGCATAGCCAAAGCCTCACCTAAGCCTAAAACAAAGCTAAGCCCTAGCCCAAGCCCACGTGAAACCCAAGCCTAAGCGAAGCCTAAGCCTATTGAATTGTAACTCTAAGCCAAAGCCTAAGCCCAAGCCTAAGCTAAAAACCATGCCTAAACCTAAGTATAAGCCAAGTCTCCGCCTAAACAAAGCTTACCCTAGGCCTAAAGCCAAGCTAAGCTTAAGCCTAAGCCGAAGCCTAAGCCTAATCCAGCCGTTCCACGCAAAATCTCCCCCAGATCCGGGTGGATGTGTTGTGAACGAGTCGCCCCTCCGGCTTCTCCGAGCTGCTTCCCCCTCCTCCTCCTCCTTCTTCTTCTTCTTCTGAAGGCTGAGTCGTGATTGTTTGTGCTGCTGTGAAGGAGAGCCGAGTGGTAGGGGAGGAGGAGGCTGGGGGTGGAGGGAGAGTCAGCTTCTACTGGGTCTCCACATAGAGCCAGGGGGGAAGAAGGCACAATGGCTGGTCCGGAAGTGGTGCTCGGGGCTTGGCGGGCTGGGGGCTGCGGCTCGGCGAATCATTTGGACCCATTCTCCACCCCAAGGCCAAAGCCACACAGCTTCGTCTCGGTTGGAAGGGGGCGCTCGTTAGCTTTCTGGGAGTCCGTCTTTTTGGGGGGTTTGGCGAGTACGGGTTTCCGCTTGACGCCTATGTACAGTTCCGTAGTGGCGGAGAGCCGCTGGAGAGGCAGTCTGGAGCTAGATATGCACGTTTTTCTATTTTTGGGCAAATCGTTTGGGTTTTTCTCACTCACTTTCTCTCTTTCCCTAGCCCGCTCGCTCTCTCGCTTCTAAAGCTCCAAAAATAGTAATAATCGCTTAGTGTGGCGCATAGTGTGGTTCATAGTGCTTTCGCTAGAGGAGCATCAACTACCTTTCCTAACCCAAGCTATCCGCTTGGCGCCTCTTTCTGGATTGACCGTTCAAGCTCGTGCTCAGTTTATGCGTATCTCGCTCTCCCTCGTTCGCTCTCTTTCTCTCGCTGTCGCTCTCTCTCATCTTAATACCTCTCTCGCCCTCTCTCTCGCTCTCTCGCTCGCTTTCTTTCTCTCTCTCCATATCTCACGCGCTCTCTCTCTCTCTCGTATTCATATCTCTCTCCCTCTCTCTTGCTCTCTTGCTCTCTCTCTTCCCAATCTCTCTCACTCTCTCGCTCTCCCTCTCTCTCGCTCTTCGCTCTCTCTCTGTGTCTCTCTCTCTCTCTCTCTCTTTCTCTCTCCATCTCTTTGTCGAAACTGCGAGTAACAACTATGCACGGCCCGTATGGGGAAAGGGCCCAGAGTTGCCCTCTGAAACATTTACTAGCTTCCCCCCACCCTCCTCCCCACTTCTGCAGGCCCGAAAAAACCTTGGCCGCCAAAACAGCCCGCGGGGTTTTTGGTTTATTCTATCGTTCTTCTATTTATTCTTATTTATTTTTGTTTTCCGGAACCCCGATCGAAAAATCCCTTTCAAAGCTGTCCTAATTGCCCAGCTCTTCCCCCTTTGGATGCCTACTTCCTGTCCAACTGTTGTACCAACATATGCCATTCCGAGACGCCCCTCTTTACAGCCTCCTCCGAAAAAACGGAACAAAACTAGGAGGCGGGGGTCAGCTCGAATTTCCGGGGGGTCTGCCCGAGGCCTAAGGGGGCTCCGAAACGGTTTCTGCTAGTTTGCCAATAATTTTCGGGGTTTGCTAATGGTTCCTGCTGCTTTTGAGGGTTTTTTTCATTCGCAAATGGTCTCTGCTAGCTCTTGATCGTATTACCCACTTTTCCTAAATGGCCTCTGCTAGCTTGCCAATGTTTCTGTAGTTTTAAATGAGCCAGCCCCATGCCCCACCGCTTATTCCTAAATGATCCATGCTAGCTTGCCTTTACTGGATTTCCTCCGCTGTTCCAGTTCCTAAAAGATCTCCGCTAGCTTCTTGATCATCTACTGATTCCTCAATGATTTCTGCTAGGTTTCAGAGATTTTGAAAAATCACGTGAAGAAATATTCGCCTCCCAATTTTATCCAATGGATCGAAGCTCTCGCGGGGTTTTTTTCCTATAGTGTCTGCCCTCCCACGATCCCGTCAGCCCGGTGGCTCATTGCTTGTGTGTTCGGTCGCCACGCACAAGACCCGGGTTCGGCCCCCGGCCGTGACGAATGTTTTTGCTTTTTCATAAGAAGTTGGAAGTTGAATGACTCTTCAAGGCTGCTTGATTCTGCTCCCTGATTATGCCAAGATTATGCCCTTTTTTCCGCAAGGACCTCTGCTAAGCTAATTAGATTTTTCTGCTCTTTAATCTATGCAGCTATCTTTCCTTTATTTTTTTTTTGATTCCTTAATGACCCGTGCTAGTTTCCCGGCCTCTTTTTTGGGTGTTTTCCAGTGTTTCTCAAGGCTTAGCTTCCAAAATTCTACATATCTTTCATCTTTCAGGCTCCTCCCCTCTCTCCTCCCCATTCGATCGATTGATTCTTCTGCCGAGAGGAATCGAATCAAAATCCCTCCCACCAACCATCAGGGGATATGGGGAGAAGATAGCCGGGTGCCGAATCAAAACGAAGAAGACAGGAGGCAGGCAAAGGATCGGGCTGTCCCCTTTGGATGAGTCCCGGGCTGTCCCCAGCCATCCATGGACTGCGGCCTCTGGTATGTACACCTTTTCTTCGGCTTTAAAGGGGCTGGGAAGTCAAAATTCGCGCTGGTGGGGATTGAACCTACTGGTCAAAAACGATAGTACTGCCGAGAAGTACCACAAAATTGATTTTGTTGCGAAAAAAAACGTAAGATATTTGAGTAAAACCGAAAAGTTCTCAGGGCGAAAACGACATTTTGGGTGCGCGCGGATTACATGTCGTATGCCTTGTTAATCACCCAATCTCTGTGATTTTCCGGGCAATTTTCATAATTAAGATGACTAGAATTATCAAAATTCGTCCAACCAGCGACAAAAGATCGTGCGGCGCGGTCGCGTTGCGGTCGATTAACACAATTTGCTTGAAAAATAATTATTATTAGCACCTTTCGAAAAAATGAAGTAACTTTGAAAAATTTACTGTATGCTTTGAAAAATTGAAGAATTTAGCTACGTGGCGATCAAAAAACGAAGAACAAAATTCTGGTCATTGCATAAAAAACATAGCTATGCAATTTTGCCACTTTTGAATTTTTTTGATAGAGCTTCAACGTTAATATCGACTTTTCTCGGAGCTTGCAGGGAATGGAAAACGCTAAAAGCTACCTCCTTCCTGGCCAAGTTCTAGGCCGCTACAAAACGCGCCAAAACACGTAACAATCGGAATTTTATGGCAAAACGGAGCTATTCCTTGCGTGTCTTTTAATGACTCGCATCGCTGTCTAGACCTAGTTACAAGGGAGGGGTTGCTTCTCGCATCTCCCTGACCCCTTAAAGGGGTCGTGGCAGCCAGAGAAGGAAAAATCGGCAAAACGCCAAAGCATTTCAAGACCCAGGATTCGAACCCATTAGGCCCTAGAAAAACCATCTTCTAGACGTTCCCAGATTTTGCAGCTTTTAAAGGGACAGTGCCGCCAAAAATTCTGAAAAATTTGGATGAAATCCCCCAATTTTCCAGGTGTGTCTTCTCGGAGCGACGCCGCCACGTGGAGAAGCTGTGGAGACGCCGACTGCTCGTCACCGCCGACGAGAGACGAGCACGCAGAAGGTTCGCGCATTTATGGGAGCTTTCGAAACCGAGCCCGACTTCCAGATTCCTGCGACTAATGCGCGGGTTCGACGCGGAAGACGTGGAGGTGCTGAGAAAGGCCGTGGAAACCGGGGGTCTCGACGCGAAACTATGCGCCCCCGGTCCACCGATGGACGAACGGCCCGAGGAGGAGCCACAGGTATTGTAATCTACAGGGTGTCCCAAAAAAACGACCCATCTGGCATTTCGCCGTGTTCCATCCAACCGGGCCCAAATTTGGACCAGAGGTGTATCACACCCTAAATAACAACAATCCTGACTTATAGCCCTGTAGCTACAGTAGTTTTAAAGTTATAACAAAAACAAACTTTATTTTCCATTTTTCATAGGGTTTCCGTGGAATTAGACCCCCTAAACATTAAGTGAAAATGATCAGGTAGGCCTTCTTTACCGTTAGAAATTTTTTCCAGAGTAAAATTAATTAAATAAGCTTCGATCTAAGCGATTTTTACAACACAAAACTACCCCAGTTCTTAAGCGAAATTAGGGATTCGCAGCCGGAAGTCGATGCAAATCGATGCAAAGCCCAAAAAGATAGCCGATAAAACTGTTCAGAATTCCGGGAAAAACAGTATTTTCGTTATAACTTTAAAACTACTGTAGCTACGGGGCTGTAAGTCAGGATTGTAGTTATTTAGTGTCTGATACACCTCTGGTCCAAATTTGGGACCGATTGGATGTAACCCGGCGAAATGCCAGATGGGTCGTTTTTTTTGGGACACCCTGTATATCATTAAATAGCTGCCTAAAAATATCGTAGCTTTTTTACCGTAAACTGGTTGTTTTAGGAAGAAGACTCGGGCCTTATCCCTCAGATCGACCGGCCGATGAGTATGCCCTATCTATGTTGCAAGATGTGGCGGTGGAAAGACCTGCAGGTAAGCTTAAGCCAAGCCTAAGCCGAAGCCTAAGTCTAAGCCGTTTCCTAGGCTTGAGCAAAAGCCTAAGCCTGGACCTAAGCCTAAGCGCAAGCCTAAGGCGAAGCCTAACCAAGCCGAAGAGTAAGCCTAAGCCTAAGCCCAAGTCTAAGCCCAAGCCCAAGCCTAAAACAAAGGATAAGACTAAGACGAAGCCCAAACCTAAGCCTAAAACCAAGCCTGACCTAGCCCTGGGCCGTTGCCTAAGTCAAAGCCTAATCCTAAGCGCTGCCTAAGCCTAAGCCTAACCAAGGCATACGAAAAAGACTAAGCCGAAGCCTAAGCCGAAGCCCATGCCTAAGCGAAGCCTAACCTAAGCCCAAGCCAGACCAAGCTTATGCCTAAGCCTAAGACGATGCCTAAGCCTACTCCTGAGCTTATCTCTAAGTCTAAGCATAAGCCTAAGAAAAGCGCAAGCCTAAGCCTAAACCTAAACCTAAGCCTTTTTTCAGGTGGACGCAGCGTTGCATCGACTGGAGGCTCTTCCCTGGTGTCGCTTCGGACGGGTGACGATCAACAACGCGACGGTGTCTTGCTGCAACCCATATCATTATGCATTGTGGATACGAGCAGAGGTAGGCAGGCTAGCAGGGATTCTTTGAGACTTGGGTCTCAGAGCTTTTTTCCTACGCAAATCATCATTCCTATCCAAATTCCAGGCGAGCCAACTGGAGGACTGCGAGGTGGACGAGGATGGCCGCAAAATAGAGCCGAAGAAAGAAGAAGAAGACGGAGAAGGGAAAACAATCGGCAATGGTCATCTCATCAACCCGCAACAACCCTCAACAAGTACGCAGCTGTACTCGTTACACTTTTTGTAGCCCCACGGAATTTGCGGAGAGGAGAGGGCAGAGAGAGGGGAGGAGATTTATTCTCGGAAGGGTCGCGCAGCCCGGATCCTTAGGGAATTCAGAAGGGAGGGGGACGCTCGAAATATCCACACAAAAAGCCGCGCATTACGTGTGCGGGGGATGAGACGGGATTTTTGGGGTTGAAATGGAAAAGAAGCTGTTAGCTAAATGAAGATTCTGGTCAAGATAGTCAAAGCCTAAGCCTAATCCTCAGCCGAAGCCTAAGCATAAACTTAAGCATCAACCTGAATCTAAACCTACACCGAAGCCTAAGCCTCAGCCTAAGAATAATCCTAAGCCTAGACCTAGACTTAAGCTTAAGCCTAAGCCAGTCCGAAACCCAAGCGAAGCCGAAGCCTAAGCGAAGCCGTAGTCGAAGCCTAAGCTTAAGCCAAAGTCTAAGCGCAGCCTAAACCTAAGCCTGTCAAACCTAAGCGAAGCCTAAGTGAAAGCCTAAGCAAAGCCTAAGCCTAGACCTACACCTAAGCCTAAGTGAAAGCCTAAGCGAAGCCCAAGCCTAAGCCTGAACCTAAGCCTATGCCTAAGTCTATTTCAGGTCGAGAAGGCGTGGAACGCGATGGACCTCCATCAGGTCGACCTCCTTCCCTTCCCGGCGAGTCTCCAACCGGACAATACGGACCGGAAGACGGAATGTCTGTCGATTTCTCACATCCTTCTCCCTCATCGCCCCATCCACTCACTGGTACGTACCTTGAAATACAGTAGGCTAGCAGGGATTCTTTGGGAAAATTATTGTTCTAAATTATGGTGTGTATTTCAGGGGTTCGGGCAATCTAGCAGATATTCTTTGAGGAATTCGAGGGGTTGAAGTAGCAGGCTAACAGAGTTTCTTTGAGGGAGTGGGGGGATTGAGGGGGCGTTCTAGCAGAGATTCTTAGGAATTGTGAAGCAGACTAGCAGAGATTTTTTGAGGAATTGAAAGATGGTAGACTAGCAGAGATTCTTTGCGGACATCGAAATACCTAAAATTTCCAGCGGGCAACTTCATAATTAAACAAAAAGATGGTCGAATCGTGGCAGGTAGTCAAAATCAACAAAAATCGAGCAGTGACTCCTCTTTGTTCTCTCTTTATTTCAGCCTACACATCTATCTGGCCGTTCCATGAATTCTGATTAATTTTCTCATTTCGGCTTTGCATGACGGCCACCAGAAAGTGGACGTGGCTTCGGAGAATCCCGTATTTTCAGCGTGGGCCCGGCTGGAACGATGGGAGAAGCGAGAACGGATAGGGGAAACGATACCGCTGACAGGTGGGGGAGTTTTTGAGGTGTTGCTGTCCCTTTAAAATCGGATTCCAGGCGTACTGAACGTTTTGATGGGTGGTGACATCAGGAGAATCACGTTTTTAGGTCAATTCGCTGCAATAGGACTGCTTGCAGCCGCCGTACTCGATGCACAGCCCGTCTCTTCGGATTTCGATCTGAGAAACGAGGTATGGGGCTAGCTTGCAGAGATTTTTGGGGAATGAAAGCTAGCCGGCAAGCTAGCAGAGGTTTTTTGGGAACAGCCAAGAGAGTGGCAAGCTTGCAGGGATAATTTGAGATAGGAAAAGAGCCGGATAAGCATTTGAGAATAGAAAATTCGGGCGAGCTAGCAGTGATCATTTCGGAATGAAAGAAATGCAAGCAAGCTAGAAAAGATCATTAAAAAATAGAAAAATGCAGGCAAACTAGCAGAGATTTTTGAGAAGGGAAAATGAGATCGGCAAGCTAGCAGAGATTCTTTGAGAAGAAAAAATCTAGAGGGAAACTAGCAAAGATTCTTTGAGAATAGAAAAATGTGGCAAAAAATCCCCCTTCTAGGTCTCATTCGCCCTGATCCGCCAATCCGACCCGATCGGCTCGCAAAACCCGCCGGATGTGTGGTTGTACAACAGCGGCACCCGTCCCCTATTTCTCACGATCTCCTCATCAACCGCCGTCTCGGCACGACCAGAACATCTACGGCGGCTGACACCCGGATACTGTGTACGTGTACACAAAGGGGATTCCGGCGATGATGACAAGGCACAAAATGTGGGTTTTTCAAGGTTAAGATTTTTTTGTGGCTCGAAAGCTCCAAAAAAACATCAAAAACAAGGTGTCCCAACCCCCTTCCCCCTCGGAATTTGGCCGTGTTCTATCCGATCGGTACCAAATTTTTACCACCGATCGGGTCCCATAACAACTTTGTGCAGCCATATTTTCTAAACAAAATATTGTAAAACAAAATAGTTAGCGCAAAAAAAACGGATTTTTGGGAAATTCTGGCACTGATTTTTGGCTGTTTTCGTAATTAGCACGCCGATTTTGAGTAATTGTCCGAAAGATGGTCATTGTCGGGTCGGTATTTGCCGATTTTGTTGATAAAAATGATGAAAAGTCTCTCTATAGACGTAATTTTCGTAAATCAAAAATTTCCCGGGTGGAAAAAAGTGCCCTCTTCATTTTTGCTTAACATTTCCAGGACCAAATTTGTCAAAACCCCAATGAAATGGTCAAAATAAACCTTAATTTCGATATGACTTTTTGTTTTACAATATTTTGCTTAGAAAATGCGGCTGCACATAGTTTCTATGGGCTCTCATCGCTGGTAAATATTTGGTCCCGATCCGATGGAAGACGGATGCCAAGGGGTTTTTTGGGAAGCCCTGTAATTCGGTATTTTACAAATTTTCAGACGCGAATTTTGATTTTATCAAACCTGCTAGGCTAAAATATGTATTCCGCTACAATCCTGTTTCCAGAAACCCCGGCCGAGCACGACGAGTCCACGCGGAGGTGGGGATGGGTGTGGCGGGAGTCTGACCATTAGTGTGGGCAAGGGCTGGGGCCCGAACTATCAGAGGGCCCTCGCCTTGGATACGCCCGTACGCTACGAGGTCTCATTTGCCCCACAGTCGCCTACATCGCTATAGTATCGTTTCGGAATGTCGGGAAAAGGTTGGAGTTTGTAGCCTGTAGGTTCAGATTTTGGATAAATCTTGTTAAGATAGTTTGAAAATGGCAATGTAATGGGATTCTAAGCTTGAGCTTAAGCCTAAGCTTATGCCTAAGCCCAAGCCTAAGCCTAAGGCTACAAACTCCAACCTACCCCATCTGACGCATCGAGTCACACTGCCCTCCCCGTCAAAATCGAGCTTATCCTCCTTTTTCACCCCAGTTTTGGCCACTTTCCAGCAGCTTCTCCCCATCCCATTCTCTGACCCGAGTGTCTTTCTCAAATATGCAATATTTAAGCCCGAACTTTTGCCCCATCTCGTGCTCCTTTTTGTCGTTTTAAAGGGACCGGCAAGGCAAGCCTAAGACGAGCTTAATCCCAAGCTAGGCCTAACAAAAAAAGGAAAGCTAAGCCTAAGCGTAACTTGAACCTTTCCAAATCTTGCCGGTCCGTTTAAATGCAGCCTAAAGGTATGGCACACTTCCGACCCCCTATGATTCACTTGCCATTAGTGCGCTTTCTCTCCCCATCCATCCCCCCATTTCCCCCTCATTTGCATAACAATGTGATGGACACGGTGTTGATAGACGCTTTTTAAAGTATTTTTTGAATTTTTTTGGAAAATTTGCCTAGGCACTGGATATTCTAATATTGTTAAAGTATCTCTTCGACTTGACGCGCGCGCCCTGCCATCTACAGGGTGTGCCAAAAAAGACCCCCTTTAGCGGTCCGCAGTGATGTTCGATTTTTATGATTTGGGTATCTATCGAAAGCTCTCGACGAGCTGAGGAGATATGTTCTTTCCGATTTGTGAAATTCCCGTATTTTTATGACGTTTACCAACATTTTTGCGAAATTGGCTAAATTTTCGGGCTTTTTCCCATGCAAGTGTTTTTAACAAAAACCCCCGTATCCAATTTTTACATCTTTCCTGGCAGCCCAAGGTCGGTTTTTTGAAAGGAATTTGAGAAAACACAGCTTTAGGTGGGACTGAAACCGATTAAATCGAGTTTTTGCACAAATTTGCGTAATTTATGCCGAAAAAACGATAAAAATCGGGTTAAAAATTAATCGAATTTTGAAAATCGGAGAGGACGTATCTCCTCAGCTCGTCGAGAGCTTTCGATAGATACCTAAATCGTAAAAATCGCTCATCACTGCGGCCTGCTAGAGGGGGGTCTTTTTTCGGACATCCTCTACTATGATCTTCATATTTTCCACGATTTTTCGTTGGCCAGCCCTCTTGTCGCTCTCTTTCTCTGGCCGCCCTCCTCTTTCCCCCAACGCATTCCCACCGATCTGTGTGTTTTTTGTGTGTTTTTTTTGATATGTTTATGTCATTTTCTGCCTGACACTCGCTGCCAACCACGTCTACAGTATCCATACCTTATTGGATCTTACGAATTGTTCTTGATTTTTATGCAAATTTAATATTTCCGCGCTCACTTGCCCCCCGGAAACAATAGACCATCACATTCTGCGCCACCATATTCTTTTGAATAAAATTTGCATTTGCAGCTATTAGAGGGGGATAGAAAGAGAGAGAGAGAGAGAGAGAGAGAGAGAGGGGGAGAGAGAGAGAGAGAAGAGATAGAGAGAGCGCGAGAGACAGAGAGAGAGAAGAAAGAGAGCAAAATAAATAGAGCATTTGAGGGAGCGAGAGAGAGAGAGAGAGCGAGGGACAGGGAGGGAGAGAGACAGGGAGGGCGAGAGATACCTCAAAAAAAAGCAGAATGGTAAAAAATCGCACCTAGCCGGTCCTTCTACGTCGAAATTCACTTTTTGTAGCCGGCAATTTGGAGCTTGTAGTCCGAGTTTGGCGCTGTAGTTTGTAGTTTAATCGGTAGTTTGACATTTACAAATTCTCCATAGCAATTTATTCCAAAAATATTCACTCGTCTTTATCGTCGCGACATCGACATAGAACTGGACCAGAAAGGGGGGCGGGGCTAACGGGACTGTAGCTTGAACAGACATTTAAAGGGACTGGGAAGTTAGAATCTGCGCTTGGCTCTCTGCCAAAAACTTTTTTCACCAAGTTTTTGTTGCATTTTCGTTATTTTAAGCTTGATGGGAAAGATCAAGAATTTACATACTGGCTCGTGGGCGTTTGGGTTAAAGGAAGCTCTACTAGGTCTAGACAGTCGCGCAATGCACAAAATTAGAGTGTAGTTTGGCGTCTCGCGTAGCTGTCAAGATCTAGTAGACGAAAGGGGTCGATTCTAACTTATGCCTCCCTTTAATGCAAATTTAACTAATCAGTTGACAAGCGAAAAATAGCGCAAAATTTGAAACTGGCCCGGGCGGAGAGGGAAAGGGGACGGTAATCATGGCAATTTCACCAAAATGACAAAAATCGGGGGTTTGACGCGATTTTCAGGCTGACATTCACTTAGCCGAATCGTTAGGGTTGGAGCATTAGGGATGGGCGGAACTTGAGAAAAGCATGAGCCTGAGCCCAAGCCTCAGTCTCAGTTTAAGCCTAAGCCTAAGCCTAAGCTTGATTAGGTCGAAGCCTGAGCCTACGCCTAACCTAAGCTTAAGCATATCTAAAGCCTAAGCTGAAGCTTAAGCCCAGCCTAGCGAAAGCAACCTTAAGCCTAAGCTTAAGCGAAACCTACGCCTAAGCCAAAGCCTAAGCTAATGCTTAAGCCTGAGCCTAACTTAAGCTTAAACCTAAGCCTAAGCTTATGCTCAAGCCTAAGCTAAGCTTAAGTTTGAGCTTAAGCGTAAACCTAAGCCTAATAATAAGGTTAAGCCTGAGCCTAAGCTGAAGCCTAAGCCTAGGCTTAACCTAAGCCTAGGCGTAGGCCCGATTTTCATATAGAAGCCCCGCGGGGACTGGACAAGAATTGGGATGGCTGGGGGGAGCTGGAGACAAGAGCGGAGACAAGAGCACATTTTAGGAAATGACAAGGGCAATGGGGAACTGGGTCGGTTAAATGGGCAGGAAAACGGTTGATTAGGAGCTGACCTGCCGCATCGCGTACGCGTTGCGGCTGGCCTGCTCCCAAATCCGCCTACTTCCAGCCCTTTTTTAGAAATGGCGAGATCAAGGGCCGGGCCCCAATACAGGGCCGGCCAACTGAAGAAAATCTGGTTGGAAAACATCTCGTGTGTGGGGAAAGTACTGTGGTAAAAAAATTAGGTGTAAGAGGTATGGGCGAGTCGGGGGGCGTTCATCGTCTTCATCACACGATTCACCCACTCGAGCGCGCTGTTCAGATGGCACTGAAAATTGATCGTCACGTGCATCCGGGGCATTCAAAAAATATAAACCATTTTATCGTATTTTGTACAGTTTTTAGATATAAAGACATTATAAAAATTAGAAAACCCTTGACTTTTTCGTCGAAAATGTATGAAAAATGACCAAAAAAACGTCAATCTCCATTTTTCAAAATTTTAAAAACATTTGTTATAACAATTTCTAGGCTATTTTCTGGTGAATTTCCAGGCTGCAAAGAACTGACCTCAATCCAGCAATGCGTCTTCGAAATGTCCTGCCGTTGGTACCGATTTCCGCCCCACCCCTTGACGAACGAGAAGCGGACGTTGGCCAGGCTCAGGAGCGCGTAAACGGCTTCATGTCCCTGGAAAAGCATGGTCAGCTCCTTTCCTCAAAGATCGCTGCTGGTTTGCCCTCCAATTCCGCCAATTTCTCGAATAATCGCTGCTAGCATGCCCTTCCCGTCCCTAAAATTTTCCTCAAAGATCCTCTGCTGGTTTGCCCTCCAATGCGGCCAATTCCTCAAAGAATCTCTGCTAGAATACCCCATTAATCCCTCAAAAGCCTCAAAGAACCTCTGCTAGATTGCCCATGCCCTTAAACTCCACAGCAGAATTTAGCTGAATAATTTTCCTGAAAAATCTCTGCTAGCCTGCCCTCCAATCCTACGAATCCTGAAAATTGACTGTTTCTCCATCTCCATACCTTTGAAACAGTCTCATTCACCAAATGCGCGAATTCGGCGTGGTTGAACACCTTCAAGTTACAGTGAGGTGGCACGCGCACCACGGTATTTGGCGGCCACCCGTGGCGCTGATTACAGTTGGCGCTGTGGACGAATAGGGGCTGTGAGGAGAGGCATTCCAGGAAAAGCTGAAATCACCGTTTGAATGTCTCGATCAGTCGTCTCCTACCTCTCCTCCAATATAATAGAGTCGTGCTCCGGGTCCGATCAGCTTGCGCGTCTCCTCAATGTTGGCCGGTCTCGTGGCGTCGGAAAGGTAGCCGAGGCTCCACCTAGAAAACGTTTGCTTTGCTTCGTTCGTTTGCATTATCGGGGGGGGGGGGGGAAGCAAACTTTGTTAAGGATCAATTTTTAATATAAATAAAGAAGGTGTTTATAAACCGTTTTTTTTAGTTTTGTTAAACGTAAAAAGTCCAAAATTTTCAATAAAAAATAAAAAATATCAATTTTCGTAAGAAAAATATACGATAATATCCCCACGATATTGCACAAGCACCTTAAAAATTCTAGGCTCAGGCTTAGGTTTAGGTTTTGGATTAGGCTTAAGTTTAGGCTAGGTTTTGGCTTAGGCATATGCATGGCTTAGGTTACTTGGCTTAGGCTTGGGTTTAGGCTTGTTAGGCTTAGGTTTGGGCTTGGGCTTAGGCTTAGGCTGAGGCTTGGGTTTAGGCTTACGCATAGTCTTACCGATCTTCCGTATGCGGCGCAGCATATCCATCGATCAGCAAAAAAGGCCGTCTGGCGAGGAATCGAGGCCCGACCTCCTTGGCCTCCTCGTGGTAGATGAGCGTCCCCCACACCGGCATCTCATCGAATTCCACTAAAAACGGAATTTCTAAGAAGTTTAGGTTATAGCTTACCGATAGACGAGCTAGCCTGTCCCATATCCATCACTTCATCAAGATCGGTGAGCGACAACTCGGCCAGCGGGCTATTCAACGGGTATCGACTTGGTGGCATCTCGCCCTCGATGCACAGTGGCGGCAATCGAGGCATATCCTCACTGGTGGTAGATGAGGCCGGGGATGTCGCTTGTGAGCCGCCATCTCCTGTTGGGTAATCCACGACGAAACCCGCGCGGAGTTCATCTCCAGTCACCGTTACGATTGGCATCTGAAAATTCGTTAAAAACGGTACTGGGTCATTAGCGGGCGGGGGTATTTAGCCTATATAAATTTCCCAGAATTATTCGTTTAGTCGATTTTTAGAACTTTTTTAGCAACCTAAAGATTTTTGAAAAGCTTAAAAAATACGAAAATAAGTTAACTAAATGGTACTTGGCTTTTAGCGGGGGGGGTGTGAGAGACACAGTCTATATAAATTTATAAGAATTTTTCCTGCTTTTAGTGAATTTTTATTACATTTTTAGCAACATAAACATTTTTAAAGGCTTGACAAAACCCACCCGCTCGTCCTGCTCCTTCCGCACATGCTTAATCCGTCCATAGTCAACGTTCGGCACGGTGATCGACGGAACATCTGAATATCCTCATAATGCCTCTAGCAGAAACTCACTCCTTGCCATCCTCTGATAAACGAGCTCGTAGTGAAATGGGTTGATGCACAGGCTGGCCATCTTCCGCTCGTAAGGGTATCGGCACTGTGGCTGGGATTTCAGCTCGCTGCGGGACCGCAGGAAGGAGAATCTAAAAAAATGGCTGGTGAGTATTGACTTAGGTTCTGTTCTGTTAACGGGGGGGGGTGGTTTCATCTAGGCCGTGCTTACAACATCTTCGGCCGTTTTAGAAACGAAGCCGAATTATAAGCTTGAGCAAGAGCCAAAGCGAGGCCTAACCTGAGCCTGAGTATAAGCCTAAACCTAAGCCAATCCTCAGTCTAAACCTAAGCTAAACCTACGCCTAAGCTGGAGCCTGAGCATAAGCCTAAACCTAAGCCTACGCCTAAGCCAAGCTCAACGAAACAATTCTAAGAAATTTAGAATTCTGACTTTGGTTAAAATGCTTAAAAAATATCCTAAACCGGTCAAAATTTTCGGCGTTTGAGAAAATTTATATAAACTAGGTATGAATTCAAAAGCCACTAACTTACGCCGCACCTCCCGCCCCCCGTTAACAGAGAAGTATCTTAAAACTTTTCCCCTTACCTCCACAGCTTGCAGCACAGAAAGTGTGGCTGGGTGCCTTTGCTGGAAGCTGGGCGGCCGTCGAGAACACTGAAAAAAATATGGTTTTTATGAATAGCTGTCCAATTTTTGTTAATTTAATTAAGTTCAACTTTTTGCAAAATTAATTGTGCTTTAAAGTTGCTCTTTGAACGTTTTGACTTACGTTGGCACAAGAATACAATCCGAATTGCGATCCTCGGTCTGAATCACGCGCATCAACTCCTCGCTCGTCGACGTGGCGCCCTTTCGCATCCGCTTGCACAGCGTCTTGATCGTACGCTCCACGAAATGAGGGTCATCCTGTAATTTTTAGGATTTGAAATATGTTAACCTGCATTTTTCTGAATTTAAAAAACTATCAAAATACTTTTTTTGGCCATAATCCCCGAAAAAACGTAGAAAAAAAATTAGAACATACCCTAGCCTCCGGAATCTCATCCTCATTCTTGATGAGACCTTTCAGGGCGTGGAGTACCTCCGGCGAGCATGGATCCCAGAACGGCATTTGGGCTCTGGAAAAATGGTTTGCCGGGGAATTTGGGAGAACAAGATAGAAAACGAAAAACTGAGCGAGAAGGAGCACGAGCTCAGGTTCTGGTTGCTTAACGGGGGGCTAATTTTCTTTATGCTGCGTAATCCCCAGGGTAACAAAAATAAACTTTTTTTCTTTTCTTTTTTTTTCTTTTTCTTTGAAACATTTTTGGCAAAAAAAAATCAAAGATTTGCGTGAGTTTAGATAATTTGTTTGGATTCTGATAAAATTTTTGCTAAAATCGTTAAAAGCCCCCCACTAAGTGACCAGCTCTCGAGTCGGTGGAGATATGAAAAACGAGAAGTCCCAAAATCTGGTCCAAAAGTGGAGCCCCGCCCTCCCCGACCAAATCTTTTAAAACTTTCCAAACTCGGTTGGGCGGAGCAAGAGGGGGAGCAAGAGGCGGGGCAAAAGGCGGAAAATCTTTTAAAACTACCAAAACCGGGTCGGGAGCAAGAGTCGGAAGGAGCAAGAGCCGGCAAAGGGCGAAAACCTTTTAAAACTACCAAAAGCGGGAGGCAAAAGCGCGCAAAGCAAACAAATTTTTTGGTTTGTGGCAACATGTGCAGCGGGTGAGCAGGAAGCGAGCGGGAGGGCGGTAATGAGAGAGAGAGAGAGAGAGAGAGAGAGAGAGAGATAGAAAAGCTAAAAAAAGCGAGGCCAGTTTGCCCCCAGCTGGCCCTCCTCCTCCCCCATCGCCCAAAAAACGAACGCGATAGGGGAAAGTGGGGGCAGTAAACAAGGCAGAAATACACACAACCCGGGGGTTTACCCCCTGCCCCGGTTGTTGATCACAAATTCATCGCTTCCCGGGCGCGGCGCCTCAAAACTTTCGAAAGGGCGCGCAGCGCAGAGTTGTAAATAATCCAGCCAATTAAACGCCCCGAGAGGGGGCGCGGGATGGGATTTGTTTTTGTGGCTTTTGGATGAGTGATGAGGGCTGGAGAGTTATGGAGCCAAACATAATACGCCGATGATTTGGCGGATTTGTTCAAATTAAGGGCGAAAAATTACGCAAAAACTAAGCGAGAAATTGAATTTCTATTATTGCACGGGTTTCAATTTAAAAGAGAAAAAAGCTCCAGAAAATCGATACCTTAAAGGTTTTTCAATCGATCCAACTTGACCTAGGAGATTTGTTCCTCTTCTTGAAATGTTCTTTAGTAAATTTCAAATATATTTGAATGAGAAAACTCTAAAAAAAAGTCCGAAAAAATGTAAAACGCGTCAAAACATCGCATTTTAGTCATTTCCGGCTCGAAAAAGTCTCGTTTGAGAGCTAAAATTATTTTTTTAATGAAAATGCGATGTTAGTGGCTAGAGGAAACCTATAAAAAGTCGATTTCTGCAAAAATACAAGCCTGGGTATTACAAAGTTGACACCGATTTAAACTTATAACTTCCAATAATCCATTTAAGCCTATAAACGCTCAACTAGTTAGTTTAAATGAAAAATCAAAGTTTCAAGACTATAATATCATCGCCCATTTAAATAATGACAACTTTTGTACGCTCTAGACGTTCAAAAAAAATTTAAGCGCAAAATAAAAGCTTGGGAATTAAAAAAAAATTATCACCCGTTTAAACGATGACAATTTTAGATACACTAAAATTCTCGAAAAATCAATTTAAGCGAAAACGAAATTTTTAACCCTTAAAACCTCAAATGGTCACCTTCAGATAAAAATAAAAGGGAGGATGACAAAAGCGCCAAAGCAAAAGCGCCAACGACAAAAGCGCCCATGCAGAAGCGCCAAACGAAAAGCGCCCAATGCCAGAAAGCGCCCAATGCCAAAAAGCGCTCAATGCCAGAAAGCGCCCAATGCCAGAAAGCGCTCTATGGGGAAAGCCAACGTATGGAGAGAGGAAACAATTACATAAAATGGCTTTTTTCAAGCTTTGTATGCCTTTTAAACGTTGTTTAGCGATAGGTAGGCTTTGTAGACGGCAAATTATCACCCCGAGCGGGTTGTTTTGGCCTTATTGGGTCTTTTTGGCTTGAATTGCCGTGTTTCAGTCTCTAGTTTTACCGGGTTTGCCTCATGTTCTCACGATTTCTGATGTTTTCAGTCACAATACTGTTGCAAGCACGAAATACTTGTTATAAAACAGTGTTTGGAGGCCAGAACGACGAGAAAAACGCCGTATTTCCGGGTAATGGATCCGAAAATGGCACTAAACAAGCTTTCCACGGCGACTTTATACCTTTCTCACATTAGAAATGTATATTCGGACCGGAGACAGAAGAAAAAACTACGTCAAAAATAGTGGAAAAGCTGCTTTAGAAGAGAACTAGCTATTCGAGTGAAAGAATGCCCTAGGAGGCCAAAATAACTTCACCCAGTCGGTAATTTATGGCCTAGTAGGTCGAACTGCCGCTAAACTACCATAATAACACCAGAAAACCGATTAAAACAACTATTTTATCTCTACCTTATGTAATTGTTTCCTCTCTCCATACGTTGGCTTTCCCCATAGAGCGCTTTCTGGCATTGGGCGCTTTCTGGCATTGAGCGCTTTTTGGCATTGGGCGCTTTCTGGCATTGGGCGCTTTTCGTTTGGCGCTTCTGCATGGGCGCTTTTGTCGTTGGCGCTTTTGCTTTGGCGCTTTTGTCATCCTCCCAAATAAAATTTTGAAGACTAAAATCATCACCCATTTAAATAGTGACAATTTTCTAGCATCTAAGCTCTTAATCCAGACCCCGCCAGGGCCCCCCCCCAGCGCTTCCCCATAGCAACAGAAAATCGGGTGTGGGTGTGTTACATGGGAATGTGGCGGTGCGGGCGAAGGGACGGGCGCCAAAATTGTGCACTTACACAGCTGCACGTTGCTCTCCTCCCATCCCCCTGGAGCGGACGGCGCGAGCAGCGCGCGGGGCTCGCTCAAAACGATAAGAAACGCCCCAGCACCGGGGATCGCGCTCACGGGTTCGATCCGTTTCGCCCAATTGGAAGGGAGCGGCGGGTGGGGCAAGTAATCGCACGCCCCTCGCAGCCAAGACGAACACCAAAGAAGGAGCTTTTGCGTTAGCGGGGGAGGTATTACTTTAATAACTAGACGATAAAATAACCGTTAAAGTCGACAGTATACCTTAAATTTCACTATAATTACGTCGAATTTAAAACGTATTATTCATAGCTTTAACTCGTGTATTGTAGTGTAGTTTTTACAACGTATTATTCATAGTTGTTTAAAAACCTAGGTTTTTTCAGATCGTTAGTTAGCAGAAAGGTTCTAATGCGTTAACGGGGGGGTTAATTAATTAGATGAATTTCAAGTTATTTATAAAATGGAAAATTAAGAATCAGAAACTATCGAAATTTCAATATTTTTAGCCCAAAAAATCGATTTTATGGTATTTTTGATAACGATTTTAAGTTTTGAAGTTTAACAACAGTTTTAGCCTTCTTAGACAATCTTTTAAAGCGTATTTTTAGATTGCAAAGGTTCCTGAAAAACTGGTAAAAAAAATCTATGAATAAAGCATGCTCAAAATCTCAATTTTTTTGAGGCTTCTACATTATTCAGTAAAACATCAGAATCTACTTAAAACCATAAAAATTTTTGCTATATCATTACGATGAAGGCATAAAAGGGGATTGAATCAAGCAAGTTAGACCCCCCCCCCGCTAACGAAATAGCACCGAACGATTGAAGGGTGAGTCAGGGGGATGGCAGAGCTAGCGTGGGGATCACTGGGTGCGATGGCAAGCCTAATGGTGATCGCTTATAGGATTAGTGGCTACGAGCGCTGCGCGTCCAGGTGCACTCTTCAATTTGGCGATGCGTCAGGGTTATCGTCGCCCAATTACCGCAGCCCCCCCCCCATACGGTTAATTGTGGTCCCGCCGGGTGTTCCCCTAATGGAGCTTCTCGGGGGGATAAGGGCTGAAACCGTCTGTTCTTATAATAAGCCCGGAAGCGGAAATAGAGTTTAGTATCAGGTCAGGTTTACTAAGCCGGAAAAGTGATTGATGAAGCGTGGATTTTTCTGTGAACTTGATAGATTAAATGCTTTAATATGTTGCTGCATTCAGCAAATATTTTTGGCCTGTCCGCGAGCGTTAGTTTTATACTTTTTGTTTTTAATATGAGTAGCAGCAGATACTAACGTTGGTTTCAGGAGTAGCATAGCTCAAATTTTAGAAATAAGGTTTTCTAGAGAAAACGTGCTGTGTGCGGGGAAATAGCAATTGATTATGAAAAAATCGATCAACCACATAGCCTTCTTCACTACGGATCCTCCCGAAAGACTAGCTTTTCATCATTTTTCTCGCCAACTAAGGATCCGGCTTTGTCAATCGATAAAACCTCGTAGGCTAGTTTTAGATATAGATTTAGGTGTAGCTGGAGGTAGGCGAAGTTTCCAATAGTAGCTGCGCCTCGCAATCTGCCCCAATCGCCGTCGAATCGTGTATTTTTGTGCGACGATAGTAAACAGAGATGGTTGTGCACGGCTGGCCGACCCTCTCTCGTGCCAGCCGTCCAAGCGCACATTGTACGCACGTCCATAGGTGCGTCATGTAGCTTCCAAGTAGAAAAACCTGCCCTAACGTAAATTTTCGAGATATTTTTTTCAAAATTGAAAAGAAATCTTTTATTTTTGCTAATATATCCGATATTATTTATTAAAAAAATTGTTCTACACTTTTGAGAGAATATCGGCAAGTAACCCCGAAAAATAAAACCGATCCTAGCGTAAACTTTCGAGATTTTTTGAAAAAAATTACTGTCTATTTTCTTTAATACCAATTCGGTGTATTACAAACCATAGTACACTTTTTAGATAGGAACATTAGTGGCCGCGAAAAAACCATTACGAACGTAAATTTTTGAAATATTTCGCCAGAAAATCCTGTAACTCTTGTATTTTCTATTTTGTGAGTTCAAAAACAATTCTATATTCTTTTTTAGATGCCGAAAGGAAGACGCGGAAAGGCCGCACGACGCGCTCGTGCCGGCGATCTCGGCCTCCGACAGACAAAGCGAAAATTCTCCGGGAAACACGTAAATTTCCTAATTTGTTTTTACATTATTTCGTAGGCAAAACGATCAGAGCGCCGTGCCGAACAGGCAGAGGAAAAGCGCGACTTGAACAAATTGAAGGAGGCAGTTGTCGCATCAGCGGCGAAAGCGGAGGAAGAGAAGTATGTTGTTATACCCAAAATCTATTATTGTTTCTAGAATCCCGCACTCGTTTGTCATCTATCGTGGTGAGGTCGGACGTTATGTTCAGCGCTTGGTGCGCGACGTGCGCTTCATCATGGAGCCGAACACGGCTAAGGACTTGCAGGTGAAAAGCCGCCTTTTTATTTTTATAAATCCAGAATTTTTAGGTCAGAAAAAGCAACAACATGCGCGATTTCGTGGTGAACGGGGCGCTGCTCGGCCTTACTCAAATTATCACTTTCACGCGCGGCGAGAAGCACCTCAATTTGCGAATTATGCGCACCCCGCAGGGGCCCACGCTTACGTTTAGAGGTGAATTTTAAAAGTATTATTCATATTGATTTTTAGTGCAAGCGTATACGCTCAAGCAGCATCTACTTTCGAAGCAGAAGAAGCAAATGTGGTGCGAGCAGTTGTTCCTCAATTCTCCACTCGTTGTTATGAATGGTGAGTTTGAGTTTAGCATTTTTTTAGGAACCTTCTCGATGTATGAGCCTATGAACAAGGTTTTCCTTTAGGTTTCAAATCCGACGAATCTAAGCGCCATCTACAACTTGTCCAGACGATGTTCCAAAGCATGTTCCCAGCCCTCAACGTCGACACGGTGAGCTGCCTGTTTTTAACAATTAAATTCAGCTTTAGATCAAATTGAAAGGAGTTCGGCGGTGCCTATTGGTCAACTACGACCCAGAGTCGGATACGATTGATCTTAGACACTAGTAAGATATCCTTATTTTTTAAGGCTGAGTCTTAGTGCGATCAAGACTGTCATCTCGGGATTGTCAAAGTCGGCGAAGAAGTTGACTGTTTCGAGGATTCCGGATCTCAGCCAGTACAAGGATATCTCCGACTATTTTGTCAAGTGAGTTTCGATTTGTCAGGGACGTGTTGAAAAAAATTGCTTGACATTCATGAAATTTTTAAAGCTCTTTTAAATATTAGCATTTGTGAATAATGTAGCTCATTGTTCTCTTCAGCCCCGGACAGCTGAGTGAAAGTGAATGGGAAGACGAGCAGAAGGACGTCGAATTGCCGCAAGACATTTTCCAGCGTGGTCTCACCCAGGGCCAGAAGAGCAACGTCAGGTCCGTGCTCCCTTTCGCCCTGATTCATCTGAATTTAGGTTGATGGAGCTGGGCCCGCGGATACGCCTGGAGCTTGTGAAAATTCAGGAGGGTCTGGATGACGGAGAGGTATGCATTTTTCTTTTCGGATTATTTCTATTTTGAGGTCCTTTACAACAAATACGTGCAAAAGACGCCCGCCGAGGTGGCCGCCCTCAAAAAGAAGGCCCCGATGCTCAAGTAAGTTTTATTGATGCTTTTCTGTATCTTTTCTGTTAGGAAATTGCAAGAGCGCCGCCGCAAGGACCAGGAACACCGCGTCATCCGCCGACTGACCGCTATATCCGAGCGGAAGCAGCGCGAAATCGATCATATCAAGGAGATTACGTAAGATTATTGATTTTTTTAAATGATTTTTAATTTAGTGCAAAGGCGGCTCGCAAGCAGGCCGAGGTGACGGGCCAGACCGATGATTTGGAGGTCAACCGGAAGAGGGATCGCGAGATTGCAATGGAGAGAGAAAGGTATACCAGTAACGTTTTTGATTTCCATGCACCTTTTCGAGATTATTTTTTTGTTTTGGAGAAATCTTTGTTTCGATAATTGGCACTTGGAAAAAAAGAATAAGTAAAGATGACCAGGCAAAAATGCCAATGTAAATTTTGCCGAAATTCTGAGTTTCGTAGCATTTTCCGACTTTTCTAAACGGCAGCCTTAAAAAAGTGATTTCGCAAAGACCATGTCAAAAATTTAACCCATTTCCAAACTTGAATTTCAGGGAAGAAGATCCTGAAAAGAAGAAGCCGTTCACGTACGGGCGTAGGCGGGGACAGGGCGGCGGTGACGGTCAGAATCGCGTCGACGAGCCACAGCAGAAGCGCCCCAAGTTCCAGAGCGGCGGCCGTCGGCCCATGAAGCCGAGCGAATAGCCCATCCCCCATTCCTACCCATTGTTTTTTTGTTTGTTTGTTTTAGCCACCGTTACACGTTGCTGTTGTTGTTTCCGTCGTTCTTGTTGATTTTTGACTATAAAGAGCTACCCAATGGGACCGTTGCTTTCTTGGTGTTTTTTGCATTTCTTGTTGCATCTGGTATCTCTCAGCAAAAAGTATTTTTTATTCAAAAATAGAAAATGAATAATGAATGGAACGTCAAGTCAAGTAGGCATATTATCTTGGCCAAAATTTTGGGGAGGGGCGGGGGATGACACACGAATAATAATTATGCGCACACACACGGGAAAACCTGGACTATTTACAAGCTACGTTGCGTAGGGACGGGCGTACGGAGGTGTCTTGCGAAATATGAATTTTTTGGCGATGTGTTTGACGCAAGTCGAAAACAAATCAGATTTTTTAGGAAATTCTGTACGCCCGGGGAAGCATTTCTTTATTTCTGTCTTGCTGTCGCTGTCTCGTTGCTTTGCATAGGCGGGTATTTGGAGGGGAAATAATCAAAGGGTGGGGGCAGGGAAATGTATATCAATTATGCCTGGATCACATAAAAAGGTTGGGGTTTCAGGCGGCTAACAAGGAGTCGTTTGTTGAGTGTCTTCCGGACTTTGGGATGGGACCAGGCCAGACTAGGTAAACCCAGGCGGAAAAGGCCACAAATCAGCCACTTTTAATGACCATAAAACGCTTCGGAACAGGTTTTAGGAATAAGCAGCTAGTGCATCTTATTCAAAAAAATATCAATAAAATAGGCTACCACACAAAAAATTTGAAATTTGAAAATTTTGCTAAAATTCGGTCCATCAAAATGTAATAAATTTTTGCATTTTCAAAAATTTTTGATTAAATTGGTACAATTTATGGAGAATTTTTTTGAACAAGATACATTAGCTGCTTTTTTTAGAAACCCATTAGAATACATTTAGAAGCATTTTATGCCCCCAGAAGATAGCCGGTATGTGCGAGTTTTAGGTTTAAATAGGTCATAACTTTCGAGATTTGGCTATTCCGCAAAAACGGTAAGTACAGCGGAATCAGCGCAAAATTCTGCGCAAGATAGGCTTGGTCTTATCCCGAAGTCCAGACGCCACTCAAAAACGTCTCCTTGTAAGGAAAGCTGGGAGCTCGCAACGCGTCCGATTTCTTTACGATAGGAAATTGAAATACAGTAACCGAACGCAGCCGCGACGCGTGGAGCGTGAAATATTCAACTTTTAGGTTTAGATTGTACACATAAAAAGTGGATCTGGGGGGGGGGAGGAGGGGGGCAAGTGACTAGACTGGAAGGTGGATCCCCGTGGCATTTTGGGGGGCATGGTGGGGTGTAGTGTTTTTTAGGGGACAGCCTGGGCTCCAGTTGAATTTTAATTATTTTGCAAACTTTACTAATCACCGATTTTAAAACGGTTTCAGAAGAGTTTTGAGAAAACTGGACCCTCCCAGGCTGGGGCAGTCAACCGGGTCATTACCGTATCACCGGCGGGTGCTGGGTTTTTGGGGACGGACATAGGAACGAGTGAGATATGGTGATGGCTGCGGCGTTCTTCTAGGTATTCGCCGCCATCAGCCGTGCCTTCGCGCACTCGGGGCACAGGATGTCGGTGCCGTCTGTGATGAAGCCCTGGAAAAAAATATGGATGCTTTGATGAGCAGATACGGCAGCTACGCTAGGGCGCAAGGTAGGTTTTGGGGTTCTGAATTGTTAGCAGGGGGGAACCCAAATTTTCCCCCTGACTCTCTACCGCCCTATAACAAAACCTAAACCATTTTTATAGCATTTGACATAGCTTTTAGATACAAAAAAAATATAAAAAATAATAATAGATTTTTGAAAATTTTTGAATTTTTAGCCAAAAATATATAAAAATGGCGAAAAACGTCAAAATCTTCTAACTTTTATAACTTTTTAGCAATGAAAAACTACTAAAGGATTATAAAACAACATAAATAGATCGACCTGGTCCGAATCGATAACGCCACTTAATTCCTGCCCACCTTTCCGACCAAACTCGTCGTGCACTGGGCGCAGATGAAGCAGTCGTTGTGCCAGTGCCGGTCCTCGAACGAGATGAACTTGGCGCCGCCGATGCCTGGAAATGATTCGGTGGTCTCTGCTGACCTGCCCGGCCTACAACGTACTCTTAAAGGGACGTGCAAGGCAAGTTTATGGATTTTTTTGTGGGAACCAATTTTTTTCGATCCATGCCTAAATTTTTTCTGGAAATAGCGGATGCGTTTCTAAATTGTTTTTAACGGTTCTTAACCCAAAAATACAGATTTTAATTAAAAAAATTGGAGAGCGAGAGAAAAAAGCTCGAAAAATTGGTTTTTCGCCCCAAAATGACTAAAAAACGTACTCAACAATTTAAAAAGACTTTAGATTTGCTTACCAGGCCAACCGGGGCCGCCAAAAAATCTATGCCTTGCCAACCCCTTTAATTCACCATCCTCACCAGTGATTGGCTTGGTGCACGCGTTGCACCGCTTCGCGAACAGATCCCCGTAGCAGTTGGCGCAGTAGGGCTTCTCGTCCTTGCTCGTGAACCTGGGGGTGGGGTACGGTAATTGGGGCACCGGATAGGGGGGCCATACCTCTGCCCGGCCAACGATGCCTGGCAATTGGAGCAGCAGAAGCATTCCCGGTGCCACGGCTCGTTCTTGTAGGTGACGCCGCCGGTGGTGATCACCTGGAAATTGGGGGATTTTACGTTAGAAAACTGCAATTTAAGGTAAGAGTGCTTAAAAAATGCGGAAATCATACATTTTTAGGCTACAAACCACAAATTACCTTTTTGCACTTTGTGCAGCGCGTGGCGAACTTGTCCTCGTAGCAGGGCGCGCAGTAGACGTCCTCGTTCTTCGGGATGAAGCTCTTCGTCCCGATCGGGGCATGGCAGTGGGCACAGCAGAAGCATTTGTCGTGCCATTGTTTGCCCTTGTACTCCATCTTCTTCATTCCCGCGCGGAAGATCTCGCCGCAGCCGTCGCATCTGGTGGCGAACGCCTGGTCGTAGCAGTTCGAGCAGAAGATCCTGGAATTGAAGGTTTTTGAGGATATTTGACTTTTTTGTTTTATGTCTTCTGTCTGTCTGTCTGTCTGTCTGTCTGTATGTCTCTCACTCGCTCTCTCTCTCTCTCTCTCTCTCTCTTTATAGCTCGCTATCTCTCTGTATCTCGCTCTATCTGTCTCTCGCTTTTTCTCGCTCTGCTAGATCGTTCTCTAGCTGTAATTCTCGCTCGCTCTCGCTATCTCTCTCTATCCCTTTCACTGTCTCTCTCTGGCTCTCTTTCTCTCGCTCTCTCTCACCTATCATTCTTCGATCCAAACGGCATATCCACCAACGACACTTTGCACATGTTGCACAGGAAACAGTGCTCGTGCCAATGCTTCTCCTTATACGACAGATCCTGAAATTGAGCATGAATTATTTCAAAAGAGCAGGAGACTGTTACCTTTGAATCGATTCCAATCGGCTTCGCGCACTCATCGCACGAGTTTGCGAACACATCCTCATAGCATTTGATGCAATAGGGCTGCTCATCGCGCATGATATATCTAGAATCATTAGGTTAGAGAGAGAGAGAGAGAGAGAGAGAGAGAGAGAGAGCGAGAGCATACGTACCTCTGTCCGGTGAGTGTCTGATCGCATTGCCAACAGCAGAAGTGGTCGCTGTGCCAGTCCTTGTTCATCGCCTTTGTGTATTCACCCGCAAAGATTAGCTGAAAAAACACACAGTCATTAAATTTATTTAGGTACGGTAATGGAGTTATTGTAAGGAGTACTGTAACGGAAATTCATGATTAGCGTCTAAAGAATGCCTTGAAAATCAAGAAGACGCGAAGTAGCTATCTATGGCTTTGCTTAGGAAAAAGTTGGTTCAACGAAGCCTAAACTTAAGTCCAAGCCCAAGCCCAAACCTAAGCCCAAGCCCAAGTCGCAGCTAGGCCCAAGCGAAGTCTAAGCGAAGTCTAAGCCAGGCCTAAGCTAAGCCAGGCCTAAGCCCAAGCCCGGGCCTAAGCCTAAGCTAAGCCTAAGTCCAAGCCGCCTTTTGAGCACCTTATTAAAACAACAACTATCAAAATCGGGGTTTTTATGGTGAGTATGTTGGAGTATTTGTGTTTGGTTGGTGGGGGTATATATTTGTGGGGTGTGGGTATTCTCAGTTTCCGGCCCTTCCCCTCTTTTCCGGCGGGCCCCCCTTTTCTCTAGCCAATTCCGGTCACTCAAGCATAAAGTGGCACTAGCCCCGGCCGGCTCTGCTCAACAAACCCTACTTCCCCGTTTTTTGCGAGGAGCACGAGGAGGTTGGCATTGATCCTGGGAATGTTGAAATTTTCAAGATGTTGACGTACTAGTGTCGGTCAACTAGCAGAGATTTTTGAGGAAACAGAAAATGCTGGTGGGGGGATTGAGCAAACTGACGGAAATTTTTGAGGAGCATGAATTTGGCGGGAGCTCATGCTCAACGAGCAGGCTGGAGGAGGTTCTTTGGGAAAACGCTGCAAAATTCTGAGGCCAAATAATCGTCGCTCAATGGAGTCCAGGGCGAGCCAGAGCTAGAGAGGGAGCGCGAGAGAGCGCGAGAGAGCGAGAAAGAGACAGACAGAGAGAGCGAAAGAGACAGACAGCCAGACAGAGAGAGCGAGACAAAAACAGAGCGAGAACAATAGTGAGAGCGAGAGTGAGAGAGAAAGAGAGCGAGAGAGCGAGAGAGCGAGAGAGAGAGACTGCCAGCACCTGATAAAGCCGCAAAAATCGGCCCATTCTCGATCGGAAGCCATAGCCAAAAATGGCTGCCCCAGCCCGTTTCCTATCGAGAATTGGCGCATAATGGCCGCGGGATACGGTAGATGGGGCATGAATTAGGCTATAATTTTGCTAAAAGTCAATTTTAAAGGGACTAGGAAGGCTGTACGAGCAAGTTTTTGACTTAAGTACCCCTATAAACAGCCCTAAAAACAAAAAAAACATAAACAACCTGAAAATTCCAACTTCCTCCCGTTTTTCTGACATTATAGCGAAAAGCCGGTGGCTGACAGGTTTGAAGCCCCGGGAAAAGATTGCTGCCGAAACGCGGAAGAATGCCCTGGGGCAACAAAGAGGGTTTTTGATGGAAATGGAGGGGAGGAAGAAGCCGCGAAAAGAATCGAAGAAAAAGAGAAGAGGTGGCCCACAACACCGGGCAGGGGAGCACGACTCCCTGGGGGAATGAGGCTCCTCACTCCTCTATCCTTCTTCCACGCTTCCTATCTGACGACCAGAGTCCACGTGCGTACACTAGGCAGGTTTTGAGCATGAACTGTAGCCTGAGCCCGAGCCTAAGCAGAACCTAAGCCTAAGCCGAAGCCTAATCTAAGCCTAAGCCTAAAGCAGAGCCTAAGCTTAAGCCTAAGCTTAAGCCCAAACCTAAGCCAAAAGCCTAAGCAATTTCAACAACTATTTTGCTCAAACCCATTAGAAAAATCACAAAATAAACGTAACTAGCTCGAAAATATTTTATTTGGCATTCTTTCGAACTCCGAAGGAAAATTAGCTATTTTCACAGGCGTCATTAGGCGTGTAGCGGAACAAAAAAGTTGCATTTTTGAGCCCGACCAAATCGATGGGTGTGGGAGATCGGCATGGACCTGTAGGGTGGGCCCTAAGGAGCAACAGCTGAGCCGTGGGAGAGCTGTGGGTGCAACGATTGATCGGTTGAGGCAAAAAAAAACAGGGTTTCGGTTTTTCTAGGCTTAAAAAGATGCTTAATCGCTATTCATTTTTTCTCTAGGTCTCTCTCACTCTCTCTCTCTCACTCTCTCTCTCTCTCGCTCTCTCTCGCTCTCTGACGCTCTCGCTCTCTCTCTCTCTCTCTCTCTCTTTCTAACTCTCCTATTCTAATTTTTGAACCCAATTCGAACATTTTGAACTCAATTAGAAGCGGGAGCACGAGCTTAAAGCTAAGCATGAACCTAAGCCTAAGCCAAGCCAAGCCAACCCAAAAGCAGGCAAAAAGGAAAGAAACCCCCTTAAAACCTGATAAAGAGCTACAAAAACCTCAAACTCCACAGCCAACACGACGCGTCAAATGACAGGCTCGAGAAACATGAGAAATACGAGGGGATTTGAGGTGAAGGACAAGCGGAAATCGGGCCCGCCGGCCAGAGGGGGATCAAGCTGTGTTGGAAGGAGACCCCCTCACTTTGTGTGTAATGCCTCTCTCTGGGGTTGGGATGAAGGGAGGAGGACGAGCTGGACGATCGGGCCTTGACGCAGAAACGGGGAGCCCCAGGTTGAGCATGAGAATTTCGCCATTAAAGCCAAAACGACAAAATTTAGATCGAGGGCAAGCTGGCAGGGATTATTGACGAAATGGCGCAAAGTAGGTGTTTTGGTCAAAGAGAACTGCTTGAGAATGAGCCTTTTTCAGGACCGCCTAGAGCAGACATCATTAGCGAATTTCCGATTAGGTCGACAGAGATTTTTTAGGCACAGTTGAGGAAACCTAGGATTAGCACGATGTCTTCAAGCTGGCCAGGTCTGACTAGCAAAGATTTTTGCGGACATCCACTGGAGAGGATTTAGATTTTGCCTTCCAAGTCCCTTTAAAAGAAAAGAATCCTGAGAGACTAGACCAGAATTTTGAGCCTCAGGAATTCAGAAAAAAAGCAAAGTTGCCCCTTATCAGTAGTGCCACACCGAGCCCTAAAATGTTCGATTTTGCGTCAGGAGGACGGCAAGCTAGCAGGGACAATTTGAGAAAGACTGCGAAAGACTGAGAAAGTTTTAATGAGAAAAATCTAAGCATAACCTAAGTAAGCCTAAGCCCAAGCCCAAGCCTAAGCATGACTAAGCCTAAGGCTAAGCCCAAAGAAAGCCTAAGCCCAGCCTAAGCTAAGCCTAAGTCAAATCCGAAGCCTAATCCTAAGCATACGCCTGAGCCAAGCCTGAGCCAAGCCTAAGACAAGCCTAAGCCAAGCCGAAGCCAAGTCTAAGCCAAGCCTAAGTCTAAGTTTAAGCGATGGCCTCAGCCTAAGTCCAAGCCGAAGCCCAGCCTAAGCCAAGACAAAGCCTAGCCTAAGCCTAAGCCAAAAAACTCGTTAAATGGTATACTAAACAATGGAGCTGTTGAGCATGAGCATGAGCCTGGGCCCCGAGGCGTCTGTGGTGGTGCCCAGATTGGGGGGCGCTCCCCCAAAAAACGAGGCTGGGAGAAAAGTGACAAGCTGTGTATTTGGGGGGCCATCGGGCTGTGTGAGGAGGAGAATAGAGAGGAGGATGAGGAGAAGGAGAAGGAGAAGCTGTGCCCCCTCCCATGTGTTCAAACAATACGCTGAAATATGGGGCTCCTGAGGCCCGGCTGGCCCCGGCCGCGAAAGCTGTTCTGCCTATTTTTTTGTGTTGGCCGGGAAATGTTGTCTACCTTGACCCGCCGAGGAATATTCCGGCTATGGAGGTGAATGCATATGGGATGCGTGGAAAAGTTGGAACGGTTGTTTTCGGGCTTTTGGGCGCGGAAAATATAGAAAAATGGATTTGCATAAATTCTACGTTCCGAAAAGCGCCGTTTTACGTTTCAAATGTAATTTAAAAAAATCATTGAAAATTTAAAAAATTGAATGTGGTTTTTGAAGCGCGAAATATAGTTTTTAGGGCACCTTAGAGACCTTTAAAAGCTAAATGCAAACTAGCAAAATTAAATTTGAGTGAATTACTGATAATATTCCTTCGGAATTTTCAGACAAATTTTTAACATTAAAAATAGTGGTTTTAAAATCGTCGTATTTTAAAAGTTAACATAAAACTAAAAGTGGTATTCTTATATATGCCCATTCCGGTTTTCCAAAATACTAATTTGCATAATAACCGTATGTAAAAAATTAAAAAATTAAATCAAACCAGGGTTGAAAAGCCGCTTCGCGTCTTTTCAACCCTGGCCCCCGTCGAGCGTCATAATATGCGTCATTTTGCATAATTCTCTCGAATTCCGATGCCAAAAAAAATGAAAATCTCTCCCTCCGCCCATTATATAGGCTCGCGCCATTTCCGGCATATGCTAATTAATTCCTAACAAAGTGGGTGCTCCATTTTCTAACAAAAACTTAATTTTAACGTCGAAAATAGCATAATTTGCAAAATCTGATGTGTGTGCAGTCATCTCAGCGCCATTACGCACCTAATGACGTTCATACGTTGCTTAAAACCCTTTCCCTCTTGAGATATCCTCCGGACACCCTGACGGAAGTTGCATGCAAAGTGGCACACACACAAACACACAGACACTATTTTTTTATATATAGTAGGATTTTGAGTGTAATTTGCATAAGGCTGACGTCAACCTAAAAATCCTAAACGCTGCTATATTCCGTCTCGATAAATTCAAAATAGCAAAAAAAGCGAAAAATTGACATAATTCCATATCTTTCTAGATACAGTAACCAATTCCACGTGATTCCAAAAAACGGTTCGCCTCAATATTTCGCCGTTTTTAGGTGTTTTTTTTTGTTGTTTTTCCGGGGAAATGAGACGACGCGACGTGGCAAAAACTTGGCAAAAATGGGAGAAGAGGAGGAGGTGGAGGACGAGGAGGAGCCGGTGAATCGAATCAAAAATAATTGCTTTCCATTTTGGAATGGGAGGGGGATGGAGATGGAGAAGAGAATAAATAGACAGACAGACAAACAGACAGACACACACCTCCAGCCCACACCAAATTACGGGGCACGCAAAATGGGCCCCGGGGCATTTAACCCCCGGCGAAATGAAGGTCGGGGGCCCAACCACCGGAAACTTGCGGAAAAATGGCGGCTTTTGGAGTGTTGCGGAATTGCAGGTGGTGGCCACGTCAACTAGAGGCTGGCAGGCGGGCTAGCAGAGATTCTTTGTGGAATTGGAGGGACGGGAAAGGCAAAAATACCGACAGTCAAAATCTCAAAAGGCGAAAGTCAAGTGACATGCAAATTTAGCTGTTCCAAAAAACAGTCGCCTTGAAAATGGTGGCCGGGATTTTAGCCTGTCGGTATTCCGGTTTGACCGAATTTTCGTTGTCGGGATTTTCGCTATCTGGATTATGGCTGTCGGGGTTTTGATCTGTCGGGATTTAAGATTTGGCAGGATTTTGCTGTCCAGATTTTGGTGTCGGTATTTTGACCACCTGGACTTTGACTGTCGGGGATTTTGGCTTGATGTGTTTTGGCCGTCGGCATTTTGACCTGTCGGGATTTCGGCTGTCGGGATTTTAGCTGGAATTCTGTAAGCAGCAAGGGCAAGCTAGCAGAGATCATTTGTGCACCGCCAGGTTCCGAAACTACACGCGATGACGTGTGTGGTGTGGTGGCTTCTTTTATGGCCTAGGGCCTTCCCAAAAACAAGGGAAAATCAGGGGGCGCATCCGCCTCGAGGGATGGGAGGAGGAGGAGGAGGCCCACAAGCAAAAGCCAAGCCGCCAATCAAATATATAGCCCTTTGTGGATGGGGGGAGATCGATGGCCAGGGATTGGGCCGGATATTTGGTGGAGTGAGGATAAAAATAGCGGTCAGAGCGGGCTAGCAGAGATTTTTGGGGAATTTCGAAAGCTGAGCAGCGCAATTCCCAAAAATCACCTATCAATTTAGCAGCGGTTTTTAGGAAGTATTGAGAATCAGCCTAAAATGGGCGCGAATTTTCAGTTGTTTGGAGCAGGCTAGGAAAAATACTAGCGAAATACCTAAAAATAACCCAACTGACAAAACCGTCGAAAACCTAGGGGTAGCCGCGAGCGTTTTTCGAAATTCCACCGTGCCAACTTGAGGTTCCCTTGTGAGTTCGACCTCCTTGCGGAGAGTGAGCTTGACCTCCTTAGGATTGTCAGGGCAGGCTAGCAGAGGTTTAAAAAACCAACAAAAAAATAGTGAAAAATTCTTCAGTAAATCTAAGAAAATTCTGAAATGAGCACGAGCTCCTCAACACTAACAAGGCAGATTAGCAAAGATTGTTAAGGAAACCCCATCTGAAATGAGGCTGAGCTTCTTAAAGGGATGCCGACGGCATAGTCAATCGGTTACGCGCGGAAAAGAAAATGTCTCTGCGCCTCTCCCCTGGGCGCGCTCCCTCCCCTGTTGGCTACTTGCCAATTTGTTGATGAGGCGGGATCGACACATGCCGTCGGCAGCCCTTTAAGAACGCTTAGGAAAGGAGGCCCAGTAAAATGATAAAATGAGCATGACCGACTCCAGGAAATCGTCTAATAAGCCTCAATAGCTAGCTACGATGCTTTGGTAAACCTTAGAAATGTCTAAAATGAGCATGAGCTTAGGACCAACTAGCAAGGATCCTTGCGGAAGCTCAGCCTCACCCGAGTGAGATCGATGGCGGGCCCTTTGCCCTCCCCGAAAAGTATTTGGTTTGGGTTGTGTGGTGAGTGTGTGTGTGGTGGGCCCTCTGATTCTTCGTCCCCCTTTAGGGCCCATGGGGGCCTAGTAGTTGGCCCAGCTTGCGAGGGGGGCCCTATTTTTGGGATTTTGTGACCCCGGGTGAGAGGGCCCATGGGCCCAAAAAGTTGGCCTCAACCGCGGGGGGGGGGAGGAGTGTGTCGGAATAACAAGTGAACCCGGGGGAGGGCCACTGATTTCGGATTTGGAGTCTGGCGGGAGGCTAACGAGACGAGGAAGGGGTTCTGGTTTAAAGGGAGAGTGACAGGGAGGGTTTTACAGGCAATCCTCTCAATTACGTAATCTTATGCTCATTTTTTCGACCTAGAAAGACCCACCGCTTCCCAGCCCCTTTAACCCCAACCCCAAGCCTAAGCCTAAGCCAAAAAACCACACCGTTTCGAAAACCGGAAGCTGGGTGTAAATTTCGGCAAAAATGGGTCCCCCAACGGCGCCAAATTTTGTGTAAACATCGCGCTGAAAAAGCGGCTAATCCTTTCCGGTCGACTCGTGCTCCTTATTTGAGGGGAGGAGCACCAACATAAACCCCTAAAGGGGAGCATTGACGCGTGTGAACGTTTGGCAACTATGGAGGGGGGTGGTGCTCGAATAACAAAGAGAAAATGGTGGGGGGCTTAGGATAAGTCTAATCCTAAGCCTAAGTTAAGCCTAGAGCTAAGCCAAGGCACATTTAAGCCTAAGCTTAAGACTGAGCCTAAGCATAAAACAAGCCTAAGCCTACGCCTAAACATAAGCCTAAAACAAGCCTAAGTTAAGCCTAAGTGTCATCTTAAGCTCAAGCCTAAGCCAAAGCCTCCACCTAAGCCTAAGCCTAAGCCAAAGTTTAGACTGAGAAGGTTTTCAGGAGATTTTAAAGGGACCGTGAAGTCTAAATTTCCAAGCAGGGCAAGCTAGCAGAGATCATTTGGCCCTTAAAAACCAAAAATTCGACAATCGTAATTTGTATTGGGTCGTTGATATGGGTGTGGGGGGATGGCGTGTCTTGCGGGTCCCGGAACGATCCACTTCTCCCGGAAAAAAGCTCAAAGACGCCCCATCCCATTCCGGGACGTCACAACGACGCCATTTCAATGGGGTTCATGTTGCTTTTTCGGTCTTTTATTCTTGATTTTTAATGCATTTAATTTGCTCAATTTCCGTTTCCAGTTACAGTACTCCTCCCCTAAAACGCGCCCCAAGATACCGTACCTCATCGCATGCGGCGCATCGGGGCTTGTGCAGCTCGGCGTAGTGCCGCTCGCAATAGACGTCGTTCTCGCGGACGCAGTACGTCAGGTCCACGAGCAGCTGGAAATTGGATTTTTGAGCTGAAAGAATCTCCGCTAGCTGGCCTCAGCTGTTCCAGCTGTCACTCTCCCTTTAAAACGTTGAAAATTGCCCGGATCACTTTTGCAACAGTTTTTTGATAGCGTGCTTTCATAATTCCATCTTTTCCTCTCCCTTTAAAGCGTTCAAATTATCATTAATGCGCGGGTCAGTTCCCCAAACAATCCCTGCTAGCTTGCCTCGGTTTTTCCAGCTGTCACGCCCCCTTTAAAACGCTGAAAACTCCGCGAATCATTTTCTCAACAGGTTTATGATAGCGAGTCCTGATTTTCCATCCGTTCCTCTCCCTTTAAAGCACACATTAAGGCGCAAACCAGCTTCCCCAACGAATCTCTGCTAATTTGCCTCAGTTTTCCACATGTTCCTCTTCCTTTGAAGTCTTAAATTCGCCATTAATTCTTGCCAGTTTCCCCAAAGAATCTCTGCTAGCCTGCCCCTCCTCGAATACCTGATCACAAGTTCTGCAGGTGAAACACGCGGGATGCCAGCCGACATTCTCGCCCAACTTTGGCGCCACCACGGCCATCTCGTTCTTCTCGAGCAGGCCACGGCACTTTTTGCACTCCTAGAGGGGTACGGTAGATGGGTGAGGATTTAGGGAGGAATACCATCGACTTGGTGATCATAGCTGAGACGTAGCCAATGTCCAGGGCGATCTCGTTACGGGCATTCACGAATTCTTCGTAAACCTGGAAAGGAAGGGGTTTTAAGATTCTCTACGAATCCCTGCTAGCTCACTCTCTCTCTCTCTCTCTCTCTCTCTCTCTCTCTCCCTCACTTTCTCTCTCACTCTCTCTATATATATCTCTCTCTCTCTCTGTCTCCCTTTGTCTTTCTCTCTATCTCGCTCTCTGTTTCGCTCTCACCCCACCTTTCGCTCGATCGGCGTCCGGAGGTGTCGACAGTAGGCGGCCGAAAGATCCTGGCGCGGAAGCTGGGTGAGCAGCTGCTTTTCCCTAAAAATGGGAATATTCAGGACTGGGCGATTGAGCATTAGCCTAAGGATAAGCATAAGCCTGAGGCTAAGCCCGAGCCCAAGCCTAAGCCTAATCCTAAGCCTAAGTTAAGCCTAGCCTAATCCTAAGCCTTGGCCTGAGCCTAAACCTAAGCCCAAGCCTAAGCCCAAGCCTGAGCTCAAGCCATACCTAACCCAACTTACCTATACTTCTCTCCGGCCGAGTTCGTTCTGGGGACGACATGGTTCGGCAGCTGGGCCATGTACTCTTCTACCTAAAAACGGGATAAAAAGTGTTTCCAAACTATTAAGCCCGTCGTATATTTTTTTGTTATGCCCACATTGCTTACTGTGTTTTAAAATTATATTGTAATAAACGAAAAACCGATAAAATTCTTGGTTACAGTTCGATACGATACCTTGCCTTACTAGCGTAAAATCCGTAAAATCAATGGCTACAGTAACCTTATCATCCAAATTCAGGGCCCATCGTCGATCGTTCCGCCAGATGCCGGCAGCCCGGGACACAAAACCGAGCATAAATGGGTCGGCTAGCATCCCCTCGGAGAACATTGAAGGGCATGTCGAGGTTGAGTAGGGGGGCATCGTTTAGAGGAATGGATCGGACGGCTAGGAGGGTACGCTAGCGAAAGTAGAGGACCCAGAAATGAGAGAAATTGGGGTACCACAGGCTAGCAAAGATTATTTGAGAATCAAGATAGAAGCAAGGTAAACCAGCCGAGATCCTTTAGGAAAGTCGCATTCCAGCTGGAAGGCAACCCAGCACAGATTTTTGAGGAACTGGCAGGCCAGCGGAGGTGCTTTAGGACCCGGAATACCTATTTGAAAAGGCGGGAATCAAGCAGAGTTGCTTGAGGAAAATCGCCAACTTCAGAATGGAAGCTAGCAGCGATAATTCAGTTACCCTAAAAAACCACTTAAAGGCCCGGCGAAGCCAAATCCATAGCCGTCCGCCCTAGGTTGCGTAGAAATGCGAAAAGATCGGAACGGCCGAACACCGCTTTTTAGTAGATCCGGAAGGAGTGGAGCAGCAGCTGATCGGCTGGTAGATGAACAAAAAAACAGAGGAACAGCTCTATAAAAGCGCTACTAAAGGCGCCGATAAGCCAATAAATTGTTGGAGGAGGGAGAGGGGAATGATTTGATGATTAAAGGGGGGAGGGTGAGGCTTTTCTCACTTTGCGAGAGGGAGCGAGAGAGAGAGAGAGAGAGAGAGAGAGAGAGAGAGGAACAGGTTTTGGTGCCGGGTTCGAATCCACAAAGGCTATCAATGTCATTCTGCACCCCCACGGACACACCAAAAAAGGAGCAGAGAATTGTAATGGGGCGTCGTAGCCGTGGGGCATGTGGTTTGAACGAAGCAAGAATAAGGTACAAATGGTTACGGCATGACAAGAAATATTGATATCAATACGATATCAAAATATATCCCCATTGGCCGCTTACGCTATGAAAAAGCAAACTTACAGATCCGTTACGGTATGAAAACCGAGTCTGTATCTTCGGTTTTCATTAAGATATACTTTCCATATTTTTACGCTATGAAAATGCTTAAAAACCTGCGCAACCAGTTACGCAAGCAAAATTTGAAATGGCGAGTGGTTACGGTATTAAAACAATGGCTTCCGGGTTACGGTATCAAGTTAAAACCGTCGAAAAGGATGCAATATAAAATTCTGCCTATTGTAGAGTCGTATGCAAAACTGAAACCCATCAAAATGCAAATTTTCCGCAGCGATCCTATCGACACCGGGGAAATAAATGGAATCTGGAATGTTGAATTGGGGGGGAGGGAATGAGTAGAATGAGAATCCGAGTAGCAAATACTATACTCCAATGGAACGCCATTCTTCGGGTGGCTTCTAGATAAATATTGGAAGCGAGAGAGAGAGAGAGAGAGAGAGAGAGAGAGAGAGAGAGAGAGAGTGAGATAGAGAGAGAGAGAGAAGGAGTGAGAGAGGAGTAAAAAAGTGGATTAATGAAGAGCATGTAGACACAAAATACATCTTTTGGGTAAATAGCCAGGTTAAGGAAGAACGGGAAAGAGAGAGAGAGAAAGAAAGAGAGAGAGAGTGTGAGAGAGAGTGAGAGAGAGCGAGAGAGAAGAATCTAGAGTACGAACGCTTTTGAGAAATTTGCATTAACCAAGTCAATTCACAAAACAATCCAAGGGCAGGCTAGCAGAATCTCTTGAAACCTACTGAAATCAAAAATAGCAGAAAGCAAACTAGCAGAAATTCTTTACTATTGCTTTCCTGCTAAGGCAGGCTAACGTAGACTTTTGAGGAACCCCGAGCCCAACCATGCAAAACTGACCACCTAGCGACTAGGCAATCCCTTTAAAATGTGCCCTATTTACCTAGGGGCTTTCAAGGCGGTCCGGACGGCCACCCGGAGTTGCAAGCCGCCAAAAAAGTTGCGGTCAACCCGGCGGGGGGTAAAAATACCAAGCTGTCCCCCCGTTCACTAAAAAAGTACAAACCAAGGTAAATAGACGTGCAACCTCGGCGGGTTTCGAAATTGTTCGCCAATTTCTGGGGTCGGAATTTTTGGGGGAAGGGCAGGCTAGCAGGGATTCTTTGAGGAAAATATCGTAGCAACGTGGGCATAGCTTATTAAATACATTTTATAAAATAGTAAAAAAAAAACCGAAAAACCGACCTTCTTCCGGTTCAATCCCGGCGGGACCCAGGCGTAGCCGTGCGCCACCGACCCGGGCGCATCGTTGCGCGTCGCCTGCCCCAGCGACATGTCGGCTAAAACATGGGGATAAGCTTAACCTAAACCTAAGCCTATGCCTGAGCTTAAGCCTACGCCTAAGCCCTAAACCTAAGCCTGAGCCTAAGCGTAAGCCTATGCATACGTTTAAGCCTAAGCCTAAGCCTAAGCCCAAGCCCAAGCCTAAGCCGTGTCCAAGCCCAAGCCCAAGTCCTCATCAACATACCTGGTGGCGGCTTGACGCCGAGCCTCTCGTAGACGGAGAGCACCTGATTCGGGGCGACCTCGTGCTCGTTGCGATCGCAGCGGCAGTGCACGCACACCTTCCTGCAAAAAGAAGCATGAAAAGTATATTAAAAAATCTGGCTATTTTGTATGTTCACGCATAAATGAAGGGGCCTCTGCTTGGCTTACCGGGGTCTTTAAAAGCAATTTTCTGCATTAATGAAAGTCTAGCGATCTTTAAAATCAAATTATGAATCCATTTGCGAATTAATACCCGTAAAAAGGATACTGTAAAAGCTAGAAAACCCCAAAATTCAGATATTGTTGTTGTGTGGAGGAGGGGTCGGGGGTTGAGTTGGAATATCAAGGATAGAAGGACAAAAGGAAGGAGGAAGAATTTGGTTGGCACTTCCAACAAAAGGGGGATCTGTGCCAAAAGTAGAGAAAGAGTGAGAGAGAGAGAGAGAGGGGGAGAGTGAGAGAGAGACATGCGGTTGAAGCTAGACCCCTTCTAGCCGCCCCTAAATTGGTCCCCGGGGGCCAGATCGGGTCTTGAGGAGAGGGAGCATCCAGTATTTGGGTGTCGAATCCGTCGGGTCTAAGAAGACATACTCAAAACTCAAAACAAAACTTGACTCCATGGGAATTCTGGGTTTTAAAGGGATGCGTAAGGCTTGGTTATGGATCGTTCATAGGAAATGCATAGCGTAACAAGTTCCCAGCCATTCCTTGCATCTTCCTTGAAAAAGCTAGAGTGCATCAGAGCGAGAGAGAGAGAGAGAGAGAGAGAGAGAGAGCGAGACTGAGTGAGAGTGAGAGCCAGAGAGAGAAAGCGGGAGAGAGCTACAGAAGGAGACAGTCGAGAGGGAGAGAGAAAGATAAAGAAAGAGAGATAGAGTGCGAAAGAGAGAGAGAGAGAATCAAGGAATTTCGATGTTCCTAAACCTACAATTTCCTAAAGAATTTCCCGAGCGCTGTCGATTGGTGTTGATGAGTGGATGAGGATGGTCTAATCGGGGCATGTTGGACGACTTGAGGGGCAAAATCCGTTGAAAATGCCTTTTTCATCGTAAAGACCGGCGTAGCGTACCTCGCAATAGCTACAGTACCGCCTCTTAGGATTAATATGAAGTGCCAAATAGCGCCGTCTCTTGGGCAGGGTACAAGGTAGCGCTACGTACTGAGTAGCGTATCGCACAAAGTAGCGTCACGTACTGATTAGCAATATGTACTGAGTAGTGTCGCGTACAAAGTAAGCGACTGTACGGAGTATCACTTCGGAATACTACTGTCGGCTTGGGTCGATCGGAGTGGTGCGCAAGTCCAAGCTCTCGAGAGCCCAAAGTTTGGAATGAATCTCTGTTTGGGACCCAGCTGGGGGGTCCGCGAGTAATTCGGTGGGTCCCGGAATTGGCGGCGACGGATTTTGCGGTGGCGGTGGTGGGAATTCCGCGGGGATCCGGTGGACAGATTAGCCCGTATTTGGTGGAATTCGGAATGCGGAATTGTTTTTGGGACTTAGAAGAAGAAGGCTTGGAATATACGCGGCCTAGGGTTCGGGGCCTTCACTGGGCCTTTAAAACCGCGTAGATACGGTATACGGCATTTGGAGCGTAACGGAATTTTGAGTAATTAGAATATTTAGGTAAAAACAACGACCGTAGTCATGTAAAAATACGGATTTTAAATTAGAAACCAGAAACTTGCATTCAATCACTTTTCACGGTCTTTATCGTACTTTTTACGTACGGTATTTCTGGATTACTGTAGTTAGGTGCAACGTAGCGTCGTGGAATCTCCGAAGGAGGTTAAATGGTCGAAAGTCCAGCTGCCGTAATTCCGTAAAAATCGGAATATTCCACAACTCGAGAAATTTGGATTCAATGGTCCTTTAAAGCTCTTTTGCGAACTTTTAAGATACGGTAGTTTGGCCCTTGGGTAGTGAATTTGACGTAGTTTAGCGGAATTTAAAGAAATAGTAGATTTTAATGGAATTCCGCAACAATCCAGTCACCCGTAATTCCATAAAAGACGGAATTCTGATGAATTATTGAATCCCTGAGCGTACGCGAGATTCCAATGGACACTTGTCTGGTGGGCCCGTGTGTGGCGAAGGGATTGGCGGGGGTTAAGTAGTAAAGATGGATGAGTACACGGGGCTCCAATCGACAGCTATCGGCCAAGGGGGATGAGATCAAGCAGTCAGTTCCGCTCTCTTTCCTCTCGATTACACAGCATGGTTCCCGTCCGGGGCCCATTTACCTGGGCCCTGACCCCAAAGCAAAAGGGGCAGCTTATCACCTCCGCCGGGGGTCAAATCGGGCTTAAAAACGTGAAAAAACCAAAAATTTTTAATTTTTAAAGCCACAATCGAGAATAATAATTTTAAAGGTAGATTCGCATATATTTTGTGCACTAGACTACGATATTTCACGCTTGAGGGCGCTGGAGTGCGCTAGAATACGTTGAAAAACGCTAGCGTACGCCAGAGTACGTTAAAATACATTGACGTACGCTAGAGTACGCTAGAATACATTGACGTACGCTAGAATACCAAGTATTACGCTGGTATACGCAAGAATACCTTGACGTACGCTAGATTACGTAAGAATAGCTTGAAGTACCGAAGAGTACGAAAGAGCACTTTGACGGAAGCTAGAGTCCGTATGAGTACGCTAGAGTACGTAAGAGTACGCTAGAGTACGTAAGAGTACACTAGAGCCCGCAAGAGTATGCTAGAGTAAGTAAGAGTACGCTAAAGTACGTAAGAGTACGCTAGTACGCTAGTCAGGAGCTGCTACCTCTTATTCCACTGGAATACGGAACGATCCGCCAGTTTACAGCTGAGTATGCTACAGCATGGTACTAGACGCAAAAACCATCATCCAGTGCGCTGAGGTACGCTAGAGTACGCGTGCGATGCAAGGCTACGAGCGAGTACTTTATAGTACGATATAGAACATTTTAGTGCTTCAGTAATCGCAATGAGTGCGCAACAATGTAATAAGTACGCCACGATACGCGAGAGATTGCTACGGTAAGCTAAATTACTACCGTAAGCCTTAGGCTACTATAAAAACAATGAAAAACTAGCGCAGCATACAGTACGCATTAATTCACTAATTACTTGGGGGCTTTGCTCGGCTACGCGAGCTTATGCTGGAGTAATCTACCGTACGCGCTGGTACGCTCTATTACGCTAAACTACATAAATGAACCCAGAAAATGGACGTAAACAGTGGCAACACGTACAAGAATGTCTAGCTACTACTAGCCATGTTGTTTGGAGGGGGGTCTCGACTAGCAGCCCCTTCCAGTTGAGCGCACTTCGAAAATTTGTGGCTCTATCGGCCCGGAGGAGGGGGCCAGGGGCTGGTCACGAGAAGCCCTTCCGGTCTTGTTCTCCAACCATCTTTTTGTCGAATTTGCATCGAAGAGGGGGCTGGCTAGCAGGGAGAATTTGGGAAGGAGGGGTTGGGGATGGTCAAGGCAGGCTAGAGGAGAGTTTTGAGGAAATAACAGAGCGCGGGAGAGAGAGGGAGAGTGGGGAAAGAGAGAGGGAGAGAGAGAGAGGGTGAGAGAGAGAGAGAGAGAGAGAGAGAGAGAGAGAGAGACGAGTGAGAGACGAGTGTGAGGGAGCAAGGGAGACAGGTAGGTAGGGTGGAAGAAAGAAAGAGGGAGAGATAGAGAGAGATAGAGAGCTAGAGAGTTAGAGAGATCGAGATAGCGAGAGAAAGAGACAAAGATAGAGCGAGAGAAAGAAAGCGTGTGCGATGGTTCTAAAGCGTACATTACAGTACTTTCAAATTCTAGCAGGCTAGCAGCAATTACTTGCGGAATATTTCAGATTCCCCGCTATCCAAGCCAGTTTTTTAGTCATAACTTTACCATTTTCCCATATTACCAAGCTCAAAATTTGGGTGTAAGTATAAATCTTGATTTTAAAACTACTGTCAAAAATTAAACCCGTTCCAGTTCCAGACGGGGCAGCTACAGCGTTTTTTAGCGCCCAGCTTCCCCCGGATCCCTACTTTTCCGTTGCACTCCACGGTGTACGGCTTCTTAAAATGACCCCTCTACACTTTTTTTCCTAGGCCTCCAGGGCCGCCTTAATGGACGGCAGCTTGTGGTTATGTATATTTCGAGTGTGGGGGGTCGCGGTGGGGGTCGAGGCTTGTATTTCACTCGCTCTATCGAAGCGAGAGAGAGAGAGAGAGAGAGAGAGAGAGTGAGAGAGAGAGAAAGAGATGAGAAGCCGTTGGATGGAAATCAGAGAGCCCTCGTCCTCCTCCTCCTTGTGCTGCCAGTTAAAGCGGCTGCCCACCACAAGCTGTAGCCTCCCCCTTTCTGGCATATAGCATATCCATTTCAGGGCGAACGGGGAGGGGAGAAGCCTGCTGCCCACCCACATACGCATTCCCGGCCCGGAGTAGCCCCCTAATTTGCATAAATGCGGCTGGAATCGAGATGATTTTTGAAGGTCAGAGAGGTTTGAGTACGCTATAGTACGATGTCGTACGCTGTAACGCACCGTACCTCTTTTTAAAAACCGATATTACGATATCGTAACCCCGAAAATCAAAATAACTCAAAATCCAGCCTCGAATTTGCATAAATCAAATCAAGCCTAGATTTTAACTACGCTACACTACGTCTCGGTACGCTTCAGAACGTTAGTAGTACGCTACCGTAGCATAGTGTACAAAATACTACGTTACAATACGCTAACAACGCTTCAATACGTTGTATTCCGCGGTAGTAATCGTGAATCCTCAAGCGTCATGAGCACGTGACATTGCGCAGCAGTACGCTCGGTTCCGTAAGGCTACGGCTACGCTAGACTACGCTACGTTACACTACGCGCTTCCACACCCCCTAGGGTTCGAATTTGGGTACGAGTTGGTCCCCAACGAGGGAAGTATTGGGTCGCCGTGGCCCTAGTCGTCAATCCAAAAACGGACGCGCTAAAGGGACGCGTAACCCTGTCGGCCCTCTTCCCAACCCCCGACTCGTTAGGGCCCACCGCCGTTCACCCAAAAGTTACGAGGAAAGAGAGAGAAAGAGAGAGAGAGAGAGAGAGAGAGAGAGAGAGAGAGATAGGGAGAGAGAGATAGAGAAACAGAGAAATGGAGGCCAAAATTGGGCCCCGAAACCGGGTGGGGACAAATCTGCGGTGAGCAGTAAGGTTATTGGAAAGTTTTGGGTTCGAGAGAGAAAGAGAGAGAGAGAGAGAGCGAGAGAGAGAAAAAGAGAGCTCGCGAGAGAGAAGCGCAGAAGTGAGCTAACAAGTAGAATTCTAGAATCCAAATTTTCGAGCCTGGCTAAGCTAGCAGAGAGCGCAAAAACAGAGCACAATCCCCTTTAAAGGTCTTGTGAAGTCCAAATCTGTATGGACACTTGGGTTACAGATCCCTTTAAATCCCAAGAAAGACCCGGAGCAACTTAAAAATCCAAAAAAATCCAATAGACATCTCCATGAAAAGTCCGGGGAACAGAGCTAGAGAGGGAGAGAGAGAGTGAGTGAGAGGAAGAGACAGAGAGTGAGAGAGTGAGAGAGAGAGAGCGAACAATTCGAAAAAACGCCCGGCAGACAAGACATCAAGAGATCGATCCCCCCCTCCCCCCGCGCAGCTTCTCGCTTTCTTCTGCTCGCCGGCCGGATTTTAGGCTTTTTGGGGGGATGGGCCCCAATCTGGGCCCCATCCAACTCTGCCGAAAATCCCCCCGCCAGGGGCTACATTGAATTTTGCGGGCAGTCGGCAAAAAATCGGCTTTTTTGCACGGGGTGGAGCGCTGGAAAAGTGTGAAACGGTGGGCGTTTAAGGGAAGGTTGATGCTCAAATTTCAACATCTTCAGGTTTTTGCAGGCCTTCCCAGTCCCTTTAAAAAATCAGAATGAGCTGTTTCCGAGCCAGTCCCCGAAACGTCCTCCAGCTGGGCCGCAAAAAAGCTTGTGCTCAATTTTTCATGTTATGAGGGTCAACAGATGTCACCGAGGGGTCACAACTTGCCACAAGAGGCAGGCTAGCAGAGATTCTTTGAGGAATTATGAGAAAATGGGTCTCTCTCTTTCTCGCTCTCTTGCACTCACCGCTATCTCTCTCTCTCTCTCTCTCGCTCTCTCTCTCTCTCTCTCTCGTTCTTTCTCTACCCCTCTTTTTCCATTTTCCGAACTACTTCCTTCATATTTCCACATCCCTGTTTGCATTTGAAGTTGGGCCCTTGGCCCTGACGGGCCCTTAGGGCCCATCTCTGCGAAATGCTTGAGATCCCCTTCTCGAGGTTCTCCTCTCCTCTTTCTCCTGTGGGTGTTCCTCCCCAGGCCCGTGGGCCCCTAATTTGCCTACGAGAGCGTGGGAGAGCAAGGGGGGGGGGGCCTAGTCAACTGGCCCTCATATATCCATGGCGGAAAATAAGGGGCCGGCAAGTGGGCTGGAAAACGAGCTCTGTCTCTCTCTCTCTCTCTCTGTCTCTCTCACTCTTTCTCTCTTTCGCGCAGGGAATTTGTCGACTATACAAAATCCGGAGGAACGATTTATGGACCTATAGCTAATGGGATTCGGAAACGACATGACTTTTGGCCAGAGGTCCAAGCCTAAACCGAGGCCGAAGCCAAGCCTAAGCGTAAGCTAAGTCTAAGCCTATGCCTATGCCGAAGCCCAAGCCCAAGCCCAAGCCTAAGCCTAATCCTAAGCTTAAGCCTAAGCCTAGGCCCAAAATACCTTGCTCCAATCCACCTGGGCCACCCAAAACCTACGGGCCCCCATCTATTATTAATCCATTCCCCCACCACCACCCCAGGCAGGTCCGATTCAAAAATGAATGGCACGATACAGCTAGGCGAGAGAGAGAGAGAGAGCGCGTGAGAGAGAGTGAGAGAGACGGTCTCCCAGGGCAAAAGCCATCTCCCCTGCGGGCAATCCGATACACTCCACCCGACCGACGGCCCAGCAGGGCTACGGGGCCGTCGAAAAAACACTATAGAGACAAGAAGAGTGACCGGAAGGGGAGGGTGGGGTGAAATGACAGGTGTAATGGAACGGAAAAGGGGGGAATCTGGATTAGGAAATGAATATTTGGGTCGACAAGCTGCGGATTTATCTGGTTTCTGACTTGCTGGTTCCTTAAAAGCGGAAGACTAAAAAACGAGTGGTAAAAACGCGAGAGAGAGAGAGAGAGACCGATAAATAGGGAGAGAGAGACCGTGGGATAGGGAGAAAGAGAGCGAGAGAGAGCGAGTCAGAGACAGAGCCCGAGCGAGGGAAATAGAAAGCTAAGGAAACCGGGAGAGAGATAGAGAGAGAGAGAGAGAGAGAGAGAGAGAGAGAGAGTGAGTGAGGGAGAGAGCGAGAGAGAAAGAGAGAGAGAAAGCTGGCGAGAGGTAGCGAGATGCAAATTAGAGTGTCATAACCTGATCAGACACGAATTCCAGATTTTTCATACAAAAAATCCGAGGAAAATCGATAAAAAAATCAAAATCACGAATTACAATAGAGTCAGCAAAAATTACAAAATCTACAGGATAAAAATCACTGGAAATCCCATCCTAACAATTCGACTTACACCGCCTTGTCGACACGGACCATGCACTCCGTGATGGGCCCGGGGAGAAGGGTACGGTAGAATATGCCTTAGGATACGGTAGGCAGCACAAAAATTAGAATAATTCGAGGTCGAGGGAATACCCCGGGATGGGGGGCAGCAGACAAAGGGCCTTTGGGATAGAGGGAGGGAGGAGGATGGCCAGGGAGAAGCCAGGAAAAGCCGGGATTTCAGGGGCGTGCCCCCCAGAGGGCACACACACAACCCACACCCCCCAATACACAACTAGGGGAAGAAGAAGCGGATATGCAAAAGTTGGCACGGGTCGGCTTGCGGGTCCCCCGGGGATTTTTCCGGTCTTTTCCGTTTCTTTCCTATGGACGTGGCTGGGGGAAGGTCGACACCGCGTAAAATCTAATATACACCCCAGGACTCGGTCTCTCTCTCTCTCTCTCTCTCTCTCTCTCTCTCTCTCTCTCTTTCGCCTAAAAAGAGCTTTCACACTGCCCTCCTAAAAGTTGCCCTCCCGTTTTGGGGTGCATTTTTCGGGTTTTTGCGACGAGCCTAAAATTTGAGCGACAGTAGGAGCTCCAGGGAATTCTCGGTTGAATTTGGAGTCCGACTCACCCGGGGTTGAATATAGCGTAATCGATTATCCCTTTTGATTAACATGTCGTAATCGAAAAAAATCCCTCTGAAAGGCAGCCTAGCAGAGAATATTGGAAAAATGGCCCCGGTGCCAGAATTTTCGACGGGCAGGCTAGCAGGGATTCTTTGAGAAACTGGACGTAATGGAGGGGCAAATTAGCAGAGATTCTTTGAGAAAAATTATTGCACTTATCCACCCTTTCTGCCGATTTTTCGTATCATGAAAAGTGCGAAGTACTGCTAGGTGTCGGGGCAAAAGCCGCGTGGGCTAGAATATTCAATGTCCGGGTTTCGGCGCGGGCAGAGGAGTAGCCAGTGGCTAGCACAGCTGACCGCAGGAAGCTGGGTTTTGGAAAGCCGTAGCTTCCGGTCAAAAGTAAGGTATGAGGCGAGCTAAGACTAAGCCTAAGCCAAGCCTTTCCCTAAGCTTAAGGTTAAACCTAGGCCGACACCTAAGCTTAAGCCTTAGCCTAAGCCTACGAGTAAGCCTAACCCTCAGCTTAAGAACTAAACCAAAGTAGGAAACCTAAGCCTATGACTAAGCCCAAGCCTAAGCCAACCATTTAGCTCCAGCTTAAAAGTTTCCAAAGCTCTATAATAAGCCAAAAAGTTGCCAAAAATGAGCACGAGGCTCTGCAATGTTTACATATTGCTTGAGGAGGAGGGGAAGGAGCGCGGCCGGGGGGATTTTCGCCGGCACGACGCCGCCAAGTCGATGAATTTGAATAAACCCCGGCGTCTGGGGGATGAAGAGGACGAAGACTGGATAAAATGGCAAATAAATAAAAGTTTTAAAAGCACTAAAACGAGAAATTACGCCATGCTACAAACTACAACGCTTCAATGCCGATAGCGAGACATCTAAAAATTGTCAAGCTGTCAAGCCCCTGCATAATTCCGTTTCGCTCCGGTAAACAACCCCCTTAGAAAAAAATCGCAGAAGGAAAATATCGCGGAAAAGCCTAGTGGCCGGCCGGGGGATGATTCAGGTGTTTGGAGATGACGTGCCCTCTCTCACGAGCCACACACCCACTTGCTGTCAAAAACAGAAGGTAGCAGGATTTTAACGGATTCTAAAGGGGCAGTGACAGGAAGAACAGGGATTTAAGAATGAGCTGAGTGGCCATAGATGGTAGATGAGATAAAACACGAGCCTCGGCACTTCAAACAAGCCTAAGCCTAAGTCCAGCCTAAGTCTAAGCTCCAGCCTAAGCCCATCCTAATCATCAGCCCGACTTAAGCCCAAGCCTACGCCTAAGTCCAAGCCGAAGCTAAACCTAAGCCTAAACCTAAGCCTATGCCGAAGCCTAAGCTAAGCCTAAGCCTAAGCTTGCCCTAAGCCTCAACCTAAGTCTAACCCAAACCCAAGCCCAAGCTAAGCCTAAGCCTAACCCTAAGCCTATGTCGAAGCTTAAGCTAAGCCTAAGCCTAAACCTAGCCTAACCAAAAATAGAACGAACCTCCAAGGATGTTCCTGGAATCCACGATTGCATCCATGGCACTCGCGACTCGCGCATTTTCGGCCCATCTGAAATTGTAGCGTTTAAGGTAGGCTAGCAGAGATCATTTAGGAACAAAAGCGACGAAAGTGATATGCAAATTACCTCGACGTCAACGACATGGACGCTGCGCACCGGGGCCGCCGTCGCTCCGGCCGTCGGCATCGGGACAGTCGGCTAAAAATTGAAAATTAATAAATCTAAATTTTGCGAGTTCAAGTCGGGTGTGGCCGCAATAATCGTAACGGCATATTTTCAAAAAAAATTCCTAAATTCGCGAAAAAATGGAATTTTGGCGTTTTCCCTTCTTGTCTCGGTGAGAGCTTTGCATAAGTATTTTTCAAGTGTTTCAAGGGGGCGGGTGGAGCTTGGAAAATTTCTAGCAACCGGAAATTCGATTTTCAAAGTGGAATTTCAAAATTCACCTTTACAAAATAACCTAAGCCTAAGCTTTCGCAAAGCCGAAGTCTCAACCTAAGCATAAGCCTAAGCCTAAGCTAAGCCTAAGCTAAGCCGAAGTCTAAGCCCGAGCCAAGGCTAAGCCTAAGCCAAGCCCAAGCCTAAGCCAAGCCTAAGCCATAAAAACGTTCATTCCATGCAGAGAAAATAGCCTCAAATTACCATAATTATCTCTTCTCTTACCTCCCGTACATTTAAATAGGCACGCCCAAAATTAGCGGCAATAAAGGCCTAAGCAACGCGCCGCTCCATTCGTCAAGAAAATGTATGGGGCCCAAACTTTGGAGGCTTATATCTTGAAAGATAAGACCTAACTTAAAAAAAGCTTGTTCCAACTTTATAGAATGGGAGACGGCGAGTCTAATGATACTAAGAACTAAAAAAACTGAGTTCAAAAAGTATCAAAACGAAGGCGATCTTTATTTCGTTTGAATTTTCTGTGATGTGCCGGGCTTTTGAGGGTCGTTTGTATTGGTGTGTAGCGAACGGCCCTGGGAATGAGATAGCCTGGTGAAAATCTAAAATGCTTATAAAAATCTGCTACTTCATCGTTAAGGCTTGTCCAGTATACCAAAAAATTCGCCTTTTTTTCGGGCTACAAAACGAGCTACAGGTCAGGATGCCTACATACCAAATAGCTGAGAAAATTACGAAAAAAGTCGAGCCACCTATCCTTTTGTCACAAATTGTAGTAAGAAAGTAAAAGGAAACGCCTGGTAGTGATTCTATCGCCAAATTCTATTTTATTTCACTTATCTTTTACATTTGCCTGTCCGATTACCCATCTAAAACATTCAAACCGAATGTTGCTTGCCGTCGTGGTACATACGTGCCGTGTAGCGCCCCGTAGCCTTCGCCTCAAATTGCCGAAAATCTATGCATTTGAATGGGCGTGTAGGTCATAGTGGCCGCATAAAGTATTAAATAAGAGGGTAACTAGGCGCCACTCGGAATGGTGGTAGAGAAAGTGCGAGAGTGCGAGAGATAGAGAGTAATCCGTCTCTCTCTCGCCTGGCCTCGGGGATAGTGCGGTTGCCTTTCGAGAAATGGATGAAGGTTCGAGTCCCCCCGGGGAATTCGTGAACCCACGCTCCCCGGAATAAGCCAGAGGCCTCAATATTTCTCAGGAATTCATCCGACACCCCGCAAAACGGCAACATTGTAAAGGGGCGCTAAAGGGCGAGCGAGCGCTAAAGGCTAAGCCTAAGCCTAAGTTAAACCCAAGTCCAAGCCTATTAAGGCTAATCCTAGGCCGAGCCTAAAGAAGCGAAGCATAAGCCCAAGAAGGAGCCTAACCTATGCAAAGCCTAGACCTAAGCCAAGCCATGAATAAAAACTTCTTCACGGCCTTTAGAACGCAAAAACGAGGCTTCGGACCAAAAAGCAAAAAATAAAAATCGTCAGCGGGTCCGAACCCTCGATAGATTCCCCAGGCGCCGACGACTACACCACTAGACCAGCAGACCACGATGGAGGGGGCATGGGGAGGGCTTATGAAGGTCGGGTAAAATCGATTCGCCTCGTCGAGCTCTACAAGATGAGCGAACTTTTCCCTAGTAAGTTAAAGCCTAAGCTTGTGCGAAGCTAAAGCCTAATCTAAACCCAAGCCTATGCCTAAGCTCCTTTTAAAGCTTTCCATAAAGCATAATTCCCCAAAAATTCAGAATCAAGTAGTGGCTGCAGTCCGAGAGCATATTCAGAAGTTGTTGGCCGAACCCATCGTTCGGACCCCCGTTCCGAGGTCATAAAGGGCAGAATAAAAAGTGAAGAAATGGAGATGGGCTGAAGGAGAAGAAGCAGAAAGCAGGAGGAAGGGGACAGAGCAGAAGCCGATAGACAGCCATAGAGCCCCCACTAAATGACACCAATTTATAAAACAACTTCCCGTGCCGAAACTCGGCTTGTCGGGCATCAGATATGGGGGTTTGTTTACAGCCAGCGGGCCGGATTTTGGCTTGAGAGTGCCTTTAAAAATAGGTAATCGTTCCAAGAGGTCCCAAAATGTCTCTGCTAGATGGCCCTAGCCTTCTGGGTCCCTTTAAAGATCGAAAAACATATCAAATAGTCTCTAGCAGCTCTCAAATCTTCTTTGCTAGAATGCCCTAAGTTTTCTATGTTTAATAATGATGAAATATTATTAAACCTTTGCGAAATTTGATTTTGGCGACATCCGATTTTTCGGCATTTTTCTTCTTTTTTTACGAATTTCGACAAAATGAAATTTCGACAAAATAGGATTTAGACAAAATTAAATCTTGAAAAAATTAATTGTCGGTAAAATGACATTTTGACAACATGATATTTCGAAAGTATGCTATTTCGCCAAAATGAAAATAAGCCCTCAAATGGTCTCTGCTAGCTTGCCTTTGGGTCGAAATGTCCTCAAAAATCAGCGCTAGCTGTCTGGTTCCCTTAAATTTCAACTTGTCACGCTCCCTTTAAAATGCAACTTACCGCCCGGCATACAGTCTGATCTCTTCGCGCATATGTCGCTTGGATTTCCATGATTTTGCGAAGTTGAATGTTCAAAAAGCAGATTTCAGGCGGCGTTTTTGTCGGAGCGTTTTTGGATGTGTGTGTGCGTTGTGTCCGTCAACGCTAGTCCCCCCAAATTTGGCGCTTGAGGCCCCCGAGGCGCCTGATTTACTGAGCTGGCAAAAATCGCCGCCCGGCCGCTTGTGAAAAACAGAATTTTCGGCTTTCCGGGGCGGGAAAGCGTTCCGGGGGTCATGGAAAATTCTGAAAAACTTGAATTTTGCGCGTGGCTAGCTGGCAAAGGGTGTTTGGAGGAATGGTTGATGGTTTGGGGGAGGGTAGCACAGACCATTTGGGAATTGAGGGCATGCTAGCAAAGAAGACTGGGTGTATTTTAAAATGTCGAAATAGCATGCTATCCACATTTCTTAATTTCCAAGTTGGAGGAAGGCTAACAGAGACCGTTTAGGACTCTGGATACTGGGGAAACGAGCAGGGATCATTTAGGAAGCTGCAGATAGGGGCAAGCTAGCAGGGACCGTTTATGACTCCGGGACTAGGGAAATTAACATGGATTATTGCGGAGTTGGATCGGGCAATCTTGCAGAGATCATTTGGGCAGATGCCGGCTGTGGCAAGTTAGCAGAGCCAACTTGGGTGCAGAGGGGAGGCTAGCAGAGACAATTTAGAAAACACAAGGAGGGCCGTAAGCTAGCAAGGCCAATTTGGGAATTGAGGGCAGGCTAGCAGTGACAATTTAGGAATCTAAAACGGGAGACAAGCCAGCAGGGATCATTTTAAAAAAAAACTAAAATATCCTGAAAAATAGAAATGACAAATGTATCGCGGGCTAGCTGTTTTCTCGTTGAATCCAGCCGTGGCCCGAGGCGACAACAAGCCCGGGTTTTTTTTGTTAACAAAAAGAAAGCTGGGCAAAGCGAAAAAAAAACAGAAAAGCAAATTTTGTCCTGAAAACAATAATAAAAAAGCATTTGGACTTTATACTTTATATAATTTAAAAAAAATAAAATTATTTTATCTAAATTTAAAATACAATTAAATTTCTGCAAAAAAGCCCGAAAATTTCATGCAATTTTTTGAGAGTTGCGGGACCTATCGGGGGGCGCCAGGGGGTGGATTAGTAGAATTTGTATAAACTGACGGCTGGATGCTCGTTTTTGACGAGGACCAGAAGAAAAATGGGAGAAATGAGGCCCAAGTTGTTGGGTTTATTGCATAATCCTAGGGGAAAATTCATGAATTATTCATTCATTCAGTTGAAGAGTAAAAGGGCAGGCTAGTAGGGCTTCTTTGAGGAATTAGAGGGGTAGGCTAGCAGAGATTCTTTGAAGAATTAGAGGGGCTAACCAGCAGAAATTCTTTTAGGGATTGAGGGCTGACTAGCAGAGATCCTTTACGGAATCGGCGCGTTTTTACCTCCAATAATAACATATCAGCCAACTCGTCGAGCTCGTCCATCTCGAAGTTCATCTACCGTGCCCAGGGTCAGGGAATCCAGCTACTCCGCTACAATACTCGAAAATCTCGTCATCGAGCTAGTGGCGGAGTAGGAGGGGGGCGAAATTGAAAATGTGTATCTCTCTCTCTCTCTCTCTCTCTCTGTCTCTCTCTCTCTCATTCAGCTTCTCCTCATATCGCTTCGAGACCTCGTTCTCTTTGTGGATGTGCCCTGAGGGCCCATTTCCCCCGATTGGGCCCTACTGGGTCCCCCCCCCCTGGGCTATGCCGGACTAATTGGAGGCGGATCTGCCCTCCCTCCCTAGATTTTGGCCCTTTAGGGGCATTCACAAAGGGCCCTCTAGGTTCCACTCAATTTTGGGATTTTTGGGTGCATCGGTAAGGATTAAGGGCTTTCAAAACCAGACAAAAATTCTGCGACCCAGGGAAGCTAGCAGAGAGCATTTGGGATGGAGCGCATTAATGGATGCACGCTCATGGGAGCTTGAAAACTAAGCCTAAAGCTGAGCTAAAGCAAGCCCAAGTCTAAGCCAACGCTCAAGCTAATGCCCCGACCTATGCCTTAGCCTGAACCTAAGCTTGAGCTTGAGCCTACTCCTAAACCTAAGCCTAAGCCTAAGTCTAAGCCTAAGCCCAAGTCAAAGCCAAGCCTAAGCTAAGCCTAAGGTCAAGCCTATGCCTCAGTCTAAGCCAAAACCATATCCTAAGCCTAAGCCAAGCCCAAGCCAAGCCCAAACCAAGCCCAAGCTAAAGCTGTGACCCAAGCCTAAGCCTGAATCTAAAGAGCACTTCTAACTAAGCTTAAGTTTACGCTCAAGCCCAAAGCTAAACCAAAGCCGAAGTCTAAACCTAAGCCTAATTGTAAGCTTAAACCAAAGCCTAAGCTAAGCCGTTTTTTTGCTACATTTGAGATATTTCCGGCTCATGGCAGGCTAGCAGCGACTATTTGGGAAAGCCATAAAGTCGTGCGAGAAGGCTAGGGCAGGCTAGCAGAGACCCTTCCGACAACCCAAAAACATAGCATTTGAGCAAGCTAGCATAGTTTCTTTAAGAATAAACCGTCCCGACGAAGGACAGGCCAGCAGAGATTTTTTAAAAAGTTGAGCCACACTTCCCAGTCCCTTAAATCCCCCCGAAATACGGACCATCCGGAATTGCGGGGTGCGGGCGATGGTGACGGTGGTCGCCTCGCAGACGCTGGAAAAAAGGATTGAAAATTAATCGAATAATGTGAATAAATCACTGTAAATTTTGGCAAAAAAGTTACCGTGGAATGGCGGGTTGCTGTTGCTTGTCGATTCTACAGTACTCAACGAGGGCTCCTTCTTCTGGCTCCTCGACCTCACCGCCATAGTGGGAGTACTGTAACGGGGGGCATGTTTTAAAGGGAGAGCGAGCCAGAGCGAGAGAGAGAGAGAGAGAGCCAGAGAGATAGAACGAGACAGAGAAAGCGAGAGAGCTAGAGAAAGGGAGACAGAGAGAGCGAGATAGAGCGAGAGAGAGTGAGACAGAGAGCCAGATAGAGCGAGAGAGAGAGAGTGGGAGTGATCGAGCGAGCGAGAGAGTAATCCTCACCTCCGGATCATCAGTGACATCCTCAATCTTGAAAGTGTGATTGTTGTTGGCCGTAGTCGCAGCCGCCCCGTCCCGGCTATACGGTACCGTGGCCAACATCCTCGAGGCGGGGCTGTTGCTCTGGAAAGTGGCGGAATTTACAGAAACTTACAGAAAACAGGGAAATAGCAGAAATTCACAAATTCTGAGAAGAATCTCTGCTAGTTGACCTAAATTAGCTAGCAGATGAAATTTGAGATTTTGGTACGACTTTTGCGCGACCTCGATTTCAAGGCTAGACGATTGTCAGCGGGAGACAGAGAGAGAGATAGAGAGAGAGAGAGAGAGAGAGAGAGAGAGAGAGAGAGAGAGGGAGACCGTTCATTGGAAAGAAACGAAAAACGGGAGACGATCTATCAGACGAACGCTCCCCTATAACTCATCCGGAAGGCGCCGGTTGACAAATTATTGCGCTCGGAGATTTGTCCCAAAAAAGGCGAGAGAGAGAGAGAGAGAGAGAGAGAGAGAGAGAGATAGAGAGAGAGCAAGAGAATGATCGTTCCCATCCTGAAAAACGGATACAGCAAACAGTCTGACAGTGCGCGAGGAGGAAAAAGGGAGCAGGAACTTCAGGCTCGGCTGATAGGATGTATCCATGGTCCAGTGGGATCGCGCACGTGGTTTTGTGGGAAATTAGTCACTTGGAAATCGCAGGCTAGCAGAGTTCATTTGGGGGAATCAAGAAGCTCTAGAGCTAGCTAGCAGAGACTGTTTTGGAAAATCTACGGCAGGCTAACTAGCAGAGATAATTTAGGAATTGTTGAACGTTTAGGGCAGGCTAGGCAAACTGGCCGAGGTCATTTAGGAGCAACGATCTGGGCAAGCTAATAGAGAAACTTTCGGAAGCATACAGTTTTAACATAAGCTAGCAGAGAGCATTTGAGAATTGTTCGAACCACTAATTATTTTTTTAAACTAGCAGAGACCATTTCGGCACCCGCCACCTGACCCAAATCCGTTGCTTTCTCAAGGTACGCGAAAGCGGCTGTGAGGTTCCAGTTCTGCCCCCGGAAGTCAGCCCTAATTTTCCGAAGCCAAACACGGGACAGGATGGGGGGAAGGAGGGTGGAAGGGAACGGCCCGGGAATAAGCCTGTAGCCCGCCTCGACCATCATGCGTCGATAGGCGGCGAACGGAGCGGGGCGTAAGCTTGTAGGTATCGTCGCGTCATTGGTGCGCCATGGAAAAAATGGGATCGATGGCATCCGAATCTCTTAAAAGAGAGAGAAAGAGAGAGAGAGAGAGAGAGAAGTGAGACCGAGAGAGAGAGAGAGCTACAGAGAGCGGCATCGGGAGCGGGAGAAAGCGAGGGAACGGGAGAAAGCGAGGGAACGGGTGGCCGAGCATGTGCAACCAAGAGACAGAGAGCGAGTGAGTGAGAAAGGGAGAGCGTCAGAGAGAAAAAGCTGCCTTCTCAACCCCTTTAAAATCCACAAAAAATCGCACTTCAAGCCATGCGGGAGAAGCTAGAAGAAAGCATTTGGGAAAAAGCCAGGCTAGCTGAGAGCATTTGCGGAAGGGTTATGTTCATTTTTCCTAAAAATCATTTTTCCTAAATTCATTTTTCCTAAATTCATTTTTCCTAAAAATCATTTTTCCTAAAAGTCATTTTTCCTAAAAATCATTTTTCCTAAAGTTCATTTTTCCTAAAATTTTTCATTCAATAGGGATGCGTAATAATATCATGAAATTCCAAATGCTATCATTTTTTAGCAGTATTTGTTTGCTTTGGTTATTAGTAGGCTTTTATCGAAAATATTTCTTATTATCATTGATCCTTTTTTCACTTCCAATCACCCAAATCTAGGCTAAACGCGCAACTAAAATACTTCCTATGATCTAGGCAGATCTGACCTTATTCTAAAAAATTTTCTATTTTCTCATGCATAGTACTAAAGAACTAGGCCTTTACGGTATTTAACTGGTTTTAGGAAAAATGAACTTTAGGAAAAATGATTTTTAGGAAAAATGATTTTTAGGAAAAATGATTTTTAGGAAAAATGACTTTTAGGAAAAATAATTTTTAGGAAAAATGAATTTAGGAAAAATGAATTTAGGAAAAATAATTTTTAGGAAAAATGACTGGAATTCTTTGCGGAACCCGATAGCCAGAGATGAATCATTGAAAACTACATTTAGTCTTTCCAGCCCCTAAAAACTCAAAAAAAAAACTCCCAAAAACCCTCGTGACCTGACTATATTTAGGGCAGAAAAGAGGACAATGCTGTGCGGGGGAGCTCGAGCCATGCTCAACAGTTTTCTATAGCCCCGTGCTGCTCGTCTATCAGGGCTTCTCCCCCCTCCTTCTTGTCTCGAGACGATAGAGACCGCTGGGGGGCAGCAGCAAACGACCGGTCCCTTTTCGGGAATAGGGAGCGAGAGAGAAACAGAGAGAGAGAGAGAGAGAGAGAGAGAGAGAGAGAGAGCAAGACATGAAAAGAAATGATAGCCTCTAGCGGACAGTCCACACAGCCATCAATCCACATCTACAATCGATCGTTAAAGCCCGAAGAAGGGTGGCGAGCACGGGCAAATTGAGAATATGGCAGGGCAGCTAGCGGAGATTTTTGGGGAATGAGCTCGACCGCAAAATTTTGTACAGTACGAAAATAGCCCGCCAAAAGTTGGGTCTGGCCAGCTGTGAGTGATCCGCAGGAGAGAATGGGGTCGAAAACGCACCTGGACGGGTTGAACTCGAGTTGTTGGTTTCGTAAAATGGATTGGTAGGTTAGCAGACATTAGCTAGGAAAGATCAGGCTGGCAGCGATTTTTTAAGAAAAAGCTGGCTAGCAGAGATTATTAGGGAAAGGGCAGGCTAGCAGAGATTCTTTAGGAAAGGGCAGGCTAGCAGAGATTCTTTAGGAAAGGGCAGGCTAGCAGAGATTCTTTAGGAAAGGGCAGGCTAGCAGAGATTCTTTAGCTAAGGGCAGGCTAGCAGAGATTCTTTAGGAAAGGGCAGGCTAGCAGAGATTCTTTAGGAAAGGGCAAACTCGTAGATATTCTTGAGGAAAGTGGCATGCTAGCAGAGATTCCTTAGGAAAAGACAAGCTAGCAGACATTCTTTGCCACGGATCAGCCAGCAGAGAATTTTTAGGAAACGGCAGGTTAGCAGGGATTCTTTAGGAAAGAGCACGCCAGCAAAGGATTTTTAGGAAAGCGCCAACTGGCAGAGATTTTTGCGGAATTGACGATAGAGTAGCTAGCGAACAGAAAAATTAAAAGAGAAAAGAGACACACTATACCGCAGTCAAACCAAAGAACAAAAACCGTACGCTGAGCGACAAAAAATTTATTAGACATCAGTCATCAGTATCAGACATTAGACATTTAGAGCAGTGTTTTAGGGAATGGAAGCTAGTAGAGATTCTTCAGGAAAAGCAAGCAAAAAGCTAGCAGATAACTTTGAGGAATTTAAAGGGAAAATGAACTATAGTCGATTCAAAGTCCCAAACCAAGCGGTCAACCTCACACAAAAAAACACATTTCCAAACCGCGCCGGCTGAACCGGTGGCAGAGATTCAAATTCGCATGTATTCCCCCTGGATCGGCAACCCGTTCAAGGCCATTTCGGAATGTCTTCTTGTCGATCAGGATGATTGGAGAGGGGCAAAATGAGGGAAAAAATAGGCAGAGAGGAGGAGGGAAGCCGAGGCGCCCTTTTGATCGTGGCGGGAAAGGGAGGCTTTTTGTTGGGCTTTTTCTTTTTCTTTGATTCCGTTTGCTACACATACAAATGGCAACTTGGAGAAATTCGGGTAAAAAATGCAGTTTAAAAAAATTTAATTTGTTTCTATATAACTTTTAGAGCGACTATGAAGCCCAAGCCTAAGCCTACCAAGCCGAAGTCTAAATCTAAGCCACAACCTAAGCCTAAGTACAAGACTAAGCCCCAGCCCAAGCCTAAGCCTAAGCCTGAACCTAAGCCAAGCCCAAGCCTAGGCCTACCTAACTGTCACGCTCCCTTTAAAATACACTCTAGCTAGGGCCCCTATATTGATAAGATGGCGGGCACAAGTTGAAGCGGGAAATGACACAATGCGCTTTCACGTCTCTCTCTCTCTCTCTCCCTCGTTCTCTCTCTCTCTCTCTCTCGCTATTTGCCGACGGGCTGTTTCATCTTCTACAGGGCCCGGGGCCGATTAACAAACAGGCAATGAGGGGGCCCTGTACGCTTCGTTTTTGTCGAAATTTTCTGTTTTTGGTGAAGAAAGTTGCGAGGGGATGGTTAAACCTGCTGGACTTTGTGTTTTCCACGGGAAGTCAAGTTCAACATATTTTTCTAGGATAACGAGCAGAGATTCTTTGCGGAATCTTGCGAAACACCTCAAAATCGTTGCTTTTGGAGGGTAGCAGAGATTCTTTGAGGAATCGGATCGCTGGGAGCAGCAGGCTAGCAAATATTCTTGCGGAATCCAGACGATCCTTGGTTTCTTAGGTCCCAAAAACAGCCACCTCAAAAAAAGCCCGCTGACCAGAAGCCCTATGTGTTTCCGGGGGGGTGTAAGCTGCGGGGATCAGCTGGGGAGAGAGAGAGATAGAGAGAGAGAGCGAGAGAGAGCGAGAGAGAGAGAAAGAGAGAAGCAGACAAGCATCCAACTCAAAACCGTACCCAAGCCCGCCGACAAGCAAAAACAGGCTCCCCTCCCCAAAGATGGTCCTGGGGCTCTTCGTTCTGGAACATCGAACATCCTCGCCCACACGAAACAACTTTTCGCCTTTTTTGGGTGGGAAATGGGTCGGGTAGTATTTTTCGCTGTCTCTCTCGCGCCCTGTCTCTATCTCTTCCTCTCCACACCCTCTCTCTCTCTCACTATCTCCGTCTCTATCTCTCTATCTCTCGCTCCCTCTCTTCCTGGCCCTCTCTCTCTCTCTGTCGCGCTCTCTCTCTCTCGCTCTCTCTCTCCAGAACTCTCTCGCCCTCTCTCGTCTAAAAACACCTCCATTACCCGCGCGAGCACGAGATTAGCTCAAATTTTTGACCCTAAAAAAGTCGAACATCAAGAACCGCACGAGAGGAAGAGAGAAAAAGAGAGAGAGCGTGAGGGAGAGAGTGAGAGAGAGCGAGAGGGCGTGAGAAAGAGAGAGCCAGAGAGAAAGAGGGCGAAAAAGATCCAGTATTCAATTCGAATCCTAACCCAAAAAGTTCGACAAAATTGAGTCAGACCACTCCAAAAAAGTGTTTACAACCGATTTCCAAGGGCACGCCTCACCCGAGCAATTAGTTGAGGATTAAATGGGAATTAAATGAAGGCCAGCGACACTAGAAAAAATATTTAGAACCGAAGGAAAGAGGCCCGAAAAGGCGGAAGCGGATGGGTGGGGGTGTTTCTACGATATTTGTATATGGGAGGGAGGAGACGGCAAAAGTGTCCCCCAACATTGTCATAGATTCGCCACTTTTTTGGGGGGAGGCCTCTCGACTGTCAACATGAATATGCCGTACTCGGTGCTGAAGAGATGGAAGGGAAAATGAGATGGGGTGGATAGTATAGGAACGGAATAAGAATAAGTAGCCTAAGCCTAAGTCTAAACCTAAGCCCAAGCCCCAGCTTAACCAAAGCCTAAGCCTAACAAGCTTGTAAGCTTGCTTAGTAAGCTTAAGTTAACTAAATAAAGAGATACCGAAAGAGATGGAAAGAGAGAGAGAGAGAGAGAGAGAGAGAGATAGCGAGTGAGCGAGAGAGATCGAGCGAGCGAAAGAGATCGAGAGAGAGAGAGCGAGAAAGAGCGAGAGAGAGCGAGAGAGAGCGAGAGAACGATAGAGAGCGAGAGAGAGAGCGAGAGAGAGCGATAGAGAGCGAGAGCGCGAGAGAGCGATAGAGAGGGGGAGATCGACAGAGAGAGAGAGAGTGCGAGAGAGACAGAGAGAAGGAGAGAGAGAGAGAGAGAGAGAGAGAGAGAGAGAGAGCGAGAGAGCTATAGAGAATGTGAGAAATCAACCTATGTAAAGAAACATTAACACCGTGATTTAAAGATAAATTAACCACAAATTTTTTACAATGTCTCTAAAGTTCTAACGACCTTCGATCCCTTGTAAAAAAACTGTTTTCCCACCCAAATTCTCAGGTGTTGGCGGTGGGGGCAGAAAAGGGAAGGACTCTCGAATGTTTTCCCAATTCAAAAACCTCCCCCACCCCCATTCACAGGCAATTTCCATAAAAAGGGCCCCAACGTACCGTATCCATCGTTTTTTGATCGTTCCAATGGGTCGCCGGTGGAGGGGGGCTCGGTAACTTAAAAATAAATTTTGAAAATGTTTAAAAAATCATACCTGAGGCAGATGGGCGTTCGCTCGAAATGGGGGCTCCCTGAAAGGAAACTAATTAGGCGGTACTTCAAGGTACATACTAGAAAAGATAGAAGAAATATGTTGAAAGCAAGGCCAAAGCCAAAGCCTAAGCCTCAACCTAAACGTACGTCTAAGCCTTAGTCCGAGCTCAAGCCCAGCCCAAACCTAAACCTAAGCCTACCAAAGCTTGTGAAAAGCGAAGCAAGCTAGGCTCATGCCTAAGCCTAAGCTAAGCCTAAGTCAAGCCTAAGCCTAAGCCAAAACCTAAGCATTAGCATAAGCCTATCCCTAAGCTGAAGCCAAGCCTAAGCCTAAGCCTACGCCCAAGCCTAACCTAACGCAAGCCCAAGCAACACAGCAATATGAACCCACTCCGGCTCCGTAACCAGCGGCTCGCCGTCCGGCTTTGCGTAGGCCGTGTCGTTGTCGTACTCGCGTGTATCCTAAAATAAAGAGTAACTTAACCGACCAATGCCCAAAAATCACAAAAAAACGACCCACCGCTCCCGATTTATAACAACCGCAAAGAAGCTTGGACAGCGACTTCTCGGCCGATGGCATCACCCCCGCGATGTAGAGACTGCAAAAAAATTTGAATACAAACTATAAATTCGTATTTTCCGCAAAAATCTTTGCTAGCCTGCCCCAAATTCCTCCGATTCCTCAAAAAAAGCTTTGCTAGCTTACCAAAACTTGTTTATAAATGTTAAACTGCAAAAACTACCATCCATTGGCCTAGGAATCGCGGGAAACTTTTTAGAACAATCCAAAGAGCACCAGAATGATCCGCCGGAGCGATAGTATCAACTCGGACGTGCGAATGACGGAAAAACGATTACTCAGCCCCCGGGAAGAGCAAAGAAAGGGTGTGGCTCGACACAGGGGAGGTGGATTTTATCAGGCAAAAACGTGATCGGTAGATCGGAGGATTTTAAGGACCATTTTGATGTTTGGTATAAGTCTGAGCCTCAGCCTAAATCTAAGGCCGAGCTAAGCCTAAGCTCAAGCCCAAGCCTGGCTTAAAAATCCAAAGCAAAATTGGAAAATGAAGCTAGCTAGCAAAGATTCTTGAGGAATTAGAGAGCGGGAAAGAGAAACAGAGCGAGAGAGAGCCAGAGAGAGAGAGAGAGAGAGAGAGAGCGAGAGAGGAGAGAGAGGGGGAGAAAAACAGAGAAAGAGAAGAGGGAGACTGAGAAAGAGTGCGAGAGCGAGTGCGAGAGAGAGAGAGAGAAGGCGAGAGAGCCATTTTACTGCCCTAATAAAACTGAAAGTTGTCTAGAATTGATTAAGGTTCGATCGGGAAGGGAAATGGGTTATTGGGCGAAAGTGGAGAAGGAGGGGAGAAGTGCCGTTTTCGGCCTATCCGCATAATTGGAACTGGATTTTCCCCCGGGAAAATTTGACGAAATGACCACACAAGGGCGGCGCGTGAGCTGTTTTGAGGATCGCAAATCGGCTAAAAATTTATGCCAGACTTGTTAAAAGATAAACCCTTCCCCTCAAATTCGATTTTTTCGGTTTTAGCCGATTTTAAAATTCAAACATAGCTTAATGTTGCTCAAAAAAAGCGAAAAACCTTGGTCATTGTACAGAAAAATCAATGGATTCCGAATTCTGGTCCCAAATCAATAAGTAAACACGCAAAAATTTAACTATTAAAAATCCCGGTTATAAAAACACTAAGGGCTCGCTATAGGCTAAGTAAAATTAAATCAAATTAATTAATTAATTAACAAACGCATAGCAAATTTTCATATACAAATAAAGCATTTACCTATCCATCTGGTCCGCAAAAATCTTGTTGAAGATGAGGGGCAGGTGGAGGGCGGCTATGTAGTCGGACATCGCGGCGGATTGCGGATTTTACCCTGAAACGTTCAGAAACGATGCAATCAAGGAAATACGCCATAAAACATAATCAATCTGGAACAAACGATCCTGTAATCCTAAATCCCAATTTGCATAAGAGAAAGTAGCAAAAAAGTTCTTCCAAATCGGCATAAAACACCGAAATTCACGAACCAAAAATTTTAAAAGACCCTTTCAAGTAGCCGTCGAGTACGCGAGTGACCTATCGACGTCACGATGGGAGCGGAGGCATTCCCAACCCCCGAGGTTAAGCCGAAACTTTGGGTGGGGCAGACCGTTCTCCTTCCATTTCTTCGGCTTGTATTTATTTTGTGGCTTATCCCCCCGGGTGGCCATTCCTTCCTTCTTTCTGCTTGTTGCCGACTTCATCAAAATGTAGCCATTTTAAAGGGGTTGGGAAGGTGAGTTTGACGCATTAATGTGAAGTGTCACTCTCTCTGGCTCTCTCGTTTTTGCTCACTCGCGCTCCCTCTCTCCGTCTGTCTGTCTGTCTCTTTCTTTCATGCTCACTCTCTCGCGCACTCTCGCTGTCTCGCTCTCTATCTTTCTCTATCTCTCTCATCCTCACTCATCTTTCTCTCACTCTCTCGAACTCACTCTCTCGCGCTCGTTCTATCCCTCTCGCTCTCTCGTGCTCTCTCCTGCTCACTCGCTCGCGCTCGCTCTCTCTCTCTCTCTCTCGCTCTATCCCTCTCGCTCTCTCGTGCTCTCTCATACTCACTCGCTCGCGCTCGCTCTCTCTCTCTCTCGCTCTATCCCTCTCGCTCTCTCGTGCTCTCTCATACTCACTCTCTCGCGCTTTCTCCCTATCTCTCTCTCGTCTCTCTCTCCCTTCTCAATCCCCGGTGTCTCCACTTTCTCTACAGTATCCATTTATTCAAGTTGTAGCTGCCATTCGGGTAAAGCCAACGAGAAACGGGGGGTGTGAAAGAATCTCAAAAAGTCATGCTGCTTTGGGCATTAATAGGAGGGGGGTCAATCTACCGACACCAAAGGAGAAAAAGCTCTTCCATATGACTACAATTGACGGCGCGAATTTCTGCATGTAAATCGTGAAAACACAAGTGTATCTCGGAGGCGACTAGAGGACGGGTAGAATTCTATGGGCACAGGGTGGCATTAAAAATTGAACAACGAAAATCAATTAAATGCAGTAGATACACAAGGTACGGTAGAACGTGCAGAGGAGCGAAACGTACGGGGGAGAGTACGCTAGGCTCCTATGGACACCGGAACGCACGTATAAAACGGAAAATAGTGTTTTTGGGGGGATGACCTCGTAGTTGTCGACTGGGCGGGCGTTTAAAGGGAGCGGGAAGAGAGAGGGTTGTGGATTTTTCGGGTTTGCTAAGCCTAAGCCTAGGCATGAGCATGAGCATGAGCCTAAGCCCAAGCCTAAGCCTAAGCCTGTATTTCCTGTCTCGCTTCCTTTAAACACCAGGAATAGCACTGGGTGGAGGCAATTTTGGGCCGGGAAAATTTCGCAATAAATAGATCGTTTCGATTCGGATTTTAAAGGGCTACTGAAGGGAGAGATTTGACACGGGCACGATGCCGTGCTGAACGTGTCGAGTAGTGCGTCGTAGCCGCTCACATCTCGCGACTCCGCCGCGCTGCGACAGCACTTTCACCTGAAATTCAAAATATGTAGGTGAGCAGGAACTTTTAAAGGGGCCGGGAAGTCTGGAAATTGGGCCAGGGTTGAGTTTTGGATTCTAATCAGCATAACGCTAAATTCAAGCTAAATAATTTACTTAATTAAGGCATTCAAAATTGTTTAAAAAACTGATTTTTATGCTAATTTTTCTCCATTTAAATAAGTACGCAAATACACAGAAAAATACTGTCTAATTAAATATACTTTTCAAAAAATAATTTGCATAATGCCAAAGATTCGAAATAGACTACCGCTTTTTGAAGATCGATAATTCGCATAATTCTGAATTATAGACGGTTAAATCAACTTTAGCAAAATTCGTTTTTTTAATAATTTAATAAGAAATTTGCATAGTCGCGAATTTTTACATAAATCGCCCAAGCCACTTCCATCCTCCCCGGCCCCTTTCAAGCTTCCGGAAACGAGCCACGACGCCGGCGTGTAAATTCAATTGTAATTTTTAGCCTCAGCGGCACCACGGGAAACGCAAGAAAATCAGATTAATATATAAATTAATGTTGTTTTGGAAGCAACAGGGCGGCACTTTGGCTGGTTGGGACTTACGGTAGGGAATGGGGCATTTAGAAGAGACGCCAGATCTGTAGTATTCTGTGAAATGAGCAGAGAAGGATTGGGGGCAGGCTAGCAGAGATCCTTTGAGAAATTGAAGGGGCAGGCTAGCAGAGAGATGATTTGTGGAATTGGGGGCAGGCTAGCAGGGATTCTTTGAGGAATCGGAGGGGCGGGCTAGCAGAGATTCTTTAAGGAATTAGAGGGGCAGGGTAGCAGAAATCGTTGAGGAATTGGAGAGGCAGGCTAACAGTGATTCTTGGGGAAACGCACCTTTTCGCCACCCCTAACCGGCAATAGTCCCGGTTCGTTGGAGTCGATGAGGACGGAGGCAATTTGGGATCGTGGCGGGAGCCTGGAGTGCGAGCCGGCCGAGTAGCAGGGTCTGGAATAACAGGGTTCAAACGATAAAGGTACCAGGGAGCGCGAGAGCGAGAGAAAGAGCGAGAGAGAGGGAGAGAGGGAGAAAGCTACGCAACGCACCTCCTGACAGGCAGCGGTATCCGGGATCGTAGTTGTCGACTGGGTGGTAGTGAGAGCCGAGCGGGGACCGAGCTCGATTTTGGGACCCGGGAGTCGGAAGCGAGACGTGATGCTCCACACGAGAACATCGAACGGGTTCCACTTCGTGCTGAAAATCCGAATTTGGCCGGTTACGATAGGAGAATAGATACGGTAGGCAGCCAGGTTACGGTAGAAAGGTCAGGCTCTAAGACTCACATTCAATCGACGAGAGGAGCTCGAGGCTTTCGACCAGTCGCCATAAAAGGCTACGGTAGGCGGATGGGGCAGAGAGGAGGAAGGCGCCTTCACGATACATTCTGGAGAGCACGTTCTCCTTCAGGATCACGTAGCACAGCCAGCAATCCAGGGAGCATTCTCTGAAATTAGAATCATTTCCGTAGTCCTAAAAAATAGCTGCTGGTTTGCCCCCATCCCTCGAATTCCTCAAAGAATCTCTGCTAGCCCGCCCTAACCTCAACAGCTCCTCGAAGAAGATTTCGACCTTCCGATCGCTCGGCTCGGACGACGCATCAATCTGCTGCACGATGGAGTACACCTCTTTCGTGGCGGGACCCGGGGATGTTAGGCCGGTGACCATCCGCCATGTATTTCCCTTGTCTCGGAGGCCATCTTGGATTAGGCAGACCATGGCTGCGACCAGGGAGGAGGAACCATCACCACGGAGGACAGCAGCCACACCTGGAATGGGGAGATAGGAGAGAGAGAGAGAGAGAAAGATATCTACAAAACCTACCTTCAACAACAGCTTCGACCAATGTCCGCTTCACCGCATAAATCGGCAACCCGACAACCGACAATTCTCTGGCGGCCAGGGATGGCCGAGACGAGAGACTTCTCGTGGGTCTCGGCGCGAACTCGAGCGCCCTTTCCACAATCTCCGAGGCTGTACAGTCGCACAGGACGGTTCTACAAAAATATACAATTAATACTGTCGTAACCACAAAAAAAATTTGAAAAGAGCAGCTAAAACCTGGTTTTTTTTTTCTTACCGGCTCTGCGCATTCTGGGCCCAGTTTGGGGGGTGTAATCGCCGCCTCACTCGGTAGCACGTTCGGCATGGCTCGACGAGCTTGCGGGATCCTGGAAAATCTGAGGATTGGAGGTGAAGTTGGAATAAGCCTAAGCCAAGCCTAAACCTAAGCCTAAGCCTAAGCCCAAACCAAGCCAAACCTAAGCCCAAGCATAATCCTAACCTAAGACTAAGCCAGGCCTAAGCCTAAGCCTAAGCCTAAGGCTAGGCCTAACCCTACGACTACGTCTAAGCCTAAGCCCGAGCCGAAGCTAAGCATAAGCCGAAGCAAAGCCAAGTCTAGGCCTAAGCCTAAGCATATAATCAACAACTTACCCTCAATACAATTCGATTGTTGTGGCGACGTGCCCAGGAGGTTACTGTTTTGCTTGAAGAACGAGCAGGCTTCAGCGACGTGCCTGAAATTTTAATTTTCAAAATTCTTAAACTATTTTCGAATATTTTATGATTTTGTGTTTCTATGGTCTTGCTCACAATTTGAGCACGATCTTATGGAGTACCAGCCTACGCCTTAACCTTAGTCTAAACCTAAGCCCAAGCCCAAGCCCAAACTAAGCCTAGGCCCCAACTGAGCCTTGGCCTAAACCGAAGCCCAAGCCAAGCCTAAGCCTAAGCCCAAGCCCAAACCCATGCCCAAACCCCCATCCCATGTTTACGCTACGATTGTTGGGCCCCAACCCCGGGGGCCATCAAACGTGCCTTGAGGTGCTAATGGGATGTGGCAACTGTCGGCAGGGGGTCCAGGAAAAGCTGCACCGAGAGGGGCTTTTGATTGATATTGGTTAGAGTGGGGGGATGGGGGTGGTCAGGGTTTTTGGGTTTCCGCTTGACGCCTATGGACACGTGGGGCAAAGGGGTATAAATAGAGTAGTTCTGGGGTAGGACAAGCTAGCAGAGATTCTTTGAGGAATTGGAGGGGCAGGCTAGCAGATCCTTTAAGAATTCAGAAGATCTAAGTGCAGGCTATTAGAGATCCTTTAAGAATTTTCCCCGATTCCATCTTACTCCAGTCCCACGTTTCCAATTTCCCGACCCAGGCCCATTACCTGAACAAGCCATAAAATGTACGCGCCCGGCCCCCTTACAGCATTTACGAGGTAGGGGGCAGTGGGTCTCGAGGGGCGAAACTGGTGGGACCATCATCGTTAAAGTCTGCTAGTGGTCGTTGTGGTCCAAAAGAATCTCTGCTAGTCTGCCCTAAGCGATGGTAGTGTCTGGATGGCTCTAAAAATCGTTGCTAGCACGCAAAAACTAGCCAGGAATGTGTAAAAATTCTTAATGAATCTCGGTTAGCCTCCACAGACCTCAAATTCGCGCTTGAATTCCTCGAAGAATTCCCTGCTAGCTAGCCATAGTTAGGCTTAGGATTAAGCTTAGTTTTAGGCTTAGGCATAGGCCTAGGCATAGGCTTAGACTTGGTTAGGCCTGGTTAGGTTAGGTTAGGCGTAGGGTTAGGCTTAGGGCTTGACAGATTCGCAGCTAGTGCCAAATTTCCTAAAAATTTCTGCTAGCCTGCCCCATCATCCCTTTATGTTAAATTCTCAAGGAATCTCTGCTCGCCAGCCCCTACCGGCCTCCCCTCGTCAGGTAGGTATTATGGCCCTCCCTGTGGGTTGTCAAGGGCCCAAGATGTTGGCCATGGCCGGGCAACATCGTCTCATATTTCAGCCTTCTCTCTCTCTCTCCCTCTCTCTCTCTCTCTTTCGCTCTCTCTCTCACTCCATCTATTGCTCCACAAGGCTCCTTACAACAGCCTCTCCTCTCAAGGCACGAGCCGGTGCTCATAAATTCTGTAAACGAATGTGCTCAGACGGTTTTTGGCGCCCAAAAACTGGGCAATTATTTTAGGGAGGTAATTGGGTAACTAGCAGAGATCATTAAGGAAAATGGGAGCACGAGGTTGCTATGGCAGGCGCAGGGGTTCTTTGAGGAATTCGAATTCTGGTAATTCCAGTAGATCCGAACCTTTCCAGTTTCTCTCACCCCCAGAAATTCCGCTTCAAAACCCCCCGCTCCCAGTGTGTCCAGAGTATTCGAGCGGAACGCGCCGGAATGTGCCCATCCCTGCGGATTCCTCAAAATAAGTGAGGGGCCCACACAAGAGCATCGATCACGCCTAGGGGCCCAGTGGGCCCCCAAGGGGAAAGAGGGCCCACTAGGGCCACACAGGGAGAGGGGATACGGTGGCCGGGCAATGACGAGCAACAGGTTGCGAAATATGGCAGCGAGGAAGGTATTGGCGGCTTTTAATACTTGATGAACTAGAGAGAGAGTGAGTGTTAGAGCACAGTGAAAAAGACAGCCTTTTTTGGCATTACCTAATTTTAAAGGGCCATTGAAGGCTAATCTACAGCACCCAAAATCCTCGCCTACCTCGGCAACAAAATCGACAGCGACGCCCAGTCCTCAATGTGGATCGGCCCTGAGCAGCTGATCCCAGAATCCGGTGTATCGTCCTGAAAATTTAACTTTTGATAGTTCCACAAATCATGCTGCTGAATTGCTTAAAATGGAAAACAAGTTTTTCCTAAAAAATCTCTGCTAATTGCCTTTAAAAGACTGCCCAGAGCAAGGTTTCCCAAACCCAAAAAATCACTGCAGTTGGCGCTAGAAACCCTGGGATGCAAACAATTCCTAAAGATCCTCTGCTAGCCTGCCCCTCCAATTCCTCAAAGAATCTCTGCTAGCCTACCCTTCCATTCCCTCCAATTCCACAAAGAATCACTGCTAGCCTGCCCCCCCTCCCAATGCCCCAAGGAATCTTTGCTAGCCTACCCCTCCAATTCCCCCAAAAAATCGCTGCTAGCCTACCCCAAATTCCTAGAATTCCTCATAGAATCACTGCCAGTTTCCTCTCAACCTACCATTAATGTCGGTGATAACAGGTTAAAATCGCTGTGTTTCGTTAGGGATGGTCCAACATCATCCAGCCATCCTCCAGCTTCTTGCGACGTCTTCGGGTCTTTCAACTTCATCAGAATATCCGAAAATGACATTGAAGACTCGCACAGGGTTGGCATCTGAAAATTACTTTTTAAAGGGTTCAAAGCGCTTTTCCATTGTTTCTCCTCCTTGGCCCATCGCCCCTTAATCACCAGTTTCAATGCCGGCCACCGTGTGTGCAATCAAATCAAAAAGCGCCACCCCTCTCGCGCGCCCCCCTATCCGTTTGCCTTGTCGATCGGAACCGCGCGCGGCGCGCAAGCGCATCCTTCAGGAGTGCCGCCAAAAAACCGGATCCACCCGCGAATTTTATCGAAATATCCAAGGAATTCGTGCTTTTTCCGCCTCGGGTTGATAAGCCGGGAGGCAGGTTTCGAAATTTCGGGGGGAGCGGGACCGGCTGGCGCAGGGGGACAGCTGTTTTTGGGGGTCGACTTGTCTGAGAGCTCTTCCGGCTTCTGAGGCTAGGAGGTGCGAATTAGGTCGCGCAGAACGAGCGCGACAGATGGGATCTGGTAGCTGGCGGAAGCCAGAAAGGTATAGAAAAAGTTAGAGAACCGACTAGCTTCGGAATTGAGAGTTTAAAACTAAAAACACCGTTTTAAAAGTCGAATTAACCTCGAAGAATCGCATTGAAACGCTTTCAAAACTCAAAAATCGTCAAATCTATCGGAAAAATGGCTAAAAGATCAATAGAAACTTGTCAAAATTCGCTAAAAACTGCTTTTTCTAGAACATCTTGTCTTTATTTTTCATTTTTTTCTAATTTGATTAAGCTAAGCCATTAAAAATACTAAAACTATGTAACGAAGACGCCAAAAAAGTCTGAAAAACAAAAAGCATAAATATTTCCAGACAAATCGAAAGCTATCTTATATTTTATATTCCTATTTTCTCTTTTCTCTATTTGTTTTCCATAATCGCAATAGAATTGGAAAAGAGCCCTTGAAAAATGACTAATACTCTGGCAAAAGCCGAAAAAAAACGAAAAAAACGGAAAAACGGAAAAAACTGATACGTCAAAAGCTAAAAAATAAGAATTTGTTGAGGAAAAAGAATAAAAGGACCTTAAAAACCTAACAAAGCTAGAAACACATTTCTACTCAAGTGTCCAAAATTACAAACCTGATGAGGCAACTGCAAAAACTGCAGCTCAGGCGGCTGGCGATGTTGTTGCCCCGGAGTTCTGGGTGATCCAGAAGTGGAAGGTGTTGAATGCAAATCAGCAAATGTCCGTCTCGGCTTCAACCCCGGGCTCTTGATCAACGTCGTCGGCCGGGCAGCCCTCCATCTATCCACTGCTCCTCCCGGCGTGGCTCCAACCTCATTGTCATTCACATCCAGCGCCAACCCAAAATCCGCGTCAACGGTGCTCTGGCGTTGCGAGAACGTGGCCAACAGTGAGCTCGGCCTCGTCGTTGCTCCAACTTCCGGTGCCGAAGCCGTTTTCTCATCAAGCGGCTCGAGGCTGTGGATTCTGCCCCAAGTGGTGAACCCGCCGGTGCCGCCGCCCTTCCCGGAGTGGACCATCATGGAGCTGGCCCACTGGCCCGAGTCGGCCATTGTCAATTTGTAGTCCTCCTTGTTGTATTGGCAGCGTTGGCGGAGCTGCTCGGAGTCGAGGGAGTCTGTTGAGACGGTGCCATCGAGCAGCGAGCCAAACAAGGAGTCTGAGGCTCCGAAATCGAGGTTGGCGATGCGGTCATCGATGTCGGGGGGCCATTCGTCGGCATCTGGGAGCATTTTCAGCTCGCATAGCTCGACCATTTTGGCGATTTCCGGCCGAGTAGGGAATTATAGCGTTCAGCTGCTTCGAATAGAGGGTTTACTTCTTGGAATTGGGCAGAAGGAAAAGCCGAGGCTTCAAAAATCGGGTTTTCGGGGCTTAAAAAGCTTCGTTAGGCCAGAAATAAAGTCGAATGGCGTCAAAGTTTCGACAAATAGCTTGAAAAAGCTAGTTCTTTAGCGTTTGGACGCTCAAAAAGTTTATTTTGATGAGCAAGCTCGTTTTCAGCTTGAAAATCGTCGCCGAGTCGAATAGAAACAGCTCAAAACCCCGGGTACACAATCGAGTGTGTAAAACTGGGGCGCTCAGCAAAAGCGGAAGCGTTAAAAACTACACAAACGTGTGTGTAGCCTGGAATATACAGATGGAATAGGAATGCGGGAGGGTGGGAAAAGAGTTGTGTGGGTCCTCGGTGGGGCCCAGGGGGGCCTCTAGCCAGGGGCTCGGCCCGGGCAATCGATGTGTAGCAGGAGAGAGACAGGGAGGGCCGCTCCTCACCAGCCAGTCAGCAAGCCCTGTGACGGCATCCCATCTCTCACGCGCTCTCATTTCATCATGCTCTCTCGCTCTGGTCTACCCTCTCCTCTACAGCCCCATTCTCTAGCTCTTCTCTCGTTTCTCGCTGCTCTCTCATCGTTTCTAGCAATCCCTCGCATCTCTAGCCCCACCTATCGCAGTCATTTTCAACGCTCAATCAACCGTTATAATCAGAGAGTGCTTGACTGCTGCCGGGTTGACCTCTTCTCCACTATCGGTTCCGGGAAGATGACCTTAGATAAGCGGAAGAGCCCAAAAAACAGCCAAGCACTGTGGCCAACGCCTGTCTGGAGAAGCGGTAGATAAGCTCCCGAGGCGTTCAGGCCGGCACTGAACAACTGGAAGAAAATGGCCTTGCTTTTACCTTTTTTAATACGCGGGAAAAAGTAGAAACTGGACAAATTTGGCCTGTTTTAGTAGCTATGACTTTTAATAACCGAGAAAAATAGTATTGGGCTATCTTTTGCTCGATTTTACCTTATTTTTAGCCACGTAAAAACACGGATAAGAGCAAGTCTGGCTTATTATTATCAAAATAGTCGTATTTCTTACTTTAAAAGTCTTCATTTGCACAACGCCATTATTTTTCTTTCTACCATCTTTTACTCTGCCGGAAATTGTTAGTGGGTTTCATACAAAATTGTGTGCGCTTCCGGTTCGACCCTCGACATTTACGTAGGGGGGACGCGTTTCGAGACTTTGCAAAGCGGTCTGGATCTCTCTCTCTCTCTCTCTCCCTCGCTCTCTCTCCCACTTCTCACCCATCAGCTGACACACACGGCAATCACAAATAGACAGACAGCGGGACAGCCATCATCATGCCCATAGGGCATATCCACCCGAAATCCGGGAAATTCGACCTATGATCAGTGGGTATTGGCTTCATGTTTAAAATCGAGAAATCTAGGAAAAATTGACAATAAAAAGACAAATTTAAACTAGATTTCACGCGCAAAACAGGCTTGAGCCTGCAGAACCCGCGCAAATAATTCTACCTCTGTTTATCGACAAAAAACACCCCCGTCATCCGATTTTTTTATAATCCCAACCTCATGCAATCCGGAATCATTCGAAGTGGTGGCCCGTTCCCCGGCGGTGGCCCTCATCAGCAAAATTGTCCACGGGCGAGCCGCTTGGTGATGATCGGTGGCTGATTAACGCACTCGCGCGCCCCCAAAAAAAAGGCGTCAAACAGATCGATCAGCCGTCGTCGAGCGCGGGGAGCAACAGCCACGGGTTGATAGGCCGATTGGCGGCTGATCGGGAAGCATGGAGAGGACGATTCTCTTCCCAATTAACACCCCCGTACAGGTGGCTGAAGATGGCGAGCCATTCGTTTGCCATAAATCACGGGCGCTTCCGGTCAACCTGGATGCCGCTCCAGACGAAAAACTAAAAGAAAGACGCCTGCAAATTTTTGTCGCCATCATATTCTACTACGTATATTCTTTATTGCATATAGCCAACGTACGTCAAAATGTATTCGGGCCATATCTATTTGGGGGGCGGGGCGGGGAAAAAGAATCACACATGGCGACTGCTTGGCGAAAAAATGGGGAGAAGGGGCTGTGAATAATTAGGAAAATAATTTAGCACGACACTACACCAAATTGTCTCTATATGCGCTAGCCAAAAGAAGTGGAGAAGTACTGAAATTGAAGCTCGCTCGAAAGGTTCAAGCATGAAGTTTCAAATAGAAAAATTCCGGGGGAAAATAAATTACACTGCGCGATGGCCGTACGAACATCCAAAAGTGAACATGTTGCATTGGAATTTGGGCATTTGGGTCACAGAGAGATTACATTTTAGTGTATAGTACCACTTGCATTGTTCATGGAGAGCCGGGGAGAGTGAGAGAGAGAGAGAGAGTGGGGATCGACGCATTGCACAAGTAAAACTCATTACTGAATACAAAATTGACAGGCAATGTGAGAAGAATTAGCACTAGGAGTTTTTTGGGTTTCTATCACTTTTCCAAACGAGGGTCAGTCAGCGGGGGCGTAAAAGGTTTTTTGACGGAAAGTAAGCAACTACATTCGGGGAAACGGAGAATAATCGCCTAATATACATGAAGGGGGGCACAGCAAAACACAGTCGCACAGTTCATAATCCTAGTTTTGGGCACCCCGCCCTAGAACGGGTTGCCGAACGGGTTCGTGTTGGTCGGCTGGGCGCCAGTTGATGTGCTGGGTGGCATCTGAAATGTGGGATTCGCCAAAAGGATAAACAATGGCGCTTTGGCGTTTCCAGATCGGCCTAGTAAAATAGAAAGTATTTTATTAAGGTTATTATTAAAATTTAGCTACATGTCAAGCTAAAAAAATTAGAATCACGTCCAAAAAAAATTATATTCTACTTTTTCTAATAAAAACTTGATAACAGACGTCCGATGCCTAGGGCTATTGAATAAAATAGAACTGAATTGAATAAATTGACATTAGAAAAATCGGAACCCAGGAACAAGTTGTTCCCCGGAAATACAAAATAACCCGAAACAATGTCCCACCTGTCCGTTGTTCTGGGCCGGAGGGAAGTTGGCAAAGTTCTGCGGCTGCATCATGCCGTACTGTGGCTGCTGGCCCATCCCGTACATGCCTAAAAACTTTGAAATTCTCCAGATTAAAAATCCGTACCTGGCTGCTGCATTTGCCACATCTGTGGGTGACCGTAACCTTGGTATCCGGCGCCATACGGGGCCATTGGTGGCGCCTGAAAATCAAAGTACGCTAAATCACAACCCGACAGCTAGAATCGTACCTGACCAAAAGCGCCCATCTGCGGCTGGCCGTAGCCGGGAGCTGCGGGACGGCCGGGACCGGGCTGGCCTTGCCACGGGACGGGCTTACTAAAAGAAAATCATTTAATGCTCAAAATAACTCGTACTTCTCCGTCTGGACGCCGCCAATGTTCATGCTTGCGATGGAGTTGATCGCCTGGTCCACATCTGAAACGAAAAAGCATTAAATGTGGGAATCGTCTTCTAAGCTTCTATCAAAAACCCTTGTACGTGGTGGTGGAATTCTAATAGCGCAAATCACAGTTAAACAATCACAAAAACTATCCGGTACAACACAACAACACGAACGCTAATAGGCGAAGTAATTCTACAAAAAGCACCTCCGCCCGGTCGGTTGGTCAGCGCTGAAAAGTTGTATTTTTGGAAAAGTCGTCAACAAAACCTTGCTGATGCTGTTGCATAGCTTCCAGCATGTGAGGGGCATTATAGCTGCCATCCATTCCAGCTAAAAGGGTCACAAAGTTATGTTGGATTTTGGGTTTGCTTACAAAACGGGGTGTCCTGGTAGATGCCGAGGTTGGCGCCGGGTACGGTCACCGGGGCCGAATCAACTAAAGGGTTTTTAACCCCGAAATCCGACCCCGAATTACCACTCGATTGATTTGAGGGTGGTCGTGGCGGCTGAGCTGGGGCATCGCTTTGTGCGGGCGGCACCGGCGGGAAGTCTAAAGCCCAAGTGTTTAGTTGCGGCGTTTTGTCTTGGGATTTGAAAAAAACTAAAGGTAATTCCCAAACCAGACGCACTTGGTGGAGCAGCACCCTGAGGAGCAGCCGCCCCAAACGGATTGGCGTTTGACGAAAGAGCCGCCTGGACGGCCTGCTGCGCCGCCGTCATCGACATGTCCTTGGCAGGTGGCTTGAACACGGGGGATTCCCTTTGTAAACTCGAAACCTACCGGGGCCCACTGCTGCTGCGCAAAGTCGGCGCCGGGCCATTGGTCGCCCCCTGACGCGGCGGCGCTGGTGGCAAACGGGTTGAACGTGGCGGGGTCGGCAGCTTGAAAGGGGTGCCATGTGGCGCCGAAGAAACACAAGATCACAATACGACGGATAATGGTTGTCCCGGGAAAACAGGGCAGAAAAACGAGGGCGCTATTTGAATTCCACCAACACGTTCTACGGTCAAATTTTCGTAAACTCGCAATTTTGCATTGTGATTCTGCTGCATTGTGAAGACCTTTTCGGGCCAACAAAAACAACACTAACATGCAGGAAATGATGAGATGATAATGTTTAACCTCGGAGGCCGCTGGGAAAATTGCTCGCAGTGGTGATTGTGGTGCTCCTAGCCGGTTGGTACGTAGTGGTGTTGGGGAAGGCCGGGTAGAAGTTGAGCGCCGCGGGGCCGGGCATCATGTTGTGCATCCCGTTGGTGGGCTGGGAAGGGCGCACGGCTAAACTAACGACTGGACAACATTCTACGGCTATCGTGCAGTGTCATGCTACCAACGACGAATTGATAAAAGGAGCGCAATGTTGAAGCAGCACTAGGTGAGCGTGAAGCAGAAGTTTTGCGAAAATAATTTCTATAAAAAAACTAGCATCACATAGTTTTTGGAATTTACGACAAGAATCTCTAAAGCCACGAATCTCTCTTACAATAAACTGAGACGCAGCATGCAATTCGTGCACTAAACAACAGAAACGACGCTTACTCGGATAGACGCCAGGCTGCTGTTGCATGGGGGCAGCCGCTGGGGCGCCGAAATTGGCAAACGGATTGGAGGGGTCGAGGGCCGGGTTTGCTTGGACCGGCGCATCGAAGAAGTTCACCAAGTCGTCCTAAAATGCTTTTTATGCAAAGCAACAATTCTCCGACAAACCTGCTTGGTCGGCTGCCCCTGAGGCGCGGCAGCCGCAAACGGGTTTGACTGCGGTGCACCTGAAAAAGCGTCTACAAAAATTGGCACTTTCCAATACCCCCTTGACGCTGCTGGAACTGCTTGAAGCGCTCATTCTCGAGTTCGAGCGCCTTCTGCCGATCCGCATCGGACATATTTGCCTGAGCCGGAGCTCCATAGGCACCGCTGGCGAACTGAAATAAAGAAAACATTAAGATACGAGAGAGGAGACGTTTCGCAACATTTGGCTAACACAAGGGGGTCATCAGACGGTTTCGACGAATGGCATTTTTAGTTTTAGCAAAGCTTTCAATGACTCGAATACACGGGGAGGAGGCAGCATCAGTAGTAGACCCAGCGCTCAAAGGACTGAACGATATGAAAAGAGCGGCGTTGTTTACAGAAAACTGCGTGCAAATCGGGACAAGCAACGAGCTAACATTTCCTACCCACCATTTGTTGGAACATTTGCTAAACGAGGATCGGAAATGAGTGATAGCTGAAAGGTGGTGTACCTGTTGAACCTGCGGGGGTGGTTGGGAAGAGGGAGGGGGGCCACGGCCTCCTTCCAAATGGTGCAGATGGCTCTCGAGGGCCTGCATCAGTGAAGCCGGAGCACGGGTCAAGTCCGGGATTTCGCCCTGAAAAAATTGTATTTCAGGAAGCCAAGTGAGGAACTTCTATCGCCGCAAAAGTGTTAACCTCAGCCAAGTAATAAATGCAAAAACTCACCTTATCAATCCCAACGCTCTCAGCAACGCGCAGAAATTCGGAGACCTTGTCGAGTCGCGTCTAAAAGAAAAATGTCAAAATCACCAGTAAAAACTACCAAAAAGCCCTTGTATGTGTCCAACGCCTGACGGCACTGTTTCTTGTTCATGTCGAAATACTTCTCGAGCAGGTTAATGATGCCTGGAAACACGAAAATAGAAAAATTACGATGACTCACCGTCATTATAGCACGCAAAAAGACGAATGAGATCACGGAACAGTAGAATGAATGAGCAGTTGATGACGCCGTTGCTCAGCTCGCCGGCTGAGACCTGGAAAAAATGTCGCATTTTTATATCTAGAGCAGTGAGATGCCCAGACCAAAAAGTTCGCAAAAATAGCTCACGTTGAACTCGAGAAGCGCGTCGATTTGCTTTTGCAGCGTGGGCAGCGTGGCCAGCAGCTTGTCGGTGTGCATGCAACGGAGCAGGCCATCCTCACGGCCGCGCTTCACCTAAAAAAGCAGGTTAGCTAAATGCTGGCGACAGTGAGAAATAGATTTTCCGAAACTCGGCTCACCTTGCAGAAGTCGAACGCACAGCTGCGGTACGTGGCGATCTTCTCGCCAATGTAGTTGCCGTAGCGGCGAACATGGTGTGTCATGTCTTGGCCTGAAAATCACACCTCAATTAAAGCTGTGGAAAATGCGAATGGGCAAGGGAAACTCAAGCAGTGTTACGACAAGCAATAAACTGGGTCAACTGTAAGTAAGGAACCGACGAACCAATCACCGCGTGCATCCAATTAGACGACGAGTAGAAGTCGCCGCGGCCGCCTGTGATGTGCGCCTGTGAGTTCACGACAACGATACACAAGTAAGGCCTTGATATCATGCAACGATAAAAGAATCAGGAAATGCCACGCTTTTAGAGATTTAGGAGGTTAATAAAACGACCACCACCACATTCAACTCAAGCGAAAAGTAAAGCCCGGTTACCTTGGAACGGCGTTCGATCGGTGAAGCTACCAAGGTTGAAAGTAGTGTTGCAGGAGGCGAGGTATTGGGAGAAGCGCTGAATACATAAGTATGCTTTTCAAAACACCGACTCACCTCATTTCCATAACACATGATGTTGTGAATAGTGATGAGGGCCTTGTAAACGACCGTCCAATTCTGGGCCTGAGTTCGTTCGATGAGCAGATTGGCCATTGACGGAATCGAGACGTTCGGCTCATTTGTGCAGTGGAGTAAGTCTAGGAACACGTTCACCAACTCATAAAGACTCCTACAGTCGAGATGCTTCTTCTTGGGTGCCATCAACTCCTCAGTCGTCGCCTTACAGATCGTCTTGCCAAGTTGACTGCCCGCCAGCGAATGCTTCGCAGCAGTCAGCCTAAAAATTGTTAAAAATCAAGATAGGCCATAACAACCTGTCGGAGATGGTCTGGCCGCCGGTGGTGAACGGCATCGGCTGATGGAGGGCCTTGTTGATTGTCTCCATTTTGCGGGACGGAGCGGCAATACGCCAAGCACTCTGAAAGCCAGGGGTTTTAGCTTCAGCTTGAACAAAAAAAACTGCGATAAGAGACGGGCAAATTGAAAACAAACACATATCCAAGGGTACCGGGCCGATTTTTGCTATTTGCCATGAGATCCAAATACGGAAAGGCTCTTGTTGAAGCCACAAAAATGTTAAATCCATTAAATCTAACTTGTCATTATAAGGGGGTCAGTGCACACAAGAGACAGAGAAAGACGAGGGATCGCGCGATGAGTGGAGGGCGCAGTTGGAGAATCAATAGGGACAACGCGGCGCGTCTGCACAAAGAAGAGACACCTCAACCTGTGCAGTCCAGCAGCACTAGTGAGACTGACCCGCTGAAATGTAATCCGCCAAGATTCGGTTAGCCTTAGATTTTGGAGGGTGTGTCATAGGCTCGTGACTTTCGCAACCAGTTGAGGGCAACAAAAATTGAAGCCTTCAAAGTTCAAGGAGATTTTATTGCCAGTATCAAAATGCGCAACGCTAAAAAAATTCGGCTGAATCAACAGTGTTGCTAAAATTTATCGGGAAATTCGGCCATGTTCCTTTAATCAAAAACGTTCTACAAATGTTTCCCGGACAACCGAGGCAGGCAAAGCCTCATTAAACCAATGTGCGCCTAAAAAACTTGGGCCCACGAGGGGGGGCAATGGGCCATTCCACCGCGCGCTTGTCTGAATGTGGGCGCGGCAAAAATCCGATAGGTTGGCGAGACAGGGCCCCTAAGCGTGGCTGTGGAATGGAAGAAGAAGAAGCAGAATAAGAAGAAGGGGAAGAACTGCTCGATGGGCTGCCAGGGGCCCTAGGGGCCCTCGCCACGGGCCGCACATCGATCCCTCGCGAGTGGTGCCCACTTTGGCTGGGAGCCTAAAAAGACCTGGGGGAAACCCGAGGCCGAGCAGCGAGAGGTGAGATTGCTAGGGGGGTGAGACTGAAAAGTGGTAAATTGGTTACAGAAGCGTGAGGAAATGCAGCAACGCCGACGATGTGATATTTCGACAAAAATGATTTGGCGGTCGGAGGAGTGCGATCTAAACACGTGCCTGTAAACTATCTGATGGCTCCGCAGGCCTTTGTTTGAATAAACAAGCTATCAAGCGGATTGCAATTTCTGTTTTGCGCCTCACTTTAGCAAAAAATGTTGGATTTTTTAGTGTGAAAACCAAAAGGCCGATGGAAAGTCCCCACGTGGACAAGGGTACCGTATACGGTACGCGTAAAAATCGTCTCACCACGAAATTATGTACATAGGAGCGTTCCGGCGTATGCAGCCGAATTATCGTGATTTTCGACGCTTTCTGTGGGACCATGACATTTCCGCCAATTTTAGATCAAAAGCATACAAAATCTTCCAAACTAAAGCATTTTTATCTTTTCGTGTCAATAAATTCCGTTAACATAAGCACATGCTAGTAGAGAAGAAGTTACGATGCGGGAGGGCTGTTTTGGGCATAATATCGCACTTTTACCGTTTCCGGCGCAAAATCTTAACTTTGTTATTTCTCCTGTAATATCTAGATCCGGGCGAGCAAAAAAATGGCTAGGACTATTACACGCATGAAACAACGCATTTTACTAGCCTTTTGGCAGTTGGCGGAAATTTCTTGGTCCCCCTGTTCACGCGGATTCACGTGGTTTTTAAATTGTCGTGAACAGTTTCTTTTCTTTCGCTTATCAAAATTGCCGAACTCGCCCATACCCGCGTTTTTCAGCTCGACTCAAGATGGCTGTCGGCAAGAGCAAGAAGATGGGCAAAAAGGGCGGCAAGAAGAAGGCTGTCGACCCCTTCACGCGCAAGGACTGGTACGACGTCAAAGCCCCCTCGCTCTTCACCGCTCGCCAAGTCGGAAAGACGCTCGTGAACAAGACTGTCGGCACAAAGATCGCCGCTGATGGCCTCCGCGGTCGTGTGTACGAGGTGTCGCTGGGCGACCTAAACCAGTCTGAGTCGGATTTCCGAAAGTTCCGTCTCATCTGCGAAGAGGTCCAGGGTAAGAGCTGCCTGACGAACTTCCATGGCATGAGCTTCACCCGCGACAAGCTGGCGTCCATCGTGAAGAAGTGGCATGTTGGTTTTTTTGCATAATTCCTTGCAACTTTGTCTTAGACCCAAGTTGAAGGCAACGTTGCTGTAAAAACGACGGATGGATATTTGCTGCGCGTTTTCTGCATCGGCTTCACCAAGCGTCGTCCGAATCAGGCCAGCAAGACCACCTACGCCAAGGCCTCGAAGGTGCGAGCGCTGCGCGCTAAGATGATTGAGCATATTCAAAAAGAGGTATACTGAAGTTCGAGATTGTACCTGCCCACTTTTAGGTGACCGTCTCTGATCTGAAGTCTTTTTGCGCCAAATTGATCCCCGACTCTATCGGAAAGGACATCGAGAAGGCCTGCTACCCGATCTACCCGCTCCATGATGTGTATATTCGCAAGGTCAAAATCCTCAAGAAACCGAAGTTCGAGATGGCGAGGCTGTTGGATGTGCACGGCGACCCGGTCAGCACGATTGCCGCTGATGGGACCAAGATTGACCGCCCGGCTGGCTACGAACCCCCAGTTCAAGAAGCTGTTTAATCTTTTGTTGATAAAGTTTCGATTGTTTTTGATTGTCAGTTCGCGTTCGGGTTGCATAACCTTGGGCTACTTGATCCCTGCCACAAAGTTTCAATTTTGGCGCTTTTTTTAGTTCTGCGACGTCATGTCGTTCGACGACTCTGGTTCGGGTTCGCCGCAAATGGTTCTTTAGATGTTTCGGCGTAATTCCTATCTTTAGTTGCGCCCACCCTTGCAATCAGCGGGTACGGAATGGAAGAATATCCAGCAAAACACGTTTACCCGCTGGGTTAACAGTCACCTGCAAAATGCTTCGACGGAGATTCAGGACTTGGTTGGTCGCTATTGCCGTATATCTATGTGATTCTAGCAAACCGATTTCTCTGACGGTGTGAAGCTGATCAAACTGGTTGAGGTGCTGGCCAAACGTCCTTTGGGCAAATATTGTTCGACGGTTAATTTACACCTTTTTTCGCAGCGTAGGTTTCTTTAGGTCAGATTCCGTCATCAGCAATTGGAGAATGTGTCCCTAGCCCTCAATTTCCTACAAGACGACGAAGGCATCAAGATCGTCAACATCGGTTTAACTTTTTGCAAGTGCTCGATCTAGTTTTAGATTCCTCTCACATCGTGGATAAAAACAAGAAGCTTATCCTCGGCCTGATCTGGACGCTCATATTGCACTACTCTATCTCGCTTTCCTTCGAGGCATGCTTTTCATTATTAACGATAATTTCTTCCAATGCAGGACTCCGAGCGAAAACTGTCGCTGGACGTAACCGGTGCCGAAGACGTCCCGCCTGTGGCCAAGCCGGAGAAGACCCCCAAACAGAGGCTTCTTCATTGGGTGTGTGGCAAGCTTCCGGAAGCCGTGACAGTGACGAACTTCACCAGCGACTGGAACGACGGCCGGGCTTTGGGTGGCTTGGTTTGTCTTTTTTTTTGGGGGAATTGCACACCGATTTCTTAGGTAAATTCTATCTCCCCTGAGTCTCTGGAAGATTGGCGCGATTGGGACTCTGCACACGCCCTGCAAAATACTACGAAGGCCATGTCAGCGGCCACTGAAGATCTTGGCGTGGCGCCGTTGCTGACCCCGGAAGAGCTTTCGAATCCAAACGTTGACGAGAAGTCGGTGATGACGTATCTTGCGCAGTTTGCCAAGGTTTGCATATTATTCATGCTTTACAGTGTTCTAGGCCACTCCACCACTCAGCAAAGCTGCGCAGCGGCTTCTTATTTGGATCAACACCCAGCTCGGCGGTGGATTCACAATCGAAAACTTTTCGACTGATTGGAAAAATGGATTGGCTTTGGCTGCCTTGGTATTCTTTTTCTAACTGACGACGATTTTCCTAGGTCAATTCAATCGATTCCGACCTTCTGACGGATTGGCGCAGTTGGTCAGCTACAGAGGAATTGGAGAACACGAGGAAAGCTCTGTTGGCAGCGTCTGAAAGTCTCGGTGTGGCCTCGTCGCTGCGCGCAGAAGACATTGTCAACTCCACCCTTGACGTGAACATTGTGGTCACCTACCTGACGCAATTCCAACAGGTATTTTATTTTTTCTTGATTAGCAGCCGCTCAGGTCGCTTTGTCGATGGAAGAAAGGAACAATAAGCTTTTGGATTGGGTTCGTAGCCGGCTTCCGGAGGGCTTCAAAGTCAATAACTTTTCTACTGATTGGAACGATGGGGTGGCTTTAGCTGCTTTGGTTGGTTTTTCTTATATGATTCATACCGATGTTTAGATCAATTCAATTTCGCCCGACTCGCTGAAAGATTGGCGCAGTTGGTCGTCTACCAATGCATTGGAGAACATTCGAAAAGCTATGGCTGCTGCTTCTGACCTCGGTGTCACGACAGTGCTTGCCCCAGAAGAGCTTGCAAATCCGACCGTCAACGAGAAGTCTGTGATGACGTATCTTGCGCAGTTTGCCAAGGTTGGCTTATTATTCATGCGCTACAATAATTTAGGTCACTCCGCCGCTCAGCAAAGATGCTCAAGAGCTTTTGGTTTGGATCAATGCCCAGCTCCCCGGTCTCAAAATCGCTAACTTCTCCACGGATTGGAAAAATGGATTGGCTTTGGCTGCCTTGGTATTCTTTTTCTAACTGACGACGAATTTACTAGGTCAATTCAATTGATTCCAACCTTCTGAAGGATTGGCGCAGTTGGTCAGCTACAGAGGAATTGGAGAACACGAAAAAAGCTCTGTTGGCGGCTTCTGAAGATCTCGATGTGGCCTCGTCGCTGCGCGCTGAGGACTTTGTCAACTCTACTCTTGACATGAACACTGTGTTTGCTTACCTTACGCAATTCCAACAGGTTTTTCACATTTTCTTCTGTAAACGGGATTCAGGTCTCTCCACGAATGAAACAAAGCAAGCAGAAGCTTTTGGTTTGGATTCGTAGCCTGCTTCCGGAAGGCATCGAAGTCAATAACTTTTCTACCGATTGGAACGATGGGTTGGCTCTAGCGGCTTTGGTTTGTTGCTTGTTTGATTATTACTGAAGTTTAGATCAATTCAATTTCACCCGACTCGCTGAAAGATTGGCGCAGTTGGTCGTCTGCCGATGCCCTGGAAAACATGCGTAAAGCTATGGCGGCCGCCTCTGACCTCGGCGTCACGACAGTGCTCACCCCGGAAGCGCTTGTGAATCCGAACGTTGACGCGAAGTCTGTGCTGACGTATCTTTCACAATTTGAAAAGGTTTGATCTTCCTGTTGCATTATTACAACGACATAGGTCGCTCCACCGCCCAGCAAAACCGCTGATGTCACTGTCTCGGGCCCGGGTCTCCGCTGCGCGCAATCCGGTGCTCCTGCCACTTTTTCCGTCTACACGAAGGTCAAACTCCGTTTGTTTGTGACGTCGATAATTTAGGGGTTTGCGGAAAGCGAATTATCTGTTGTCATCGAGGGTCCAAATGATGTTGAGGTTCACTCGTCAACTCCATTTTCCATCGCAACTGACGAGGTTTGTGTTGAACTGTGTTTTATCAATATTTCGGCTCAGCTCGGCATCGCATCGGTCACTTGGACGCCATCTGGATCCGGTCTGTACAAAATCTACATCAAGCTGGGCGGAGAGGAGTTGCCGGACTCGCCTTATGCCGTTGATGTGGCTGGGGCCGGTGGGGAGACCCATCATGCTCCCACAAAAGCAGAGGTTGGACTCTAGTCGCTGTTTGAATTTAGTCGGCGGTTAGAAGATTTTGCTCGTTTGCACAAGACCCCTTGAAAACTACTAAAATACTTCCCCTAGCTGAATCCGTCTGCAAAACGATAACACTAAGGGAAAAATTTTCAGCACGCGGCGGCAAAACCGGATACGATCTCGAAGCAGGGGCTGCTTCATTGGGTGTGTGGCAAGCTTCCGGAAGGCGTTACGGTGACGAACTTCACAAGCGACTGGAACGACGGCCGGGCTTTGGGTGGCTTGGTTTGTCTTTTTTTGTGGATTTGCACACCGATTTCTTAGGTAAATTCTATCTCCCCTGAGTCTCTGGAAGATTGGCGCGATTGGGACTCTGCACACGCCCTGGAAAATACTACGAAGGCCATGTCGGCGGCCACTGAAGATCTTGGCGTGGCGCCGTTGCTGACCCCGGAAGAGCTTTCGAATCCAAACGTTGACGAGAAGTCTGTGATGACGTATCTTGCGCAGTTTGCCAAGGTTTGCATATTATTGATGCTTTACAGTTTTAGGCCACTCCGCCACTCAGCAAAGATGCTCAAGAGCTTTTGGTTTGGGTCAATGCCCAGCTCCCCGGTCTCAAAATTGCTAACTTCTCCACGGATTGGAAAAATGGATTGGCTTTGGCTGCCTTGGTATTCTTTTTCTAACTGACGACGAATTTACTAGGTCAATTCAATCGATTCCGACCTTCTGACGGATTGGCGCAGTTGGTCAGCTACAGAGGAATTGGAGAACACGAGGAAAGCTCTGTTGGCGGCTTCTGAAAGACTCGGTGTGGCCTCGTCGCTGCGCGCAGAAGACTTTGTCAACTCCACCGTTAATGTGAACCTGTTAGTCACTTACCTGACGCAGTTGCAAAAGGTATTTCGTATTTTATTGTGTAAACGATGCCCAGGTCTCTTACCCGATGAAAGACAGCACCCAGAAGCTTCTGCATTGGATCCAGGGCCAGCTTCCGGAAGGCATCAAAGTCAACAATCTTTCCGAGGACTGGAGCGATGGATTGGCTCTAGCGGCTTTGGTTGGTTTTCTTATTTGATTCATATCGATGTGTAGATCAATTCAATTTCACCCGACTCGCTGAAAGATTGGCGCAGCTGGTCGCCTACCGATGCCCTGGAGAACATTCGAAAAGCTATGACAGCTGCGTCTGAGATCGGTGTGACGACATTGCTAACCCCAGAAGAGCTAGCAAATGGCAGTGCTGATCCGAATGTCTTGGTGACCTACCTCGTGCAATTCGCTAAGGTGGGTTCGTTTACTGCGCCATGCTCTCTCCGAATATGCCTTCAGAGTGGCCTGCCTTCTTTCCTCTTTACAACAGATTTTTAGGGTACATCCGTCTATGTTTTCTTCACGTCAACTTCCCGTGCCGTCGCCTCAGGACCGGGTCTAAGTTCCGCGGGATCGGGTGCTCCAGCCACTTTTTATGTCTATACCAAGGTTAAATTCGGTTAATTGGTGACATCTTTAGTTTAGGGATGTGAGGACAGCGAATTGTCAGTCGTCATCCAAGGTCCAACGGAAGCCCCAATTTCCATCGAAACCGATGAAGTTTGTGTTTCGTTTACTTACCAATATTTCTGTTCAGCAGGGCATCTCGTCGATCAGATGGACACCCTCTGGACCCGGTCTGTACAAAATCTTCATCAAACTGGGCGGGGAAGAATTGCCGGGCTCGCCTTATGCCGTTGATGTGGCTGAGACTCGTCAAAAGACGCATTATACAGCCAGGAGGGCGGAGGTCAGACTATTGCCGCTGATCAACCAACTTTTTGAATTTAGTTCGCGATTGATATCTCGTCACACTCTGGAGAGACAGGCACTTTGACCGCTACATGCACATCTCCTTCGGGTCACGTCGAACCTTTGGAAGTCGAGACTGTTGGAGAAGGACTACTAGGTAAAATTTACCTAGGATACCTTGGATTCGTTTAGCTGTTACTTTCGTTCCTCGCGAGTGTGGCGTGCATTGGGTCAATATCTATCGCGATGGCATTCCGATCGCGAATAACCCCCACGAAGTCTTGGTCCGAATTCGTTTTGTTTCGTAAGCGTTTATTTAGGTGGAGAACATCAATGCTGATGCGACGAAAGTCCAAGTGAATGACAACTATAAGAAGCAAATTCGTGTCCATGAAGAGAACGAGATCCTTGTCAACACATCAGACGCAGGTATTTATGTTGCTAATCGGGAGGGAATTGGAGGGGCTGCGTGGGGGATTGTTATACGCCTATTTTTAGGAACTGGCAGCCTGGGCGTTTCGATCCAAGGCCCTTCAAAGGCGGACCTCGTATGCCGTGAGGTGGAACGCGGTCTCATCGCGATTCGATATCAAGTTGAAGAACCGGGCATCTACATGGTCTTCCTCAAGTTCGGCGACGAGCCCGTGAAAGGTTAGGGCTGGCTTCGAAGATTCTAGTTAGTTTTTAAGGAAGTCCTATCTCGATCGAATGTACCGCGTCAGAGGGAACTAACGCCTCTGCCGAAACGCTGGAAAGCGAACAGGTGCATTAGAATGTAGATTTTTACCTTTTAAGGTGGATAATAACAAGTTTGATGATGAGGCGCCCGTGCAAGGGTTCGAAGTGCCGTTTAATAATGGAGATGTCACCAAAGTTCGCGCTCACGGCCCGGGCCTCCACAGATTCACCGCCGGAAAGTCTGCATCATTCAACATCGACACTGGATCGGCTGGTAGGCAGTTATCTCCATACTGTGACGTTGCACTTTCAGGACCCAACCTAATCACGGTCGGTATCATCACTTCCAAGGGCTTTTGCGAGCTGGTCGCCGTCAAGCATTTGGGCAACGGCCGTTTTGATGTTTGTTCTTTGCCTTTTTGGTAGAGGACAACAAGATTTCATTGTTTTTGTTATTTTCAAGTGAAAATAGCTGTTTCAGGTCAACTACACGATTAATGAGAAGGTGCGTGGCCTGATCTATGTCCGGTACGGCGACTGCGAAATTACCGGCTCGCCGTTCCCGATCGACTCGAACTAAACTTCATTTAATCTCCAACAGGCCGTTTATTCGCCCTCGCATTTGTTTGTTTTCTCATAATTCTCGATCTCGTTTGGCATTATCATCGGCATTATATTCTTTTCTTTCCGCTGACAAAGCATTTTACAAATAAATTTCTTGTTTTTTCGATGTTGTTTCTTTTTGAAGCGTGCACAATGATAGCTCTCGGGGATGTCAAAACGCAATTGTTTATGCTGCCGAAGACATGGGGTGTGGGCACGGCCTGCTCCCTCCTCAAAATTTCCACTGACTAGCCATCGGTCTATCCCTTTGGCTGGCCGCCATCCGCACGAATCGACGTTTTGCACAGCCGAGCAACATTCACCGCCAACATCTAAGGATTAGCCGAGGAAGGGATAAGGTTTTATGGTCAGTATACTTTTTTTTCTTAGTGATAACCGATAGGCTGATAATATCGGTTGTCTGCACCTTTAGCTACACAGCGCAAAGTAGCAAAGTAGCGCATTTTTGCAAATTTCACAAAATGTATTCATTTTTGCCACGATTTCCCTAAAAGATCTTATCCTCCACATTCGGCGTCGGCCATATTTCCCCCTTTACCTCTACTATAGGTTGTCGCTTTGTGATATACGATCTCGTCGGCCAGCCGCACGCCCCCGAATTCAACGGGCCTTTTCCCTTTTATGCTAGCCGGGGAATGGAGCGAGCAAGGCCATTTGCCACCCTACTCCCCTCCTCCCCTCAACGTGCCCATGGTTTTTGCTTGTTCACGCATGGGCGTGCGGCAAACTTATGTGATTTGTCAATAGCCACGCGCGTTTTCGGGAGCAACCTACTATTCCTGGCGGATACAGTTACAATCGGATGCGAATGGCCTTTAGAATCCTTGTCTCGTTTTCTTATTCGGTTCTGGTTCGTTAGCGGGGGGCATTAGTTTCTCTTATCTTATTTTACATTATTTTGAGCTGGATGTAAAATTCGTAGTATATTTTTTGTGATGCTCTATCAAATAGCGTTAACAAAATGTCGAAAAATTGTCGAAAATGTCGAAAACTAGCTTATTTCTTCTTAAATCCTTCTTTCTTCCCATTTCCCGGGTTATTTTTGCTGTTGTTATAAATTTCTTAAATTATTTTTTGAGTCATAATTAAAAATCTTTGTGTGTTTTTAAGCTCTACAGGGTCGCAATGATCTAGTCCCCAAAAATCATCAAATATTGAAAAATCTACGACATTCCACCCCCCCCGCTAACGAACCAGAACCTCTTATTCTTTACAATCGCGAAAGCGACTTCCATCTCTAAATTTCCAGGTAATAACCGTTATGAAGGACCAGGCGGTGGTTGTCGGCAATAAGGACGGCGCCGTCTTGGTCAAGTACGCGCCTAAGTCGGCTGGATTTCACGAGCTGATCGTCAGGCATGACGGGGAAACAACGGTTGGTTTTTAGCTCCATATTTTAAAACTCTTTATTTACTTTTGATAGGGAACACCGCTAAAATTTTTTGTCGAATCGGAGACAAAAAGCGGGGCGACGGCGTCGGGCCCCGGGCTACACTCGGCGCATGCTGGTGTCCCGGCTACATTCGATGTTTACACAAAGGTAGCGAGAAAATAATAATTATTTAATGCTTTTAATTAAGACCAACGAGGACAGCGAGCTATCGGTGAGCATCGAGGGCCCGAAGCAGGCTCCAATTTCGATCGTCGACCATGAGGTTAGTTTTTCCTGGCCGTCCCGATTGGCCTAGTAATCAAATAGAAAGTTTTTTTACATTGTTGTTAGTAAGTTTTAACATATTTAAACTAGAAAAACTTTCAAAAAATGTTTGAAAGTGTCGAAAATTTGTTCATTTTGGGCCGAAATAATCAATTTTGCAACCTAAAATTAAATTTGTTAATTAAAGTTTGTGTAGTTTTATGCTTGGGAATAGTCAAAAATAATTTAGAAACGCATCCGCTATTTCTAAGAGAAATTTAGACGGGCCGAAAAAAATTGATTTCATTCAGCACGGCGTCTGCTCGGTCACTTGGACGCCCTCTGTTGCCGGTCTCTACAAAATCCACGTCCAGCTGGGCGCCCGACCGCTGGCCGACTCGCCCTATTCCGTTGCTGTCACGGCAGATAGGGACGAGGAGGCCCATCATCCAGCTAATTCCACTGAGGTAACGTATTTTCAAATTTCTTCAAAATCAAGAAAATGACTTTAGTTCTCAATCAGCGTCCCGCAAGCGGAAGACCTTGGCTCGCTGACCGCCACCATCAAGTCTGCATCGGGACGTGTCGAGCCGTGCGGGATCCGAATCATTGGCGATGGGCGTCTAGGTAACTTTACTGGTTCTGCACTGGTAGCGGGGGGGTCAAATTTTTCCCTGTGATTGTCCCTATAACGAAATATAAACCATTTTTCTAGCATTTTACATAGTTTTTAGATATAAAAACAAAATAAAAAATCAAAAATGTTGAATTTTTGGAAAAAAAATGTATGAAAATGAGCAAAAAAGATCAAATTTTCAATTTTCAAACTTAAAAAAAAATATTTTTAACCTTCTAGCAATCAAAAACTACCAAAAACACTACAAAAATGCATAATATGGGATCAATATGTGGAGATGGATAAACAGAACGTGATTTCCCCCGCTAACCCCCCCTCCCCGCTAGCAGTCCAGAACCACTTTATTGAGGCTAGCGACATTCTCTAGGCGTCACATTTGTCCCCCGTGAACATGGCGTACATTGGATCAACGTGTACCGCGACGGCCAGGCTCTGGCCAAGGGCCCTTTCAAGTTCAAGGTATGCGTTTCTTGGCAACACCATGCTTTTTACAGGTGGATAAAAGCCAGCTGGGTGATGCCTCAAGGGTCAAGATCCAAGGAAACCATAGCAAACACATTCAAACGCATCAGCTGAACGAAATACTTGTCAATACGGCCGATGCAGGTAGGGGTTGAGTCCAATGGTTTAATAAACCCATTCAGGTTACGGGAGCTTGGCGGTCTCAATCCAGGGACCGTCGAAGGCAAATCTCGTCTGCAAGGAGGTTGAGCCTGGGTTGATCGCCGTCCGGTATCGCGTCAACGATCCGGGCAGCTACAAGGTCAACGTCAAATTTGCTGAGCAGCATGTGAAAGGTGGGAAGTGCTAGATTGTACTGAATGGATGATCGTAGAAAGTCCAATTTCGATCACCTGCACGCAAGGCGAAGATCGAGGATCTACAAACGGGGAACAAGCTGGCGCGTGGGATGGCAGCGAAGTAAATATTCAACGTTTGCTGGTTTTTATTCGGTTTTGAAAAAATCTAACGGTTCTGGTTCATTAGCGGCGGGGGAGGGGACTTTTTTGATCAATGGCTTCTCGTGTATTAAACTAAATTATTTTTAGGACGTTGATGAAATTCTTCGTTTATTTTTTTATGATCTATGCAATAGTGTTAAAAGAATATCCAAAAACATAGAAAATTCTTAAAAATAGCATACCAATCCCATTTTGAGGGTTATTTTTCGTTTTGTTTTAACATCTCTTAAATGGCAGTGTTTTGATCTAAAATGAAGACTCTTAGTATATTTATGATGCTTTACCGGGTCGCGATGATATAGTCCCCAAAAATAGTAAAATATTGAAAAATCTACGACATTAAACTCCCCCCGCTAACGAACCAGAACCGATCTAGCTATCAAAAATTCGCAATTAGGTGGAAAACGGCGATGGGGTTGCCGTGTCGTTCAACAGTGGCGATGCAACCAAAGTGCGAGCCCACGGTCCAGGGCTGCATAAGTTTATTGCCGGAAAGCCGGCTTCTTTCAACGTTGACACCGGAGCTGCGGGTAGGTTCATAGGCTATCCGAGCGTACTGTAGATTTGTAAATTACGTTAAAATACGATAAATTACGTTCGTAAACCACGTTAAACCACGTTAAATAAAAAACATAGGCCCGAATCTACTGATGGTGGGCGTCGTCACCTCAGCTGGCCCCTGTGAAGAGGTTGTCGTCAAACACATGGGTGCCGGCCATTTTGTGGTAAGTAAGCCTCGAAACTAGTCTAAAACAAGCCTCCAAATGCAAAAGTACAAAACTACAAACTTTTAGGTAAACTACAAAATCGACGAGCCGCTCCGAGGACTTGTCTTTGTCCGCTACGGCGACAGCGAGGTGCCCGGCTCGCCTTTCGCCATCAACTCACACTAACCCCCATATTTCTCGTTGCCAAAAGCGTTGCCAAAGATTCCTTTTTCTCAAGTAGCTACACATATCCCCCGGTTAACAACCCCGCGTATTCTTGTCATTTCCTGCCTCTGAACTAATCACCAAAAACCTGGATTTTTTGGAAAAGCATACTAACAATTTAGCAATTTGATTGTGCCTCGCATTTTGAACAGTTTTCTATGATTAATCCCTGTATTCAGGCTAATAATAAAAAGTTTTTGTGAAAATGTTTTGGAGACCAAGACGATTCTGATATATCGAGCGTTTGCTCTTTCGAATTGGCGCTATCAACACGGGGTGTTACGGAATGGGCATCTGTTCTATAAATAGACCAGATGTTTGGAAATAAACACAAGATAGAGAATTACATTATAGTAATAGAGTATCTCCATAATTTAATTAGCATTTGATGGGTTCGCTTTTGAACAAAAATGCTTTTTTCCAGAGGTGATGATCGAGCACGACCCAGGCCCCGAGGCTCTCCGACTCAACAACCGCAATAAGCGTCCATATCCCGGGTTTGCGTGTTTTTTTGCTAGAAAATTCACTTTTCAAGATGGCCAAGTCGCCAGGAGATCGAGGATCGACAGGCGGCGCTGACGGACGCGGAATCGAGGCGCCGCGCAGCCGCCCGGGGTCCCGCAGCGAGCATCAGTTTTGAGGTCGGTTTGTTTGGGCAAAAACGAGTAAAATGAGTAGAGCGAAAAAATTTATTGCGTTGGTTCGGCCTCATTCGGCGCCCTTGCCGCTGTCGTCGGAGCCGAGGAGGGGCACGACGGCGCAGCGCACCTTCGAGCGGTCCTTCTTGAATACCTCGGCAATTTCGGCGGATCCCTTGGGGCGAACGTCCGTCTAGAGGTTGATTTTAGGCTATCTGGAATACCATTGCCATGCTCACCGGCTCGAGGTCGATCTCCTCGACGACGAGCTTGTTGGCCTTTACGCACGGCTCGCGCGGCGTCACCGACACGTCGATATGCGCCCCGGCGTCGATGACCATGTGTACGGGGGTGACCCTAAGGACATGGTGCTCTAGTTTGATGGTCATCTACTTGAAGTTGACATTGTCGGAGCACTTGAGCTTGACGACATGTTTGGCGGCACCCTTCTTGTTGTAGATGGTCAGCGTCTGGGTGCACACCTTCTTCTCCCAGCGCAGGAACTTGGGCGCAATCTCGAGGTCACCTAGCAGTTCAGTTTAGATGTTTTTCTATGCATTTAAAACAGTTAAATATTAATATAACAGCTAATATGATTTTAAGGTTTAGAAAAAAATTCAGCCACCATCATATGCTTTGATCGGCACCGTCTTCTTGCCAGTCTCGTCGGCCTTCACCGAGTTCTTGCCGTCGGTCTGCGTCTGCTTCTCTTCAATGTTCTGGTCGTCGCCCGTCGTCCCGTCGGCCGTGTACAGCTTCGGCTCCTTGCTCTTCATTTTTGAGCCCGAGCGCTGCTGGGCGAGCTCGGCCATCAGCTTGCCTGTCGCTTTGTCGGTTCGTGCCTACAATTGACGTCAGAATTTTCTAGTTTTTAACAGAAAATATGTAGTACCCGATCGGCCGCTTCGATCACATCTTCCTCGGCTGTCTTTGCCCCTTTCAGCGTGCTGTCCGGGTCTTTCGAGTCGCCCTTCCCGCTCTAAAATGCTTTCGATTTTTCTTTGAACCCCTCGCCAACCTTGTGCGGCTCCTTCGCCGTGGGTGGTATCGGTTTCTCGGGCGGCGGAGGGTTGGTCCCCTTGGCCCTCTGCGAGCCCGACTCTTTATTCGAGCTCTTCATCGCCTTATTTGAGGGCTCGGTCGACGTCTGCGAGGAGGACGAGGGGTGTCCGCTCTTCTCGACCGTCCCGTTTGGAGATGTTTTGCTTTTCTTCTGGGAGCAGCCGGGAATGGCTAGAAAGATACCCGTCTGCTATCCGATCCGGGCCAAATTTTTACCAGCGATGGGGACCCAATTCGAATTACTATAGAAAGGTTTTTTCCGTACACCAAAAATTGTTAGAAAATTTTTTATCACATTAAAAGTCTGGGTTTTCTTTAATTATTTTTTCCTGGTCTAAAGGGAGTTTTCGTATATCGGCTATCTTTCGTCCTACAGACCTGTCAATAGTATCAAAATGTAGCTCTTGCTCTGTAGAATAAGGCTACAGTACATTTGAATCGAAAAAATAGCGAAAAAAGAAAATAATTGGGTTTTAAACGCTTAGTACATTGAGACATGGCGACTTAATATTTTCACATTTCAAAATCTTGTAAAATTTTCTAACCATTTGGTGTATATAAACGACTTTTCTATAGTAATTCGACCACGGCGAACAATTTGAGATACTCCACGCATTAATAGGACGTATGGCTGAAAAGTTACGGCTGGGGGGGGGGGGGTTTTCTAGACTCTTACCCCCTGTAATATTGAACTTACTGAAAGTTAAAAGCAGCGCCTTCGCCAGGATAAATATTAGCCAGAACAAGTACATTGTGATGAGTTTTGATCGAGAACAGTTAGAGTAAGATTAAGAAATGATGGGCCGGGGCTTGGGAATTTCTTATATACGTGAGAATTTGGTAGATTCTAATTTGTTTAATGCAGATAACCATTTATTCTTTGCGTTTTTGCAGACTTCCACCGAGCACGGCTACATGTACGAGGCCGGGCGCGACACGCGCGCCACCAACCCTGACGAATTTCTCGAGCCGACGCGCTATGTGCGATTGCCAATATTGCGCGTCCCGGATTTCCATGTGCCATTTCCAGGTTTGGTTTTTATTGCGTAGGGCGCTTTCGCTTTATTTTCGAAAGATCAAACTTTTTTAATATAAAAGTGGGAATGTTTCTAAACTGTTTATAATTTCTTGACGTAGAAAATTTATAATTTTCATTAACAAATAGAAAAATTATTGATTTCCGACCAGAAATTGCCACTTTTCGAGCAAAATTCGAAAATTTTTTGGGTTTTAACTGTTTTTCCACTTTAATTTAGTTTCTAAACTGTCCTTTACCATTGCTTGACGTAAAGAATTTATAATTTTCATAGGAAAATAAAAAAAATTTCGATTTTTCGACCAAAACGAGAAAAACTAAAAAAATTCTGGGTTTTTCTTTGTTTTTCCACTTCAAATTAGTTATATTTTACGGAAATTGCTAATAAAATACATGATATAAAGTTATTAGGCATTTCTGGATTTCTAAAAAACTTGAAAATGAAAATTATGCAATTCTTTCTAGGTCAAAAGTATCCACTCCGCTTCCGTCTCGATTCGCAACGAGCCTCGGCCCAGACCGTCGGCTACGCCTTCGAAAAGGCAATCTACTTGGGGCTGATCCCGGCTTCATCCCCGGCCCCTCAGCCAACCCCATCTGGGCAGCCGGCAGCCGAGGTGAGCTTTTTCCCTTTTTCTCGCCTACCTCGAGAGCTCGTTTAGAATTCTGATAATACTGACGATACTGACGAAGATATGATGATCGACCCTCCACCCGAAGAAGAGCCTCCCCCAAGAATCATTGATATCGATGCGGTGTTGCTACAATTCCTCCGTCAACAAGTCCCACCACCTTCACCACCCCCGGACAGTCCTCCATCCCAGAGCCAACACGATGGCGCTACGCCCCAGAAAACCTGGCCCATCTTTGGAAGCGCCGTCCGGGTTTGTCTACTTAAAAACATTCTGACTCCGATATGCTTAGATAGAAGTATACAGCAATGACGGGACGTACTGCGTGGCGACCGCCGTCACTGAGCATCGCCTTCAAGTGCTTGGCGTTGCTGAGTCGGTGATGTGAGTGATTGAAATTTTATTATTTTTCCTAAAATGAACTTTTTTTGCATAGCTTTTCGAAGGCATTTTCGAAAATCGGGATTTGAAAAAACTTCTGGCTTCTCATTTTCGAGGAGATGACTTTGAAAAAAGTAATTTTTGAAGAATAATTTTCGAAAAGTGCATCTAGATTATCGAGATTCACTAGAATCGTTCAATTTAGCCCGGAATCTCCATCAATCGAAATCGCCGAAGCCGTCATCTTGCCAGACCACACGCTACGTCCGCTTGCCCTGGCCACCGTGCCCAACTCGTGGACTCGTTTTTCAGCGGATACGGTACGCTTTTATTATATCTTTCAATGAGCAGTCAATCTAGGTATTACTGTATTGAATCCTCCTTTTCCAGCGACGTCATCTCGGCGAGAAATGGTCGGGCTACCCTCGATGGCTGACCAACGGGTTTTCGACTGTAAGTCATTTTCACGCTTCGCTCCATTGATCAGCTTAGGAAGCCAACATTGGCCGTCTGAAGCGACTTCTCGACATTTGGTTCTCAAGAGACTCGTCTGCACTTCACGATTTTGAGGTGCAAGCTGAGGTTGGCTTTTTGGTTTTGTTTTAGAAGTAATTCCGGTCTAGGATCCTGTGCAATTCTCCTACACGGCCGTCTCGTGTCTTCCGATGATTCCGGACGTTCGAAGGAGGCTTCTGGAAACGGACTCGGTCGACGACCGGATTGCCACAATGTCCATGTCATATAATCAGGTTTGTAACCTGGTAGTTTTTGGCTTTATCTCTCCCTCTCTCCCTCTCTTTCTCTCTCTCTCTCTCTCTCTCTCTCTCTCTCTCTCTCTCTCCCGCTAATAAGTTCATTTCCAGGAAATGGTGCTAAAATGCGGATACCCGGGCTGCGATATGACCCTCGCCAATTTCGACGACATCTTCTGCCCAAAGACCAAGGCCGGGCCCTACGTCAACACGCGTAAATCGGAATTTTCCATCTATATTTTTTCGTTTAGATGGCTACATGCATCAGCTAATCACAGCCCGGCGCCTCCAGAACTACATCCCCATCACCGAGCCGAACGCCGAGTTCTCGTGGTTTTCGGGGTAGATTTTCACGTTAAAGAAAAAAATTTCAAACCCAAATTTCAGGTACGCTTGGCAAATTTTGGAGTGCGAAGACTGCGGGCGGCACATTGGATGGCGTTTTAGCGCCTCGGCGTAAGTTCTACGGCAAATTTTTCTCATATTTTAACATATTTAAATCGCCTTAAAGTTAAAATAAAACCAAAATAAAGTAAGTAAGTGTAGCTCAAGCTTCATCCCAAAATTCCAGACCCGACGCCGAGGGGATGCCCGCCTTCTACGGGCTGTCGCGTGCTCAAGTGCGCCTCGTCGCCGTGCAGAGCGCTGACACGGATCGGACCCGAGAATAAAGCTTTTAATTTACTATGACTGTATCTGCACCGCACATCACGATGGAGTACACATGACACTGAACTAGAATTCAGAGGAAGTTTAGCGGACTAAGGACGTATTGCTATAGTTTTTCTAGGTTTAGTATCCTGCTCCAGTTGTTTATTTCCCTTTCAATCCCTAAGGCCCTTTAGAAAACCCCCGAGCTGTAAGTCATCGTCAGGATTAGAGAGAGAGAGAGAGAGAGAGAGAGAGAGATAGAGAGACGGAAATAACGAAAAAGTGGAAACCCTTCACCGGGAAACCCTGCCAACCTGGGCGCGGCGCCCCTTTTCCGCTTTTCCCTCCCCATCATCCGCTCTCTGGGTTTTCAGGAAAGCAAAAAAAGAGAAGGCCTCTAGTTTGGAGTAGGCGCGGGCGGTGCTGCTAGACAACAAAACAAGGCCACAACCCCCGGCCGCCGGTTAAAATGTGCTCCCCTGAAAATGCGCTGACCCGGAAACACTCATTTCCCAGTTTTTTTCTTGTCAACGGGCCGCGGCGGGACAAATTGGCCCCCAGTTAGGCACTAAAAACCGGATTTTTCCCATTAGGAATGGCTATAAAACGCGTTTTTATGCGGACTGGGTCCTTGGGTTGCGATTTTTGCCATGGGAAAACTGGCGTTATTTAGCTTTCAACAACCGCCAGTTGTCATGCTGCAAAACATTTTTTCGAGCTTAAAATTTGCGTTTTCCGGTTTTCCTACGTTTTCATGAACCTTTAGAGGCGCGTAATAACGCATTAATGGTACGTTTTAAGAATTTATGGCGATGAAAGTTCATCATTTTTTTCTTAATTTTTCACCCCGATTTCCCGGTCCCTAGCAAGACGTTTGTGGGCCGTGTGCTTCACCTAAGGGCCCCATCTAGGGCCAGCATGGGATTGCTGGTAGATGGCGTGTGGACGGACCAATGGTACGACACCAAGGCGTCGCAGGGGCATTTTAAGGTTAGTTTTATACGTTCAAATGTCTAATAAATAAATGAAATAAATCAAATTTTTTTCCTGGCGGCTTCGGTTCGCCTAGTAATCAAATATAAAGTGTTTTACATTGTTTTTAGTAAGTTTTAACTAGATTTAAGATAGTAACACTGTTCTAACTTTCAAAAAAATTAGAAAAGTGTTTGAAAAGTCGAAAAATCCGTCATTTTGGGTTGAAAAAATCAATTTTTCGACCTAAAATTAAATTTTTTAAATTTTGTAAGGTTTTTATGCTTATGAATAGTTAAAAATGATGTAGAGAAAACGCCTCCGCTATTTATTCCGCCGAAAAAGTTGTTTAGCGCTCCGAGGCCCAATTCCGGAACTGGGTGACGGCTGACGGGGCGGCCGGGTCGACCGGAAAGGACGGATTCAAGGCAGAGAAGGATCGGTAGGTTCAGATTTTATAGAAAAAATCATAAATTACGATTATAGGAATTTAATTTACTCTATTTTTGCAGCTACCACCTGTTCGTCTCCTACGCCTGTCCCTGGGCTCATCGTACCCTCATTTTCCGCAAGCTCAAGGTACCGTAATCCGCTGATTTTGGTCTAGGCTTACAAGGGAACCTCAAGTTGGCACGGTGGAATTTCGAAAAACGCTCGCGGCTACCCCTAGGTTTTCGACTATGGCGATTTCAACGCTCTTGTCAGAATTTCCTTAATGGGCCTCTGGACAGAGATACAGCACTTCCGGAAAATGATAATTTACATCCGAAAAATTAGCATTAGCGATAGGTTTATGAGGCTCTCCCATCACTATGGAATCACCAGTTGAATGGCCGAGTGGTAAGCGACTCACTTGATAGGATACTGACGAGGGTTCGAATCCGCTCGCAATTTTTTATTTTGCTTTTTGACCGGCACTTTCTGCCCAACTCCAAGTTTTCGTTACTTTTTTTCGAAAAGTCGTTCTGTTTCTGAAATGTCTAAAAACGTTAGCGAAGCCAAAAAATTCAAAAATCTCATCCGAGTGAAGCATTTGTAAAAAAAACCGAGATGGGAACACCCAGCTGTTCGCATAATTTTTGGCAATTTTTGAGGCTTCTGTGGAGTAGTCAGCCTGGAGCCATAACGAAAAACAGCTGATAGTAAAAACCAAAAGTTAGAGTTGGGCAGAAAGTGCCGGTCAAAAAGCAAAATAAAAAATTGCGAGCGGATTCGAACCCTCGTCAGTATCCTATCAAGTGAGTCGCTTACCACTCGGCCATTCAACTGGTGATTCCATAGTGATGGGAGAGCCTCATAAACCTATCGCTAATGCTAATTTTTCGGATGTAAATTATCATTTTCCGGAAGTGCTGTATCTCTGTCCAGAGGCCCATTAAGGAAATTCTGACAAGAGCGTTGAAATCGCCATAGTCGAAAACCTAGGGGTAGCCGCGAGCGTTTTTCGAAATTCCACCGTGCCAACTTGAGGTTCCCTTGTTAGATCGGCTTAGGCTGAAAATTATGCCATTTTTTTAGGCCCTTGAAGACATTGGTGTCTCCGTTGTGAGCCCCCTGATGCTGGAAAATGGATGGCCATTCGACCCGAATTTCCCTGGTACGGGTTATTAACTTGACAATAATTTTAAGCAGTAAAAAAGGGCAAACTAGCAGCGTTTTTTTTTTTGAGGAAAATCATCGACATGGCTACTTAGCAAAGATTCTTAGCATCAAAAACCCTTTAGATGCGACACCCGATCATCTTTTCGGGAACAAATTCCTCTATGAGGTGTATCTAAAGGTGCGTGGACAAAATTTGAAAGAAGCAATGGATTCCAGGCCGATCCAAAGTACAGCGGTCGTGTTACGGTACCTGTGCTCTGGGATAAGAAGCTGAACACCGTCGTCAGCAACGAGAGCTCGGAGATTATTCGCATGTAAGTGGGGGTAGGCTAGCAGAGATTCTTTGAGAAATCGGAAGGGCAGGCTAGCGAAGATTCTTTGAGAAATTGGAGGGGTAGAGTAGCAAAGATTCATTGAGGAATTGGTGGGACAGGCTAGCAGAGATTCTTGGAGGAATTGGTGGGGCAGGCTAGCGAAGATTCTTTGAGAAATTGGAGGGGTAGAGTAGCAAAGATTCATTGAGGAATTGGTGGGACAGGCTAGCAGAGATTCTTGGAGGAATTGGTGGGGCAGGCTAGCGAAGATTCTTTTGAGAAATTGGAGGGGTAGAGTAGCAAAGATTCATTGAGGAATTGGTGGGACAGGCTAGCAGAGATTCTTGGAGGAATTGGTGGGGCAGGCTAGCGAAGATTCTTTGAGAAATTGGAGGGGTAGAGTAGCAAAGATTCATTGAGGAATTGGTGGGACAGGCTAGCAGACATTCTTGGAGGAATTGGTGGGGCAGGCTAGCGAAGATTCTTTGAGAAATTAGGGAAATTGGTGGGGCAGGCTAGCAGAGATTCTTTGAAGAGTTAGGGCGTTGGTGCGGACGGGGCGAGCAGACTAGCAGAGATTCCTTGAGGAATTTTCCCTCCTTAGGTTCAACTCGGCCTTCGACGGGGTTGGCGCCAAGGCCGGGGACTACTACCCGGAAGAGCTGCGCAAGGAAATTGACGAAACGAACACCTGGATCTACGACACCATCAATAACGGTAGTTTCGAGGCTTAAAAAGTGATACCTGCCTTTTTGAGGCGTCTACAAAGCGGGCTTTGCCACCACCCAGGAAGCCTATTCCCAAGCCGTCACCACACTCTTCGAATCGCTCGATCGAGTCGAGAAAATTCTTGGTAGATTTTTGCAGCTACAGTAACCCTAAATTTATCTAATTTTAGAGACCAATCGTTACCTGCTGGGCAATCAATTGACGGAGGCGGATCTGCGCCTCTTCACGACGCTCGTCCGCTTCGACGCCGTCTACATCACCCATTTCAAGTGCGACAAGAAGCGCATCATCGAATACCCAAATATTCATGCTTTTATGAGGTAAGGAAACGGGCTACACGCCGAAATTGGCCCTCCAATTGCCGATAACAAACTGGGAAATTTCAGGGAAATCTACCAGATGCCGGGCATCGCCGAGACGGTCAATCTGAACCACATCCGTACCCACTACTACTGCTCGCATAAAATGATTAATCCTACAGGTAGGGAGAGAACTGAACTCGCTGAACTTGGTGCGGGTTCGAAACTTTCAGTTTAACTGGGGAGGAGAGCTAATTTTTAGTTTTCTATTTATACGTACATGTTAATAATAAATACCGTATTTTACAGTGTTTTTAGTAGTTTTTGATTGCTAAAAAGTTATATAAAACATTCAAAAATTTTGAAAATTGGAAAATTTTTTGTCATTTTTTTTAATTTTAGACCAAAAAACCAAAAAATTCGAAAATTCCTATATTATTTTCTGAGCTTTTTATAACTACAACCTGATCAATTTTTCATGTCAAATATCAAAAACCTCACGAATAGCATTATTATAACAATTTAGGCATAATCTCGATTGGCCCCGACCTCGGGCTCGACATCCCCCACGGCCGTGACCAAATGAAGTGAGGAAAGTGCCGAAAACAAAACGGAAATTTTATGACCAAAGTATTCAGTTAATTTTGTAACCTCTATAGACTTAATAAAAGCCAACCCGATGAGACTAGACATGTAAAAGTATGCAGAACAAAACTCTCACATTCCGACCCGGCTGTTTAGCGTAATAATAGTAGTACTGTCTATAAATCACCCACGGTCTGAGCAGGCTATATTTTTTTATCTTTATTTATTATTTATGTAATTTATGATGTGATTTTTATTGCTTGAATTATACAGAAATTCAAAATGTACTTTAACTTTTAAATTTTGTAAATTCGATCAATCAGAATAACAATCAACTGTAAATTTAAAATTGGTAATTATTCTTTTATAGTATTAAAAATCAGTATATTCTAAGAAAGCCTATACTGCAGTTAAAGCTTGCAACACTTTTACGAGACACCAAAAGCTCCATAAACCGGCCGAAAATCGGGATGCCACGCGGAGTTATGGTGGGAAAATTTGCGCATCGCGACCATGGCCGTTTTTCAAAGCTATTGTGGTTTTTTTTCGTAGCTATACACGCTTCTGAATCTCCCTAATTCACTAAATGTTCCTTTTCTAAAAAAAATTGGCCCTTCCAGCCAGGACCAGAAAAAGGGAGCGCTTTCGATCATTCGGCTTAAAGGCGTGGGGCGATGCGTACCTGGCGTGAGACCAACGAAACAGGCGCCTCCCCGCTAAAACACGTTTTGTCTACAGTAGCCAAGAAGGTAATAAAAACCTCGTCAAAACTTTTAAAACAACTATCCGCTCGTTCCCCGAATTCATGCGGAAGTAGCGAACCCTAAAAGCCTAAGGCCAAGCCTAAGCGAAGCCTAAGCCTGTCTAGACCTAACCCTAAGCTAGGCATAAGCCTAAGCCAAAGCCTGACCTACGCCAACGCCTAAGCCTAAGCCAAGCTAAGCTTCAGCCTACGTATAAGCCCAAACCTAAGCCTGTCTAAGCCTAAGCCTAAGCCTACGACCAAGCCAAAGTTAAAGCCGAAGCCTAAGCCTAATCCTCACCCTCGGCTGAAGCCTAAGCCTAAACCTAGGCATAAGCTGAACCTAAGACTGAGCCCAAGCCGAAGCATAGGCCTAAGCCTAAACCTAAGCTAAGCCTAAGCTTAAGCATAAGCCTAAGCGCAAGTCTAAGTACCTTTCCCCGGGGTTTCGCATAAATCGGCGCCTAAAAACATACACTTTCGGGCTGCCAGGAGACGGGAGGAAGCGCCAACTTCAAGAAGTCCCAAATTTTCGTTTCGTCCCCTTCCTGTGCAGATCGGCCCGGGAATGACTATAACTATTTGCTGGCTAGCTGAAATGGCCCATAACCGCTGATATCTAAATAAACCGGCGGCGGCGGCCCGGGGGGCGTGGGTGTTTCGATTTTCGGCATTGATTTTGCTAAGAGCTTTATGATCGTTTCTTAAGCGTTTTGAGGTCGAAAGGCCTAAGAAATTCCCCTTTTTATCCCGAAAGTGTTTTTTTAGTGACAACGCGAATTTTCCAGATTCGAAAAATTTAACAAAACCTTGAAAATCGAATCTGCATATTCACCGCGGGCTCCTGGGTCTAAAAGTCAAATTTTAAAACGTCGAAAAACCCCCTTAAACAATTTTTTTTAATCCCATACGACTTTCAAAATTCGACAAAATCAGACGAAAGTCATATTTTTCCCACTGGACACCAATAAAACACGCAAACTAATCGCTACGCAGCGGAACGTAATATATTCTGCTATAATGGTCCGCTTAATAAAAGTTGTGATGTGTGGGTGCTGGGGCGTCTGGTCCCGATTGAAACATCCGGAGCGCTTTTTGGACTCGTGCTGTGCCCCCCAACCAGACACCCAACACCACCTTTTTAGACTGTACCGACAGGGCGGCCGGTCAACGCTTTTCCTGGGCAATATCAGCTACTGTATTTTGACTTCAGGGGGTGCTCAAATTTTATGTGAGGGTTTTGATATCTGCAAGACTATAAGCTTGAGCCGAAGCCGACACCAAAGCCTAACAACTCTCATTTTTGTTTTTCTTTTTTGGAAGTTTGTGATTTTTGGGTTGGACCTCGGATCTTGAATAGAATTTTCTTTCAACCATGAGGAAAACGGGGCGATAACCTGCAATACTAGGCTCCACACAGCAAAACAAAAAAAAAATCAGGGTGGATCCGAACCCCGGTTGGCATTTCAAAAAGCGAGTGGCTTGGCATTCGACCAATTCACAGCTGATGGTAGATACGTGGAAGATCCTAATAAACCCTTAGTAGCTTTCTAATTACGCGCATGCAAATTATGCTTTTTCCGGAAGTGCGGTATCTCGCTTTACAGACCTCGGTGGCTAATTCCGAATAGCGCATCGGAATCGCCGTAGTCGAAAACCTAGGGGTAGCCGCGAGCGTTTTTCGAATTTCCACTTCGTGCACTTGCCCTTCCCTTGTAAGTCTAACCTAAGCCCAAACCTAAGCCAAGTCTCGCACTAAGCCTAAGTCTAAGCCTAAACCTAAGCCTAAGCCAAAGTCAAGCCTAACCAGCCCTTGTTGATTTTCGTAGACAAAGACGTAGCCCACAGGCCCCGTACTCACAAACAACAACGTCCCCTAATCCACCGCGGATCGCGATCCCCGCAAAGATTTCTGACTTGGATTTACAAGCCGAAAAGTTTCGGGGGTCATCCTCCCCCTCCCCCCAAAAAAGGTCAAAAATCATCGGTGACCGCCACCCCCAAATTTTTTCTTTGGTTCTGGGCCATTAGCGGGGGGGGGGTTTAGCAGGGGAGCCACTTTTTGTTTTTGCACCTATACCTAACTATTGGTGATATATGATGTATTTTATAGTGTTTTCAGTAGTTTTTGATTGCTAGAAAGTTAAAAACTATTTTTAAACATTTGGAAAATCGAAAAAGTTTGTTTTTTTGGTAATTTTTCATACACTTTTGACCAAAAACCAAAAATTTGGAAAATTTTTGAATTTTCTGCCGTTTACATATGTAAAAAGTATCTAAAAATGCTATAAAAAAATGGTTTATATTGCGTTATAGGGCCGTAGAGAATCAGAAAAAATTTAGTTTTCCTCCGTTAACCCCCCGCTAACAGTCCAGAACCAAATTTGTTAGGCGCTTAACTCAATTATGATTTTTGAAATTGTTTTTTATTTATTTTCCAAACATCGAAACCCCCATAAAAAAAAGCATCGAAAATTCGCATTGCCGGGGCGCTCTAATGATGGGAACGCACCGGCGGTGGCATATTTGAGATTGCCATTCCGATTTCCATCTAGGCAACCATCCCTCCGGGACCCCTCTCGCGCCGAATATATTTATCCAGCCGACCGTCGGCCTTTGTCCTTCCCCCCTCGAATCCACAAGTGATACACGTTTCGCCGGTACCTTGAAACCCCGGGCGTGCCGATTCGATATTCTTTTTTCGACATTTGTCGCCTATTTCCCTAAAAAACTATCGATGGCGTTTTATCGGAGAAATAGCCACTCAGGTGCTACCACCGCTGCCGGGTCACCACTAAAGGTACGCGACAATCATGGGCACGCTATTGGATGTTGAATCTCAGAGGGATACGGTAGGTTGGGGGCGCCCCTTACCAGCGGCGTTTTTTTAGCGTTCGAAATGGGACCTGGCCTATTTTGTGCCAAATTTTTCGCTGATCAAAACTTACTTTCCGAAATCTGCGAAAAAACCATATTTCGCGGGTTACGAAGCTTTAAAGCGTGAAAAATACCGAAAATGACCAATTTTGCCGTTTTTAGCCCTTGAAAGCGTCACAACTGTCTTGTTTTGAATTTTTAGTTTCGCAGATTCTCAAACGGGGGTTTTAATCAACGAAAAATTCCGCACAAACTGGGCTTGGTCCGCTTCGTGATTCCGTGTACGCTAAAAAACGACCGCTGGTGAGTGGAATGCGGAATCGAAAAGCCAATCGCAATCTCTTCATGAAAATGGGATGAAACGCCAAAAATGGCTGGAAAAACTATTCCAAAAAGCTGATCCCTGAAGATAAAATTTCCTTTTATATTGCCAATATATTTTCTAAGCCTCCAAGACATATTTGCGCTTTTGCACCAAGTTCCCGTCGCTCCAATGTATTTGACAACCGTGTGTAGCCAGCTGAAACCGGGATTCCAGGCAAAAAAATGGGGGGCAGAAGCTACACGCCACGCTGTTTACCACCAGAAAAACATCGCTGTGCATGTCGAACAAAACATAAAATTGCGCTCTGCAAAATCAAGAATTATTTAATGCAATGAAACTAAAAAACCGATACTAAAAACCTATTTCTAATCGCCGAGTTAAGATGTACAATCTTTCATAGCAATCCCCCAATGGTCGATGGGTGGATCGGGCTCGGTATCTGCTGCTCGGGTTTGCCACCTTCTTCTTCCTGAACCAGCTGGAGTTGATGGGGACTGGAGGTAGGGAAAAGGCTAAACCTAAACCTAAGCCAAGCCTAAGCCAAGCCCAAGCCTAAGCCTACGATTAACCTAAGCCCAAGCCAAAGCAAAACGAAGCCTAAGCCTAAGCCCAGTCGAAGCTAAATCTAAGCCTTAGTCCAAGGCCAATTCTAAGCCTAAGCCTAGACGAAGCCTAAGCCTAAGCCCAAGCTAAACCTCAGCCTAACACCAAGCCTAAGCCCGAGCCAAAGCCGAAACGAAGCCTAAGCGTAAGCCCAGTCGAAGCTAAACCTAAGCCCAAACCCAAGCCCAAGCCCAAGCTAAACCTAACCTAAGCGAAAGTCTAAGCTAAGCCTAAGCCTAGGCCGAGCCTAAGCCTAAGCCTAATAAGCCTAATCCTAGTTGAAACTCTCCGACGCTCAGTGGCCGCCCGCATACAAACCGAGCCCCAGCCGCTAGCAGTTTTTAGGTAAGAACATGTTCTCTCAAAACCATCGCAAAATTCAGACGGCCGTTCGTCTCGTTGGGACTAGACTGTAGCCGTGTACTGCTTGGAGACGCCGACTACACGGCGATGCTCTCGAAGGCGCGCATCATACTGGTGGTGAGTGATGGGGGCGACGGGGCTTGGCAACGATGCAAAGGAGAATCCAGGGCTCGACATGTCCTGCCAGGGACTTCGACAACGCGTCATCCAACATCACAATTATCAGCCCATCAACTATTCGATCGCGTTCGCCCGTGATGTGCATGAGGTGGGGGAAATACAGCAGCTTGAACAAAACCGCTTCTGGACTGTTAGCGGGGGGTGCTGTTTTTTAGCGGGGGGGGATATTCTCTACGGCCCTAAAACAAAATATAAACCATCTTTATAGTATTTTAAATAGTTTTTAGATCTAAAAACAATGGAAAAAATAATAGAAAGTTTCGAAAATTATTGACTTTTAGGTCAAAAATGTATGAAACTGAGCAAAAAACGTGTTTTCCTAGTGCTTTTGCGAAAATACAACATATTTGACGCCGAAAAGCTGCTTAAAACCCCCTAAAAACTGATTTAAAACGGCAAATTTCGGTCGAAAATCGTTTTTCGTCGAAAAATCGATATTTTCTTGGCATTATTTACTAAAAATTTGCAAAGCTGGAAAATTCAGACGGGGAAATTTTAAAAGTGCTAGCTTCGTCGACGGACCGTAATGAATTGAACAGCACAAATAAACGTTGAATTATAAAGCTTAAACCCGCAAAAACTACAAACTACACCCTACTAATGACATTCCAGAACTACGAGTACGTAGAGCTACAACTGGCGGCCACCTACAGTCCCGAGAATCATTATTGCTTCTCGGTAGATACGAAAGCCTCGAAGGATTTCCAGGCGCGTATCCGGATGCTGGCTGCATGTCTCCCAAACGTCTACGTCCCGCCAGGTAGATAAGCAGCTTAGCTTGGGCTTAGGCTTGGGGTTAAACTTCGCCTGAGACCTATAATTAATCCTAGCTACCTATCGACAAGCTTTTTTGGTTCTGGACTTTTAGCGGGGGGGGGGGGTGTTTGGCGGGCAAACCAATTTTTTCCTGTGATTCTCTACGGCCCTGACCGTTGTTGTAACATTCTACACAGTTTTTTGGATATAAAAACAATATATATTCTTGATTTCTGGTCAAAAGTGTATGAAAAATAACCAAAAAGATCCAAATTTTTCAATGTTCAAAATTTTTAAAAATATTGTATAACTTTCTAACAATCAAAAACTACTAAAAACCTTATAAAATTCATTATACATCATCAACAGGTATAGGTAGAGAAACAGAAAGTGGTCCCCCCCCCCCCCGCTAACAGTCCAGAACCGCTTCTTCTAGAGAAGCACAACATGGACTCGGGCGGGCACAACATCAACCGGGCCCACTACGATTGTATGACGATCCTGATCGAGCAGCCTGGATGGGAATATTTAATCCTACAACAGGTCAAACAATTTTACCGATCTCCCGGGTTAATAACAAAATATACACTATTTTGGTGGCTTTCTACGTGGTTTTCAAGTGTAGAAAGTTTCTAAAAACCATCAAAATTTAGGAAAAATTTTCATTTTTGATCAAAAATGTATGAAAATCATTAAAATGTCACATATTCTTATTTTGAGTAATAAAAATGCACTCTACAACCTTAAAAACCATGATAAGTTCCAGCTGCACGACGTCGTGCTCCACTCGAGCGCCGGGATGGCCCAAGTGCTCCGTGCGATTGGCGGTTCAAACGACGTCGAACTGACCGGCGGAATTCCCGGCGGCAGAATAGACCCCGACCAGAATTGGACCATCGCCCATCTCGGTCTATTCACAAATGGTTAGCAGAAAAAACGGTTCTGGACCGTTAACGGGGGGGTGATTTTAGCACGGGGTACAGACTTCCCTGTAATTCTCGACGGACCTATCACAAAATCTAAACCACTTTTATAGAACTTTGTATAGCTTTTAGATATAAACATATAAAAAATAATCAAATTTTTCGAAAATCTTCCAGTTTTTGGTCAAAAATGTGTGAACAATGACCGAAAGTTCCCAATTTTCGAATTTTAACAACTTTAAAAACTGTTTTTGAACCTTCTAGCAATCAAAAACTACTAAAAACACTATAAAAATACATAAGATAACCATAACAAGTGGAAAAACAAACGTGGTTCTTCCCTCTGCTAAACATCCCCCCCGCTAAAAGTCCAGAACCGAAAAATCTGATGTCTCACCAGCTTTATAGAAACAAAAATGACAGCCGAGCAGCGGCAGAGAGCGCGGCTGACTTTTGCGAAGGGATACGTGCAGGCATCATTGATGAGGGGGGCCGTGCATTGGATTACAAAGGAAATGAATGTCGAAAAGCTGATCGAGCAGTTGAATGGAAAGAAAGAGGTCAGATCAGCAAGCTACTACCCATCGGGATTTGCCTACCGGGATCTTGAAAACAGCCTCTAGCAAATCAGTATCTCAAATTTTCGAAATCTCCAAATTTCCGTAGGTTGAGCCAACATGAACAGCTCTGGGGATTTCACGTCGCATCCAGCCCTGAAAATGTCGAATTTAAAAAATTTAACTTTGAAAATTTGAGATCTTAAAAATTCTATTCAGTAAAATTCAAAATTCTGACATGTTCCCGCTAAAACTACGCACTCTAACGCCGAACCCCCCTAAAATACACAGATTTCAGTTCTACGGCGTCGACGAGCAGTTCATCGCCACGTTGCAGGCCTCGGAGACGTTGCTCATGCCGGGGGGCTACCATTTCGAATGTCGCGGAAAGAATAATGAGTATTTCATCACGAGGTCGGCTATAAGGGGTTTAATTTTCACAGTCCTAAGAAGCTATACCACAAATTCCAGATATACAAACTGGGGTGGTCCGCCATGCAAAACAAAGTACAACCGCAACGGGCAGTGCATTCAGGGAATCGAAGACGTCAAGGATATTATCGAGTTGGTTCCGATTGGCAAAGCGTGGGGGGGAAAACCGACCTAGAAAAACCGCCCCAAATTTCCTGATGGTCAACAAATTCATCCCGGAATTCGACTTCGCCGGATATTACTGTCTGAATGAGTGGGTGTTCAACAAGACGCGCGACGGGTTCACGCACTTTGACCTTGAGCGCTTGAAAAAGCGGCCACAGGTGAGATTTACAACTTATTACTAGGTAAATGCCGTTTCACATGAAAAATCACGCCATTTTAGACGCGCTTCAACTTTGAAAAGAAGCAGGCGTTGATCGACATCTATAACTACACGTGCAAACCCTAAAGGGGATGCGACAGCCATCAGTCAGGTCCGCAGATCCACACGCCATTTATCATCAATACGGGTTGCTCACTTTGCCATATAAATCTTTGCCTTATGCTCAAACTCCTGTGCACGTACTTTTATACAACAGTATATTACAACGTAAAAGCGCTTCATAAGAGATCGGGGGTCAATCTTGGTACACGTCGGTTGAAAAGCGCTTCCGTTTCGCCGCCGCCTCTTCCACGTCCGTCGTCACGACAGGTAAATCTGTAAAAAGGTGTCTTGATCGCTTCAAATAGCCAACCTTTAGTCTTCGCCTTTAAAATGGCGAGTTGCAGCAGCTGCTTTTTGCGCTTCTCCGTCTCCAGGATGTTCGTGATACGCGAGCTAAAAAATTTGAATCAAGCGTGCGCGAGAAATGAATCTACTTGATGCCCAGATCGACTTCCGGGATGCCGGCCAACATTTGGTTGCTCAGCAGTTCGCCGCTTTCTTGACTCCGGAATTTGGCGACCATCGACGCGGCACGAACCAGTGCGACATCGGCTAAAAGTTGGAAGTTTTTGAAAATCCGGCAAGAGCTTACAACACGTTTTCGTGGTAGCCGGGCTGCTGCTGGGTTTCGCGGGGGCCGCGAATTTGGCTCCGCCATGAAGACCGCTCTCAACGTATTTTCGTAGCTCTTCGTGCTCATCTCTATCACAGGATCTCAGAGAATCAATACTAAGCCAACCTGAGCAAAGATTCTTTTTCGAATTGGTCCTTCATTCCCTTTTCTATGTCCTTGGCTTCGAGCTTGGCTTTTTGTTGCGGTGTGATCGATATCCCGCCGCCAGTCATCTAAAAATGTTCAGGTATTGCCAAGTATTTTAAGCTGGACTCATTATCGAAACACGGAATGTTAAACTAGGATAGCGGAGCTCGTTATGCACTTTAGCTGAACTCCGGGGTTGACTAGGGTTTATGGTTGTCACCCAAAAAGTGATTCTATAGAATGGTATGTGTAAATAAAGGTCAGAAACGGGTTTAGAATTGAAAATTAAGAAGCGGCAGGCACTGCTTAATTATGAAATCGATATTTTATTTTTGCTATCTACAACCATAACCGGGGTACGGGGGACACCGGTTTATGGTTATTACTCAAAACTGGGGTTTGCTATATGAAAAGAAAGAGGATGATCTGAAACGAATTAAGCTGCAAAAATAATGAGGCGGAAAGACCGAAAAAGGGGAGAAAGCTTTTCCGCAGTTCGTCGGCGGATCAAAAAAACCATTTTCCCAAGAAACCGGAAACTTACGTGTTTTTTAGTCGAATTGCCTCGGCGGCGTCTGCCAGGTCTTGCTGCAATCGACCGCCTCGTTCAACGAAAGGCCCACCCATTTCGCCTCCTGGAATCAGGATTAAAAAAAGCTGGGAAAGAAACTGATACCTCTTCGGAGATCCGGAATTTGGCGTCGAATGTAGTCCTTGCGCTCGTCGTCTTCGGGGTAGTAGTTCTCGTGGGCCAACGCCAACAGCATCTCCCGCTTCAGTTTATTGACCAGCCGGCTGTCGAGGTCGATTTCGGGCATTTCCTGGAAGTACAAGCATTAGCAAAGAGTTCAAGGCCGCTTTTTCAGGATGCGACTCTCCGCTAACTGACCAGCAAATAGTAGCCGAGCCCAAAGTGTTGATCGATAAGCCGAAGCGCCCGCTCGGTCACTTGGATCTTCATGTGTGCGTCGAAGATTTCCGAGTACAAGACGACGTCGCGCAATTCCGGGAACCACAACTTGGCACCCAATATCGAGCCAGGATCTAAATTTCAGATTGCAGATAGCTCCCTCCAAATTATTTTTACCTTCTTCTTGGTGTAGGGGCGACTTTGGCGGTAGCCCTTGACGACGCCCTCGCCGCCCCACAATCCCTCGTCGGCATCCGGCGGATGAATGCCTGAATTTATACCAATTTCATGGCGATAAAATCTCTTTTTACCTCTGATTGGGTTATCCTCCTGCTCGACCATCACGAGGCGCTTCTCGTCCCAAGCGTAGCGGCTTGTCGGCGGCCTGGAAAGGGCTTTTTTCTAATAAAACGATCGGAAATGCTTGAAAACTGTTTTTCTGTTTTTTTTTACAATCCCCAAACGTAACAACTTTACAAATTTTCATTTAAAAACTACAAAAATGGGATTTTTTTTTCACCAAAAATGGCCGTCGTTGCTCGAAATTTGCGATTTTTGGCAGCTTTTTGATTTTCTAGTTGAAATCTAGATGGATTTTACCAAAATCATGATTAAAATGCAGCCTATTTAGTTATTAGGCATTTCTAGACTTATACAAAAATTTTTAGTCTTCTCCCCCCGATAATGTGAAAGATTCGAAAAGGGCTAAAAATGCCAAAACAATTCTCGAACCTATAGTGGACGGGGGCGGCGTCTCGCAGCACGTTGTCCCAGAAGCGCTTCTTGTAGTGGTCGGGCAGCCGATGGACGACCGATTTGGGGTTTGCTCAAATCTCTTCGTATCTTCGTATCGGCGCCGCCTTGTCCCAGGTGATGACGGCGCGCGGACACGCCTCCGTCACCTTCGCCGCGTTCTTGGCCAACGACATCCGGCCGGGCGCTGAAAAATAGGCGTAAATAATGGGTTTTTGCATTGGAGACGGAATTTGCGGCGCGTTGAAGGTTTTGTCAAGAATTCGGCCAGATCGTCGGTGCTTTCTCGGCCGAATACAAGTTTACTAGGCTAGTTATGTGCGCTGAGTTCGAATTTGACATTTCTATATTCTCAAAACATAACTTTGAACCACAAGTGGCAAAATTCACCCTCTTACGCGGAAAAACATTTCCGACATCGAATTTTTATAGTTTCTGCTCTAAAGCCTAGAATTTGGAGGCTAAGAATATGAAAATTCGACCTCAGCAAACGAAACGAGATCAGAAAACTTTTTTTCTCTGCGCGCGCTAATTCCGCGAGCCAAGATATTCCTGAAGTCTATTCCAAAGCTCAACGGTACGAATTAATCGGAAAAGCCGCCTGTAACCACAAGGACTGCCAATTTCAATTCAAAGATCTTTATCATGAGCATCAAAATTGTAACCTCAACAATCAACCGTGAATAACCAAACAAAAAAAAAATAACATCGTTTATTTACTTCTTGGTCTTTTTTCTTCTTGCCATCCATCCGGCCACTTTTCCGGAAGTATGCCGTCCGTTCGGCCTTCTCGCGTCCGCGCATTTCATCGAATCTCTTCTTGCTTCTCTTGACGACTCTCTCATCAGCCAGCACCTCGTCCACCATCGTCTTCTTTCGTTGTTTCTTCCCGATACGCGATGCGTACCAATCTTCGGGCGCGTCGACCACGGTGCCAACTTGGAAATACTTCGGGAAGACCTGAAAATACAAAAGTTAGATTCGAATAAAAAACGACGATTCATTACATTAATAAAAGCCTCACCGTTCGGTCATTCTTTCGATAGAAAGTGCGCGGGTCGAGCGCGCCTCTCATCATCCACAATTCGAGATCCCTCTTTCGTTCGTCGGTCAATTCACTGGCCGGCATATCGAACCATCCGGATCCGGTCGTCTTTTCCCGCTCTTCTTTTCCTCTTTTCTTTTGCTGGCGCCGCGACATCGGCTCGATACCTTGGGCGTAGTTTTGCTCGAATCCCGGCTGCACGGAGGCCTTGGCCAGCGTCTTTTCGAGTTGCACATTTCGAGTTGTCGTTTTGGGCCCTTCTTTCTCTTCCTCGTCGCTCGTCACTTCTTTGGAATCATCGTTGCCCTTCGCATCGAGCTTGAAGAGGCTGCCAGTGCCGAGGTTCACCGTCCGCCGCCTTCGGCACTTGAATCCCGCGGGAACGGGCCCTGGTTTGTCGCCTGAGCCCTCGTCATCAGCGTCCGAGCTGGCCTTCTGTTCCGCCAATTGCTTCGCGGCGGTTTCGAACACGCCCCGCAACATCTAAAAATAGCGATATCAATGTTTCCGGCTGAAAACAAAAAGAAAAACGAAGCGGCGGTGCCATTTTCAGAAAAAGGCAAGTTCTTTCGAGCACTTTGTCAATGGCGCGCCTTTTCCAACGATAAATTTGCCTAAAAACAGCAAAACAGCGCCGTCGCAACGTTTTCCATCTAGTTATCCATTCGATTCGATTCAGCGTCAGTCTCCAGAAATATCACTAATGCAAATTCAACGTTTTTTCTGCAAACTTTTGCTGCATTCGCATCCAAATACTTTATTCGCCCGAGAAAATGTGTGCAGAGAGAAAAGAAACAATCAGGAATCAGTCTTCGGCGTGGGATCGATCAGAAAAAAGGAAACAAATCACAGTCGCACCCTTATTTCAGGTAAAGAATTGCCGGAGGCCGGTCAGGGGGAAATGCACAATCCTAACAGAGAACAGGAGAAGAAATACACAATCCCCGAGTGAAAAAGATGACAACAGGAATGGGCATTGTTCTTAGTTTTTCTTTTCCTTGCGCTGGCTGGCGATCGAGCGGAGAAGTCGATTGCCCGCGAACGCCGTCACCGATCCGACGATGGCCAGGTACTTCAGCGTGTCAAACATGTTCAGCCGCAGCCAGAACATCATGTAGAGGCCGAAGATCGCTGAAATCGTTACTTTAAAACAAATTCCCTCGCAAAAAACGTGCTGAAAAGCGGAATACGTCTTTTTCGCCGTTCTACGCGCAATTTTCGCAAAGCATACCTGCCAATCCGGAGTGGAAGAGCAGCGTCCAGAGGTTGACGGGCATGTTAGAGAAGTTGATGCCGATCTTCAGCCACAATCCCACTAGAATGACGAGCGGCGCCACGCAGAGCAGAGTGAAAGCATCTAGAAAGGGTTCTTAGGCACAAAACGCGAAAATTACCGGAAATGATGCCCGGCGGTCGCTTTTCGGGCTGGCGAAATTGATGGGTGATTGAGGGCAGCGGCTCGAAGAAGACCTGAAAATTGGAATTCGTCAAAAAGGAATTGCGATACCTGTTCACTTTTCTTCACAAATCCTATTTGAGTGGGCAATGTCGATATCGGCCTGGAAATGCAAATAAAATGAGAAAAACGCGATTTCTTACAAAGTTCCACTCAATCGATTTCGTGATGGTGGAATCCCCGATGATGAGGCCGGCGTGGAATTTGCCGCAGTGACCGTCAAAGTCGGCGCCCACTTTGTTCATGTTCTAAAAAGAAGAAATCAAGTCGGAGAAGGCAAACGTACGATGTCGGAAATGTAGGTGCCGTCCTTTTGCAAATCCGCGACGAAGACAATGTCCGCGCTTGTTTCGGCGTGCTCGAAGAGGACGAATACCTAAGAAAGAAAGTTGAGGGTTTTTTTTCAAAGATTCTAACCTGATGTGATCGCAGCGACCAGAAAGACGAGCGCAAGCTTCATTACCTGAAAAACAAGATTAGGTAAGTAAAATCACAAGAAAAAGTTGAAAGCGAGGAGAAAAGTTTGCGCCAAACTATAAATTTCGGTTCAGAAGGATTTTACGACGAATGCGAAATTTTGTGAAATTGAAAATGAGCGCGCAACAGGCAGAAATCGAGAAAAGGCGCAAAATAAAAAAGGCGGCACATCTGCGCACCGCACGCTGCGTAGCCGCCCTCAACCCACCGATAAAATCCAGGGCGCGCATGAAAATGAAAAAAATAAAAAGTCGGAATGTCGCGTACACGATACACCAAATGACGTTAGGAGCCTTTATCCGGTGGAAAACCACCGTAGTCGTCCCTTTTCGAATCCCTTTCAATCTTGGCATCATAGATTTGTTCCGAATGGAATATTGGTTTTAGTGTGTCGATTTCTCCACTCTTTTTTATATTTGTATGCACTATGTCATAATTCCTTAGCGTTTCAGAGGAAGGACATGGCCCACCCAAAGGATCAGACGATTCTAAACTTTGTTCGCGCCGCGGCCGGTGAAATGAATCGAGAAGAACCCGACGAATACGTGGGCAAGATTGACAAGCTGCTCCAGATCATCTACGGCCGTCGCATGTCGTCTACAGATAGGAAAGTACAGGCGCTCGTCACCTCATCCTTTCAACCTGAGGTGTTTTTTTAGCCCATTATGATTTTGATTTTTGGGAGTGTTTACTGAAATGGTTTTTAGGACCGTTACTCTTTGGTCAACGTCTATCTCACGATGCTCGTCAATGATCGCCAGCAGCCCCCGTTGCTCAGCATTCCTGCCGAAGTGCCTGTCGAAGTGCTTGTCCGACCGCTTCTCCTACCCGTCCATTTGATGCTTTTCGTGACCAAGCTGATGCCCTATGAACGTCACATCGACTCTCAGTTGGTGCAGAACCTCGGAGCGGAGCTGAACGTGGCTATGGAGAGCATCGAAGTTGACCGGCTCGTCAACCTCTACACGGTGAACCTAACCCCGTTGGTAGGCCCTTTCAAACTTAGTTTTTGCCTTTCCCCGGGTTTTGTTTAGCATGGATTTTATTTTGCATTTAGGTCATCGCGAAATTGCTACTCTCCGCATACCCTGACGTGCTAAAGGAAGACGGCAACCCGAATTTATAGGCGTTTGTAAACTTTCTATTCCTTTGTGTTTGATTTTTTATCAATGATTCGCCTCTAATGTGATTGACCGGTCACTTCCCGGAAAACCTTGTATGAGCTTGCTAGAGATTGCTAGAGTTAGGTATTGGATAAGCCCTGATTTGGTAATTTTTATCCTAAATTCATGACCGTCTCTATCTTTTGGATAGTTAGCGAATACGACAGAAATTTTATTACAATTTACCGATTGTTCGCCGTTCTTTTGGTTGCCTGGTTGAATAAATACGTTTCAAACATTTGCGCATTTCAGGAATTCCCACGGCTCATTTGCAAGGCATCCCCTTGAACTGCAGCCAGCATTGCACTAGCGACATACAGCATATACACAGACTTACCCGATTTCTTCTCGCGCTTGAGGTTGTTCGGTTTTCGGCTCGACCCACTTTTGGTGAAATTTGGCTGAAGCTTTGACCTTTTTTGCAGCGACATTCAAGGCCGGCAGTCCGTTTCAATCGGTATTTATGGTCATTCACGGTCTCCAGGTATCCATCTACTTTTCAGCAGTTTTTTTTTAGTAGTTTGAACGTTTATAAATATTTTTTTCATACAGAATCGAGCTGGACAGTTGCTTTTCAGCAGCTTTTTGAGTAGATTGAAAGTTTCTACGGATTTTTTGATAAAAAATCGAGCTGGACAGTTGCTTTCAGCAATTTTTCAGTTGGCTGAAAGTTTATAAATATTTTTTGGTAAAGAATCGAGCTTGACAGTTGCTTTTCAGCAGTTTTTTTTAGTAGATTGAAAGGTTATAATTATTTTTGGATAAAGAATCGAGCTGGACAGTTGCTTTTAAACAGTTTATTGAGTAGATTGAAAGTTTATAAATATTTTTTGATAAGGGAACGAGCTGGACGGTTGATTTTTTGCGGTTTTCGATTCGATTCAAACGTCTGGAGGGTTTCTATTGACGGATGTAATCCATCGCAGCTGTAGCTCTTCCCTCGGCCCAATCATGGGTTCCGTTGCAATGTGCCGTGCAGGCCATGGCGACTGAAATTTCACGGGTATCCGATAAAGGGGCGGGGGGGCGTTATGATTTTTTTGAGGGCCGCGGAAGCCGCAGATATTCAAAAAAATGATAAGGGGAACCCTTATGAATTTTTGAAAATTTGCAGTTGGCATCGCGGGCCCTAAATAATTGGGGTGAGCGTAGTGTTGGGCAATTTGCCCGGTCCGGTTTTCGGGCCGCCCGAAATTCGGGTATACCCGGTTTTCGGGCCGCCCGAAAACCGGGCCGCCCGAAATTCGGGCCGTCCCCCTCGGCCCGAAAACCGGGCCGACCCTTTCGGCCCGAAAACCGGGTCGCCCGAATTTCGGGCCGTCCCCCTCGGCCCGAAAACCGGGTCAACCCCGTTTTACTATGCAAGGTAAAATGAACATCATTTTCGAGCAGTTCGCACAACTCGGCGCCAAACCGCTCGCAACTCATTTGGGGGGTCGTTTGGTAGCATTCCTTCGAGGTTGTTGAACACGGCGGACGATTTCGAGATTTTTTTTTCTAACCGCGCTAGCAGCGTAAGGAAGCTTGATAGAATTGCTTCAAGCCATTGAGAAGGTAGCATTTTGAACGCTCTTTCCAACGGTATACCTGCCGTTCTCCAACACCGTCGGGGGACAGAGAGGGGAGCGTTTTAGTGCCAAAAGGTGTACCTGTCGAAGTTGTCGCCGCACTAAAACCATCATATCTCGATCGGCACTGGGACTCCTGGATCGAGAAGGGCATCAGTCGAAAGAGCGCGAAAAGTTCTATCTGCCCAACGAGTTTCAGCTCTTTACCAGCTTTGCCCAGCCTGCTAGCGCGGTTAGAAAAAACGTCTCGAAATCGTCCGCCGTGTTCAACAACCTCGAAGGAATGCTACCAAACGACGCCCAAATGAGTTGCGAGCGGTTTGGCGCCGAGTTGTGCGAACTGCTCGAAAATGATGTTCATTTTACCTTGCATAGTAAAACCGGGTTGACCCGGTTTTCGGGCCGAGGGGGACGGCCCGAAGTTCGGGCGGCCCGGTTTTCGGGCCGAGGGGGTCGGCCCGGTTCCATACCCGAATTTCGGGCCAAAACCGGACCGGGCAAATTTCCCAACACTAGGTGAGCGTAATCGAATCGGCGAGTTCAACACGAATCATTTGAGGTACCCTATGGAGGAGCTGTTCAGAGCGTTCGATTGAGTAGTTTTGTACAATAATGATGTGGATTCCCGTTTCTTTGGCAGCTTCCCATCCGCGCTTGGGCACGTCTACGGTATGCCCCTCATCGACGTATAGCTGGAAATTTTCCGAATATTACAGGGTGTCCCAAAAAAACGAACCATCTGGTATTTCGCCGTGTTACCTCCAATCGGCCCCAAAATTGGACCAGAGGGGTATCAGACCCTAAATAACAACAATCCTGACTTTTAGCCCTGTAGCTACAGTAGTTCTCGAGTTATGCCAAAAACAAACTTTATTTTCCATTTTTCACAGGGTTTTCGTGGAATTAGACCCCCTAAACATTAAGTGAAAATGATCCGGTAGGCCTTCTTTACCTTAAGAAATTTTTTCCAGAGTAAAATTAATTAAATAAGCTTTGATTTAATCGATTTTTACAACGCAAAATTACCCCAGATCTTAAGCGAAATTAGGGATTCGCAGCCTGAAGTCGATGCAAATCGATGCAAAGTCTAAAAAGATAGCCGAAAAAATTGTTCAGAATTCCCTGAAAAACAGTATTTTCGTCATAACTCGAGAACGACTGTAGCTACGGGGTTAAAAGTCTGGATTGTTGTTATTTAGGGGCTGATACACCTTTGGTCCAAATTTGGGGCCGATTGGATGTAACACGGCGAAATGCCAGATAGTTCGTTTTTTTGGGACACCCTGTATGTAGGCTGAGGGCGGAATGATTTGTTGAGATGCTAATCTTGCCTGAAGAGGGTGTGATGGTGGAGATTGATCGAAGGTATCGATTAGCCTGTTCAACATCACATCCATTTCTAGTTGATAGTCGGCACGATCCTCCTGAATTTTGTTTATTGAAAGGGGGTAGGTAAACAGAGATTGTTTGAGGAAATGGAAAGGGGGAGGCTAGCAGAAATTGTTTGAGGAAATGGAAAGGGAGGGGGCAGGCTAGCAGAGATTGTTTGTGGAAATGGAAAGGGGGCAGGCTAGCAGAGGTTGTTTGTGGAAATGGAAAGGGGACAAGCTAGCAGAGATTGTTTGAGGAAATGGACAGATGAAAATAACTCCGACATGAAAGGATACCTGTGGCCGCGCGTCTAAACTACGGGTGAATGTTCGAAAGGAGACAATCCTCTTCTGGTGGCCCGATGACGGATTCTAGAGACAGAGAGTTACATATCGTGTACAGATGACAGGTATCAACCATTGGGCTAACGCCCAATCTGCGTATTTAAAGCAAACGGCTATGAATCAGAAACGGTATTGAATGCATTGATAGATCAGCGTGTAGATACCTTGACAATATAATGGATGAGCCGTTCGATAATTGCCAACGATTCGAGACAGTCCGCTTTTGTATCATAGATTTGATTGAAGCGCAGAAATGGCACGTCGATTAGCTGACAATGAGAAATAAAATGCACAGTGTTTGGATGTGAGGGGCCGGCATGGATAGCGGCCTTGAGGGAGGCATTCCGAAAGCCGAAACTCGAAGGCCGTGAAGCGCGGGTTCGACCCCCCCGCGCGGAACACTTGTTTTGCGAATTGGACCTGGAACTAGTCCATGGCCATGGGACACCTGGGTGTCCCCTCTAACTCGACGCACAAGCATCGGAACGGAATGATAATTGCACCATTCGAAAGCCCTTGAAACGGCGAGTTTGCAACGATCTTCGAAACCATGGTTTTTTTAAATGCGCTATTTTACAATCCATTTTGTAAGATTTTCCGGTTTTTCGAGGTTGCATACGAGCTAATTTGCCTCAATTTCTCCAAGCAAAATTACCGGAAGTAGCGGTTAAATATATGTAGAGGACGTTCCTTAATGTCCTTAAATGGGTTGTAGAATAACGCGTTTGTATAAAAACAAGGTTTTGTTGCAAACTGACCTTTTCAAGGTCTTTCGAATGGGGTAACTATCATTCCGATCCGACACTTCTGCGTCGAGTTACAGGGGATGCTTTTTTTATTAGGACACCCGGTAGAAATGCAGGGATTGCGGGTACCTTTTCAAAGGCGTCGACACAAATGCGCAAATAGTCGCTTGGGGCGTGGAGACGGTTTGGGCCAAAGGACGCCTAAAAAATCGGTTGCTGCCCGTTTAACGGGGGGGGGGGATTTTTTGCCGAAAATAATTTAGTACGACCTTGTAATATAACGAAATCTAAACTAGTAGTACTTTTACAGGTTTTAGATATAAACGAGTTACAAACAAAATAATACAAAAAAAATTCTAGTTTTTTAGCAATCAAAACTACTAAAAAATTGTAAAAATACACTATTGACTGTTAACAGGCAGGCGCGGAGCGCCGGGAGGTTCTAATTTTCACGGGAAAAGCTGGTGTAACACGATGCCTGATATAGCTGCAATCCATTAGGGACAAACTCTTCGAGGCGCAGGTAGCTGAAATGGTTTAACTCTCTCTCTCTCTCTCTCGCTCTCTCTCTCCCTATGTTTAAGGCTGTATGGATCTATCCAAACCCGTCGCGGAAGACCCAATTGGTTATAAAGATACGGTTGGCATCGATCGAAATATATGAACGCTGGAAGAAGGACATTTCGCCAAGGGCGGCCACGGGAGCAGGCTAAAATGATATAGAAATCGGGAACACAGCGAGAGAGAATGAGAGAGAGAGAGCGCTAGAGAGAGAGCGCGCGCTAGAGAGAGAGAGAGAGAGATAGTGAGAGTGAGAGAGAGAGATGAGAGAGCTCACCGCGAAGGCGCGTAGCAGGGCGACTGGGTGCCGGCGCAGCACCCTTGTTAACTTGTCCAGTATTCGATGGCAACGGCCCATATCTATCGATACTGTCGACTGGAACGCAGACACCCAATGGCAATCTCCTTGCAGGTGACCGATCGGCATTTTCAGGTGTTGACAACTGATGCTATATAGCCGATCGGGACAATAGGTGTTGATGCGGATAGCGAGCCATTCATGACGATCCTCGCGCAAATCTGAAAATAGCTTGCTCTTTCTCTCTCCCCCCTCCCTCATCTCTCTCTCTCTCTCACTCTCTCTCTCTCTCTCTCTCTCTCTCTCTCTCTCTCTCTCTCTCTCTCTCTCTCTTGCCCAGTTTTATCGTATTGACAGATTATTTTCCATATTTTCGTCGCAATTCATAATGGCGAACTGTTCCCGCAACAAATTTGCCAAAAATTCCCCCAAATACAATGACAAAAATGTCGACGTTCTGAATTTCAACATTTTTCGGCCGGTATTATTGCTAGAGAGCCCCGAAAGCGGGGTCGACCACTAGAACGGAATGATTTGAAATGGCAGCCATCAAATGCGAATAATTGCCACCCTTATGTTCTCGTTCGGGGGGGGCACAATAATGACCTGAAATCCGTTTCAGACCTCACCTGGATCGTCGAAGACGATGAAGCTGACACCAGTCGATGTGACGTGCGGCTGGAACAACAGGGGGGTTAATCGTTGATTCAGGGGCCAACCAGGGAAGCCGGTCAACATCCCGAAAAGCAGAAACCCGAACTTTCGGGAATCTCGAATTTCCTTATCCCGACATTTTGAAAGCAGGGATTCAGGGCCGGATTCTGGTTAATTAGCTGTAGGGTCTCGACCAGGGGCGTACGAGGGGGGCGTACGAGGGGGGGAGGGGGGGGGGTGTGGTGAAGTGGTACGGCGCTGTTTTTTTTCATTCGTGCATCAAATGTCCATAAAAATTTTTGCCTGCGGCGCCTTTTCAGCGATGTTTTCACATAAATTCAGCGTTGTGAACGCTTTAGCTAATTTTTTCGCCCGCGGCGCTAATAAGCTTTTATCGAGCCTTTTTGTAGAATTACTTAAAGGACTCAAGGAAGATGCCTCTAGCGAAAAAGCAAAGAATTTTGTTTGAAATTTCAACAGCGACACGCAACGCGCCCGCGCGGGTTAGCAAATTTTCGACAACCACTCACCTCATCCATCTGAACTCGAACGAAGCGATAGTGGCCGGGGAGGAGGAAACGATCTGCGGATAGAGAGGAGAATAACTGAAAGGAAATGAGAATTCTGGGACCGGTGGCGAGGGATTCGTCGCGCTCGCTCTCACTATCTTTCTCTCACTCGCTCCCTACCTTTGAAGTGGTACGGAGCAATACTTTTGTCTCAAAAGAGAGATGACCATTGACGAGATGTTGTAGACGAGATGGTAATTTGCGGTACGATATCATCGGGGTACGTGATTGCATTCTGAGAAAGGCATAGAGAGATCGTGAGAGAGAAGAGAGAGACACAGAGAGAGAGAGACGGACAGAGAGAGACAGAGAGAGAGAGAGAAACAGAGAGAGACAGTGACAGAGAGGAGAGTGACAGAGATAGAGATAGAATGGCGAGAGAGAGTCATACATTTTTATTCCCATCTTTTGAAGTCGTAGACCATTAAAATCGAGATCGGCATGACGAATGAAAGATGTAGCTGACCTCTGAGGGAATGGCTACAAACTCCATTACCCAGTCAATATACCCTGAGGTGTTATTTTCATCTATCACATCTGCTGCGTCCCCCCGGCTTTCGAATAGGCTTAAGAGTAAAAACTGCGCAACCGAAGACTCGGACAAAAGCCTGCACTTTTTGCTTTTTGGAATTTGAGTCTGGATTGTGATGGGAATGGCTAAACTGGCATACAAACTACAGATTGTCGACCAGACGACCCGAGTTCGACCCCCGCCCGCGACATACTTTTTGCTTTTTGGAGCTTTAGTTGGCATCGCGGCCCAGCGTGCTAACCAGGTCACCAACCGAGGCGCGGCGGTGGAAAGGCCTCAAATACCCTAGGGGGTTCCTCAGCCGCCTGGCCATCTTGCCCCAGCCCTTTAATAGAACGGCGGGGCCGTATAAGGCAAAATTGGTCCTCCCCCGTTAAGCGACTTTTACTCTCACGCGCGATCGCTCTCTCTCTATGTCTCTCTGACTCTCCCTCTCTCTCTCTCTCTCTCTCTCTCTCTCTCTCTCTCTGTCGCTTTCTAACTTTCTATATCCCTTTTTCAGAATGCAATCCTCATCACCCATCAACCGTATCTATATGGTACCGTATCGCAAATTACCATCTCGTCTACAACATCTCGTCAATAGTCATCTCTCTTTTGAGACAAAAGTATTGCTCCGTACCACTTCAAAGGTTAGTCATCCATAAGCGGGTGAGAGTTAAGAGTGAGAGAGAGAGAGAGAGCGCGCGAGAGAGAGAGAGAGAGAGATCTATATATTGCTTTACCAGGCCTCGTGGTTCCCCGTTTTTGAGAGTCGTTGGGAATTGGAATGCGTCCAAGCGCAATCAATCAAGTGCAGAATTTTGCGCTGATTCCGAAGATGGTTCCCGACTATAACCAATTCTGGAAAGTTATGGGCGATATAAACCTAAAAAAGCCCGCAAATTGGGTTCATTCGATGGACATAAACGGCTTCGGGAGAGGGGTTATGAAGACCAGTTAATGCATGAAGCCCGTCTAACTCAACGCAGAAGTATCCGAGCGGAATGATATTCGCACCATTCGAAAGCCCTTGAAACGGCGAGTTTGCAACAATCTTCAAAACCATGTTTTTTTGAGAACCGGAATTAGGTTTCGGAAATTTTCGAGTGATTTAGTTCAGTAGTTCTCGAGATAATTTTCAAAGTTTTTAACTTTAACATCCATTTAAACACAGAACACGAACTTTTAAAAATCTCGAAATAGCGCTACCCTACTAATTCGACCATGCTCTTTCATATGACCGCAAAAAAAACCCGAAGGAACGAGTCGAAAAAACTGTGACAAAGGCCTGTTCGGATTTCTGGCAAACGGCCTTTTAAACATTCGGAAATGATATGGCATGGTCGATTATGCCTCCGACAAAAGTTATTATGGCCCAACGTCCGGAACAGGTAACAGGCCCGGTACTTTTCAGATATTCTCCTGCTCGTCTCTTTCGGCACGCGTATTTCTACTCCGCTGCAGATATCGATTCGTTTGCATATACATTAATACGGTTCTGCCATTCCTCACCCCGTAATAGTTATTTGCAGCATTGGGGGAACGACGTCATATTCAACGTAGAACAAAGGACAGGTGAGAGAGAGAGAGAGAGAGAGAGAGAGAGAGAGAGCGCGCGCGATTTTTCGGACGCAAATTCATTATCGCAATATACTTTTTTTACAGTGCGCTTGCGGTATTACCAGGGCTGGCACCAAAGTGCCGAAATTGATTTGACCGCCGCTGGTCAAATGTTGACAGTCGTGACTAGGGGCTGGTTTGCTAACATAATTTCGGATATTGAGAATGTCGAAATTTTTCGAATTTTTCGAATTTGGGGAGATTTTTTTTGAACCTCTGGTTCAAATTTTGAGCAGGGGGCGTTAAACATGTTTTTGCATTGTATTAGTAATTCATGACTAGCCCCTATTAATAGCGTACCTGGGAAGTAGTCGAAATTTGACTGGGGCTTAGTAAGAATTGAACTGGGGGCAGGGGGGGGGGCAGTTTCGGCACTTTGGTACCAGTACCTATCGTAGCTACAGGGCAGGTCCCCGCCGAAGCGCACCTAGGATTGGAAGGGTGTGCGGGGCGGCGCGGTCGCGTTGCGACCGGGAACCGCGTACGCGAGCTATTACGCTCATGTGCTTTGCCGATGAAAATCACGTGCAAATGCGGCGGTTCGTCGCCTAAAACGCGCGCCAGCGACAGTACCCCCTGCGCAGGCCTGCGAATTGGCCTTGGACACCCTTCCAATTCTAGGTGCGCTCAAAGCTGGGGGTCGGATCGTAGTGAGGGTGGGCCAAAAATGAGAGTGAAGTCTGGCTCAAAAGATCTCACGGACGGCAACGAATCGGACCATCGTTGCCGGGCCAGAATGCTCCTATATGCTGGGCATGAAGAAATAAACTTTGTTAATTTTTACGATTTTTGACGATCCCGGTTTCATTAAAAGTTTAAACATATTTGAAAAAGTAGAAAAATTTTTGAAGAGGGAATCATGGAAGTTTTAAGAAGTGAGGGGAATGTGTAGGACGTCAAAATGAAGCTCTCGGAATGCGTTATCGATCGGTCAATATTCTCGATCGGTTTAACTATCCGTCAATAGGACACTTCGGAAAATCGGAACTTTTGCCGAGAGGCTGACTCCAACTTCTCCATTCAAAGGCCACGATGGCCTTAGCGTTCTGTATTGGTTAGATGTAATTTTGCTTACCAAGGATAATAATCCTGAACACGCGATTAGACTAGCACAGAACTGGGGATTGACGCCGACTTGGCAGAATGCCAAAAATTTTTGATCGAAATCTTTCGCATTTTAATGCGTTTTTCGCATGCGAAGAGTTAGTAAATAACTGGTTATTGCTAATTGCAAAAGATCATAAAGATCGGATCGCAAGAAAATTTTTATTTTATCTCTAATTTTTCCTCCAAAATGTTCAATTCCGAAGCCTTCTATTGACGGTTCATTAAACCGATGATCTTACATCTTTACGACTCAATCGATAACGCATTACGAGAGCTTCATTTCGATACCTTACACATCCCCCTAACTTCTTAAAAGTGCCATGATTTCCCTCTTCAAAGTTTTCTACTTCTTCAAAAATGTTCAAAACTTTTTATTGAAAAGGGGGCCGCCTATATGCCTTGTAATTCAGATGCGGCCGGTGATTTGCATGCCTGCCTTAAAATCCGGGTGTCAATCAAGGACCCTGCGGCTTTGCATCGTTTCTTCTGTTTACTGACCAAACCCACCCTTGTCGATCCCGTTCCCGAAGGGATTTCGGCGTTTCAAACAACGTTGGCACTTGATAGCAGCCGTTGCCTGCGAATACTCGACAAATTCACCGCAATTCTGCCCTGTCATCTCGTCACACTGCGCCAACATTGGGTAATGACGTCGTTATTAATGGGGCCCAGTGGAAAAAGGCCGCTTCGCCGCTCTTTTCCACTGGACCCGTCTAGAAACCGGAAAAATTTGCTATGCCGACTTGCGGTGTGCCGATTATCGGTTATCGAATTTCATTGTCGAATTGCATTTTGTCGAAATTCACTGTTCGAAATTTCCATAACCGCTTCAATATCGAAATTTTTGATTGTTCTCTATAACGTATACGGTGAACTTTGTTAACCTTTTAAAAATACAAAATATGGTTCTTTTCCATTATCGGGGGGAAGCAAATTTTCCCTTAGGTCCCAATTTTTCTAATATAAACAGAGAGTGTTTTTAAAATGTTTTTTACTATTCCGAAACGTAAATTTTGCTTTACTTAATTTCGTTCAAAAATATCGAGTTTTCTCCCAGAAATGGCCAATTTTCGACCAAAAATTTCAGACTGCATTCTTATAGGCTTTTTAGATGGTTTTTCCGCTTTAAAGATAGTTAAATTTTATTAAAAACACTACTAACACACTTACGTTACTAGGCTTTTTGGACAGCCCGACCCCCCCGATAATGCAAAAGAACCCAGTTCAAAGAACCCACCATGTATGTTCATACTATGAACATACATGGTGGGTTCTTTGAACTTCATAGTGTTTTAGTAGGTTTTTTTTGATTACTAAGAAGATACAAAAAATAGAAAATATTTTTTAGGTGATTTATGATGCATTTTTGGGCAAAAAGGCAAAAAAGTTCGCAGTTGATGGTGCGCGTTTTATTTCTAAAAACTGATGTCTAAAAACTGAGCAAAAATGACAATGATATCGGGGCGATTTTTGAGCACGGGATGATTATGTACATGTCGTCTAGCGACCTAATCTCTAACATTCGGTGATTCCCTGCTGAATTCGATTAGCTAAAAAAAGCTAGAATGATTCAAATTACGCGAGGATTCGAGAAATGGCCTCACTATTTGCGAATCCACGCGTTGTCGCGTCCAAACAGGGGCTAGAGAACGTCGCTGTCGCGTCACGCGGTCGCTGTGCGCCGTTCCGGGCTATTTGCCAGTAATCAACGCTAATGGGAGGCAGGGTG